TATTATATTCTAATATATTTTATATATTGATTTACAAGAGAGAAAATCAATGATTCGCACAGATGTGCATGATTTTGAGTCATCGAGAAGATTAGCGCAGTCATCCTTCATTATTCTAGAGAATCAAAATATGTAGGGAAATAATTTGCAGTGATTCATGTGTAATAATATTACACAAAGGATTTCCAGCAATATAGTCATGCACTGTATGACACACATTGTAACACAGTGTTAATTTATAATTGGAATATCGCTTAACTTTTTTATCTTAGAGTACACAGGTCAGTCACTTTTTTCCTTTTTTATTAAGTTTCTTTTTTAAAATTTTACCTCCTACCGGAATATCATTATTATTTATTTTTTTTGGCAATTATTATATATATTTTCTTATCTCGTCAATTGATTCCTCTCATTATTCATTATATTAATTACAATATGATTTTGTATACGTCCTGTATATAATTATATCACGTATATGCTTCGATGGATATCCTTTATATATTATAAACAAAAATATGAAGGCAAAGAAGACAAATATAGTTGAAAATAACAGTAGCGATGATGCTATCGAAAAAATATTGTGATCAAGGTCAATGTCAAACTTATACAATGAAGCAGCTTCTGTTTATCAATGTCAATTATTGTCGGGAAAAATATTCCGAAGGTGCTTTTAGGTATCAAGAAAATTAATTATTAATAAAAGTTGAAATCAATAAAATTAAAAATTTAATAAATGAAAAAAAAAGGATTTTATTCTCGAATTATTCCAATTAAATTTAGAACGACATGTAATATCGTGAAATCCATAGTGCACGTTTGATTTTTATTATCAAAGGTCACTGCTTAAGAAAGCAAAGCTGATTATTCACTTTTGAACGCACACATTCTAATGACGTCTAATGCATTATCTTTGTATATACAAGATAACTGGTGATATAAATATAGTGTGTGTACAGATGTTATATACTATACTTAATAATAGTGGCTTCTCGATAACTATTTGTGTGACATTTTATTTTAAAAATAAATTCAGTATGATATTGTCAAAACAGATATTATTTAATCATTTCTATGATTAATCGAAATAATTTGAAATTTCGTCACAATATCGCATGATTATGTAAATTCTAAAATGTGTCAAATTGCCTTAATATATATTTTTTTATAATAATTTATTGAAAATAGCTGAATAATAATAAGAATAAATAATAAAAATAATAATAGCTATATATAAAAATCATATATTATATGTATATACATCTTTCCTTGTTTGTCTTCTATTTTTGTTTTATTATAAATAACATTGAAATTTTCTTTGTGGAAGAAACAAAAGAAATTTTTTACTCTTTTGTATGCTACGCGTTATAAATAATTTAAGTTTAAATAATAATAATTAAAATAATTTAAATTTGCAAATTAAGAACCTTGGAAAATTGAGGTCTACCAATTTGTCTCGCATGTGAATCACAAGCATTTAAATGAATGTTTCTTTCGAATATTGAATATCCACGTGACAAGTACATAAGGAAGAATCAACAATAAGATGACATAGCAATGAGATTGCCTTGGGAGCGAGGAAATCGAATAATCGATTGTAAGATATGTAGATATTCGCTGAATTGCAATTTACATTCGTCACGGCCATTTGTTCCATTTTTAGAAACCTGTCCTGAGGAATGCACGCAAATCTATAGATTTTATATATCCAATTATCATTTTACAAACTGCAACTTGTCTTTTATAAAGCGTTTATAGAACTATTGAATCATATAAGTGATATTGCAGACAATTATTACTGATATTGCAGACAATTACTGATTGTGAGACAAACAAGGCCTTGATATGGATATAAATGTTTTCTCAAAATCAAACCATCATGTCAACAAGATAAATAAATTAAAAAATTTTTATAATAAATTTTATAAAAAATTTCTCTTCATATTTCAAGATACTCTTATTTTTTATTTTTCCGCTTTATTTTTTATTTTTTAATTTTTTAATTCATTTAATTTATTATAAAAATTATTATAAAATTTATTATAAAAATTTGTATAATAAATTTTATAATAATTTTTATAATAAATTAAATAAATTAAAAAACTAAAAACTAAGAAATGATGCGAAAAAAATAAAAATAAGGGTATATGTTTAAATATGAAGAGAAATTTTTGCGTCATCCTTTACCGCTATTATTACATTAAGGCCAATGTTATAACTTGTTTTCGCAGAATGAACGTGGGCATTCGCCCTAATCTTGAGATTGTCCATTAACGCGCCACGCGTGAGTGTTCGCACACGTTGTTGATTTTTCCCCTTTCTGCAGTTTCTCTTTCCGCATAATTCGATCGTGATTTCCGCGAGTACATACGGGATAGGATTATGTGTGCAATGCGATGCCGGACGAAACCAGTTCTTAGGATATAAAAGCGAAGGAGAGAGAAATTTGACCCCGCGCTCATGCTTCTACAGAGTGTCTCATAATTTGTCGTCCAAATAAAAGAATTCGCTGCGTAACTTTTTTTTCGCACGTCGTCGTGGAGTAAAAACAGGGTGTTTATTCCCTGAAAAAATCTGGGATTGTCAAGGATTTTTTTTTACCGTAAAAAATCCGGGAATTTTCGTGGAATTTTTTCAGACTCAAGGAATTTTTGCGAAAATTTTGTTTTCAATAATTTTATACTATTATATTGCATCGTAGATTAAAAACAAGGTGTTTATTCCTTGGAAAAAATCTAGGATTGTCAAGGATTTTTTTACCGTAAAAAATCCGGGAATTCACATGGAATTTAGTTTTTAAAGAACTTAAAAATAATTTTTTTTTAAGATCTTATGTTAAATATTTTTGATATTTTAATAACACTTATAAGAAACATATGTCTTGTCAAACATATCTTTAAAATATTTTATGTAAGTTTTTTCATAAAAAGTTATTCAATTTTTTAATGCTATTTAAATAATTCTGTATAGTTTTATTATATTGACAGTTATAAATAATTGATTGTTAATTTCTATTAATCTTTAATTTTAAATGATGCGCTGAAGAAGGTTGAAAAAGGCAACCGACTTTCGAATTTATTTTTGTCTAATATTTTATGTTATAAATCTTTTTCCACAAATAAATATTAATGAAAGAACTTAATTAGCTCTTATTGCCTTATATGTGTATATACTATTTAAATAAATTAGTACTTTTTAAGACATTTATAATAAATTTATTATTTTACATTTTTGTATATATCTTATGCATTTAGTGATATGCATAGTGATTGCACTTTGTTATACATTGTAAAATAATTAATTGTATAATTAATAAATCAATATTAAATGCGAAGCAGAAAATTGAAACATTTATATTTCATGAATCAAAAATTAATAAATTAATTTGCTTCGTGAATCGAGAAACTAATAAAACATTGAAAAGGGATTTAAATTAATATATTAAATATGAATAATGCGTAATAAATTCCATATATGAATTTCACATATGCATACACAGGATGATATGTATTTCCCCGTTTCATATGTACGATATCTGCGGTTATTTTAATGTCGTTCGACAGACAGGATACGATAAGTGATCTTTCTAAAAGAGCTGTCTACATCAGGAAACTTTCGAGATACGTGTTCATTTCGTTTAAATTATCAAACACTTCCGCTCCTTTTTTATCATAATCAATATTGTATCGCTGTAACAAAACTTTTTCTAGAATATAGCAGGGTTATTTTTGTATATCTTATTGGAGAAAGTAAAATAAAACATCCTGTATATGTATATCAAATATTTAACATATATATATATATATATATATATATATATAATATTTTTTTTATTTGATTATTTCATTTTTTCTTTTGTACACATATGTACACATGGATATAAAATACATACACATGTGATTTTACGTATTTCGTTAAGTCAGTAAAATAATATCTGTTTCCGCATTTTGCCATAAAATATAATAGTTATTGCCATTCATAAAAATAATTTTAGCATAGATATTTTTTCATGCTTCTTATCGTGTGTATTATCTATGTTTATTATCTATCATCTATATATACATATATTATCTTTATATTGCCATAGAATTTTGTATTTCTTATTCTTGAAAAATTCTCAGTAGCGATATACATATGTATAAATTATATATTTTTTTTTACATATATACATATTACATATATATTTTTGCATATAAAAATTGTTCAGCTTTTCTGTTATCATTTGGAAATAATATCGAGACGTGGCAGAAATTATTCAATTATATTATTGAAAAATTTATTAAATATTTAATATAAAATAAATGAAAATAAGACTTTTGTACAATTTTATAAAAGCTTAAAAATAGCACATTACAACAATAGAAACAATTCTCACATCCTTTTGATTCTAAGAAAGGTCATCCTTTTATTATTGCGATATATATCTTACGAAATCAGTTAACGCTCTCTACGCGGGTATGATCATTAAATTAATTGTATTCTATTATCTGCCGTGTACACAATCATCATCCTTCTTTAATAAACGCATTTCCTTTGGCATAGAAATTCTGTTGCGGAAAAGTTATTGCCACAATGTTACGCCAAAGGCGATGTTGTAAGTTTGATTCATATGTAAGTATTGTTATATTCGCGATTATTCCTCAGCGCCAGCTAAATGAAAAATAAATATATGAAAACGAATAAACTAAAATTACTGAGTAAAATTATAATAAAATAAAATAAATTATTATAATATAATTAAATAAAATATTAGATAAAATACAAATATTAAATAAATTAAATTAAATATTATAAAATAAAATAAAATATTATAATAAAATAAAATAAAATTACTGATTAAAATTATAAAATAAATTTTAATTGATGTGTCAACACCAAGAGAGAATATATTTTAATCGAAAATGTAGAAATTAATATTAATAATTTTTGCAATCTTTAAATTAATCTTCGCAATGTAAATGTAGTATATTATGAAATGGCTGATGATGTTTTTCCTCGGACAGATTGACGCGAACGGAGATGGCTTCATCAACGTCACCGAACTGCGCAGCGCACTGGACGTTTGTGGTTTCAAGATGCCAGGCTACAAGGTGCGTCAGATGATTGAGGAATATGATGATAAGCAGCGGCTCGAGCACAGAGGTCGACTTTCCTTCGATGAGTTCGAGAAACTCTGCAAGGAGCTGAAGGCTAACGAACTGGGTTCTACGTTCAAGCACGTTGTCTCCAAAAAGGAGAATCTGGAAACTTTAGGCGGAATTTCCGAGGCATCCAGCCAAGGTACCACGCATTCCGTCAGGCTCGAGGAACAATTAGCGTTCAGCGACTGGATCAACACTAATCTCTTATACGATCCCGACCTGAAGCACCTTCTCCCTATCGATCCCGAGGGAAAAACGCTTTACGACAAGGTCAAAGACGGAATACTACTTTGGTAAGCGTAATATATTTTATTTTAATAATTTTAATATGTTTTTGCAAGAAAAATTAGATACGAAATTTTCTAGCTGCATTTATTATATGCTTTAATGTATATTGTGTAATTTAATTTTAATATGTATATATAATATTAATATAATATAATATTTAATATAATATTAATATTTTATTATATTTAATATATATATATATATATATATATATATATATATATATATATACAAATTTTGTTGGTTGTAGTTAATAGATGATGGTAAAATGTATTAATTGCTGAAGCTAATTTTTGTCCTCCATTTTACAGTAAAATAATCAATCATTCCTGCCCGGACACCATCGATGAGCGCACGATTAACAAGAAGAACTTGACGTTGTACAAGAAGCACGAGAACTTAACGCTAGCGTTGTCTTCGGCTCAAGCGATCGGCTGCAACATTATCAACATTGACGCTCACGATCTCACAAAAGGTTCGCCCCACTTGGTGCTGGGGTTGCTGTGGCAGATCATCCGAATTGGCTTGTTCAACCAGATCACCCTCGAGAATTGTCCCGGCCTCGCCACGCTTCTACAAGACGGCGAACGAATCGAGGATCTGCTGAAGCTATCTCCGGAGTCGATTCTTCTCAGATGGGTGAACCATCACCTGGAGAATGCCGGCATCGCCAGGCGGTGCAACAATTTCCAGTCCGACATCACGGATTCTGAGATTTATACCTACCTTATCAGGCAGATCGCGCCCAATACGGCTGGCGTCACCCTGGAGGCCTTAATGGAACCGAATCACACGTCCAGAGCGGAGATCATGCTTCAGCAAGCAGCTAAACTCGGTTGTCGCAGCTTCGTGACTCCTAACGACGTCGTCAACGGCATCTACAAACTCAATTTAGCCTTCGTCGCCAACATGTTCAACAATTACCCCGGATTGGACAAGCCGGAGAGCAACATCGAAGGTTTGGAGTCTCTCGAGGAGACGCGGGAGGAGAAGACCTATAGAAATTGGATGAACTCGATGGGCGTGATGCCTCACGTCAACTGGCTCTATTCGGATCTGGCCGATGGTCTGGTCATCTTCCAGCTGTACGATATTATCAAGCCAGGCACCGTGAACTGGAACAAGGTGCACAAAAAGTTCACAAAGCTACGAAAGTTCATGGAGAAGCTGGAGAACTGTAATTACGCCGTCGAGTTGGGCAAAAAGATGAACTTCTCGCTCGTGGGTATCGCCGGACAGGATCTCAACGACGGAAACGCGACTCTGACATTGGCTCTCATATGGCAATTGATGAGGTCATATACACTGTCAATTTTGACATCTCTGGCTGGTACTCAGGCAAGCGTCGAGAAAGAGATCGTCCAATGGGTAAATTCCAAGCTTCAAATGGCCGGGAAAACCAGCAGCATCAAGGGATTCCAGGATTACTCGATATCGGACGGCAAGGTTGTCCTTGATCTAATCGATGCCATCAAACCCGGCTCGGTGAACTACGACCTCATTAAAGAAGGCGGGACTGAAAAGGTGAGGATTTCGTTTATCGATGAATTTTATCCTCTTGCTATTCATATCGTTGCTGAACAAAATGAAGAACACTTTATTCTTCCTATTGATTAATTGCTGTAGCATTTATCGGTTTTTCTTTTGTTTCTTCCAGGAGAACCTGGATAACGCTAAATACGCGATATCCTTAGCGCGAAAGTGCGGCGCGCGTGTCTACGCACTTCCGGAAGATATCACCGAGGTGAAGCCGAAGATGGTGATGACGGTGTTCGCCTGCCTGATGGCCATGGACTACATCCCGAATATGGATTCAGTGAAAAATCAGGCGAATAACGTGAACGATGGTCAATAATGTTGCGATTTGGAGTCCTACCTATTACTATATGTGCCGTCTATCTTTTGTACACAAAAACTTTTGAATAGGTCGTCTCGCTTCGGGCCTCTTCCACGAGCGTAACACTTGTATATACGTAGTTTAAGTTTAGCTTGAGAAGATCGGTAGTACCAGGAAGTATTCTCTCTCTAGGAAAAGTCGACGAAAGACGAGAAGTAGAATTTGGTAATTCCGTTCGGACGAATATAGTCGCGCGAGATATGGAAAAATCGTGTGTTTTTGACGAAAGGAGAAATTATTTTACCGTAAAAACTTAAATATTTCTTGACTCTATAAAACATAAGTATATAAAATATCAAGATAAAATAGCGTGCATTTGTGATACTTTCAATATATATACAATTATTGCAGATTAGACATTTTCTCCTGCAATATAAACTACCGAAATTTGAAGTAATTTTGAAATAAATGGATTTTTACATTAAGTATATGAAATAAGGTGACCAGACAATTTTTCAACTACTAAAGTATTTAGGATTTATATCGACACTTTTGTACCCTCTTCAGAAAATGTATTATATAAGGTGTGTGCAAATTATCACTCGCGGATTGATGTTATTTTTAGTTTTTAATATTTTTCTAGTAAATAGTAATTGATTGATTGTCGTTACTGTAATAATGTGGGATTCTTCTTCTCGTTTTTGCAATCATCATTTATTTCCGCTTTACTACTTGTGTTGCGTCATTGTAAAAAATCAATTTTATACTATATAAGCAGGCAGATAAGGCACACACTAAAGAAATCACATCGAGAAATATTTACAATATATACCGAAATATTTTGAAAGATAAATATGCAGGGCATTCCAGATACCTGACACTAATTTAAAATTTTATGTAAAAAAAATAATTTTTTGAGAAAAGTTCTAAATTAAAAACCAAGTTTAATCAGCGAAGTAATTTAATAATTGCCATAAAAAATCATAACTTATTTCAGAAATTTTCTCTTGGAAAAATTGATTTTTTTATTCGATTCGAAAAATTAAGGAACATTTTGTATATATATTTTAAGTAAAAATAAATCGCCCTCCCGCCAGCGCGTGTTGCATATACGTATAGAGCGAATGAAATTCAACACTCGTATATACAGTATAGACACAATTATACTTAACGCAATGTAAACATACGTATATTTGATATAGTGTAGACGTAAGAGACTTGTGATCTCTGTTTGAACTGTTATTTTTACGCGCTCTCAATGAATTCGAAGTGTCTATCAGAGAGTCATGACGGTCTAAAAACTTGGCCCGATTCTTTCCACATTAATAATATCACATGAACGGATTTTATATCGAGTAATTTACAAATGGCTATATGCAAATCACACATCAAGTCAATATATCTTATATATTTCTTTATATATTGTATTTACATATATGAAATACGAATATACAAGATATCGATACATTTTTACAATTTGTCTGGCTCTAAACAAAATCCGTTTCTAAACTAGGAATTAAGTGACTTTTGATACTTCATTATTAAAATCCACCTACGTCATTCTAGCGCACTAACAGTTTTTATATGACATTCATAATATATTGAACACGAATTAAAATTATTTAACATAATGTCAATCGATGCCAGATTATTTTGCGTTACAAACAGTCAGATAATGAATAATAATAATGTAATCATGTTGACGCATAAAAATCATTATAATCGTGCCATTATTATTACCGAGGTATGATTCGATATTTACATGATATTTATAATCAATTCAAATCGAAACATACTTATGCGACTAATAGCGAGTATTAAAAAAATATTTGCGGTTGCTTTAATTTTGCAATTAAAAAAATTAAATGCTGATTATTCTTTTTTCCTTTCTCTCTCTCTTTCTCTCTCTCTATTTCAATTTTGCAGGTTTATCTGACGTGTGAAACAAGGACTCGCAAAATAAATTAATGTGATTGAAACTCTTTTGAGAAAATTTTAAAGGAGAGAGAGAGAGAGAGAAAATTTGATTATATCTCATATAATTAAAATTTTTAATAAAATTAAAAGGAGAGAAGGGAAGAAAGGAGAAGGCTTAAAGAAAACTTATAAAAAATTTAACATGCTTTGTATAATTAACTTGAATTACGATAGATTATTATAATCGGATGTTAATTCATTATATTAGACGATACAAGAAATTATTTGAATAAATCAAGTGCAATGCATATGTTATCGACATTTGTATAGATATTTTTATTGTATTAAATTTGTTGTCTTAAGACATCATTGCATTATTATTTCAAGAGCAAGCAATAGATGTGAGCGAACACGTGACTGCAATATGTGTTTATATAATGCATAAAAATAAAAACAAAAAACATTGTTTGAGAGAAAAGAGTAAAAGCTGAAAAATTACGCAGACTTGAAATATAATTGCATTTATAATTATGTTGTTATATTAATAAATCGCGCGACTCACGAAAATTCTCGAGAGTTATTGGCAATTTGACTAACTAGAAGCTAAGTATTGCAATCATTGAATATAAATCTGAATTTACAATGAGATCACTGTATGCATGCATTTCATATATACACATACACACGCATTCATATTATGTGTATTTGTACGTGACATGAGTCCATCGTGTAGTTATAATTTAACGTGTATGTAATTTAAATAAAAGAAATTTATTATATACAATATCTTATTGTTTTATTATTAATTAATTATTGATTATAATTAGTTATATTAATATTGGCAAAGCAGCTCTTACAGAAGAAGACACTCAACTTTAAATATTAATTGTAAAAAAATCAAAAAAATTCTCAAAATTGATTATGATTTTGCACCGCCAATTAAAAAGATTAACTTTTAAATGATAGTTAATTGATTAATTGATTTACCTTCAATTGATGGTTAATTTTGAAATTGACAGTAACTCTAAAAATAAGAAATGAAAGTAACATCCAAATAAAAATGAATAATATACAACATCGAAAACAAGAAAGACATTATTTTATGAAATGCTATTTATTAAGCTTTATTTATAGTTTTACTTAGTATATAATTTATAATTTTCAACTTGATTTAAAAAAATTGACGCAAATTTTACAGTTTGCCTATGAATAGAACATAAAGCGCACGTATTTATCGCTTTTTAATTTATGAAATTGCTTGGTATATCAGTACTAATATTTAGATCAATCGATTCGCCGTAGGAAATGGGTGGAATTTCGCCTTCCGCTGGATCAATGCTTTTCAAATTAAGCTGCATAATTTCCTTGAACGACAGCATTCTATTCATGGAGTCAATCGGAGGTCGTATTTTCCCATCAAATTCAGTAGAGACTTCGAATTTATTATTGATCTGTATTTTGGTGACAAATCTCCCCTGCAAAAATTATTATAATAAAACAGAGTTATTCAAGAAATAATTTCAAATAATTATATATATATATATATATTTTTTTTTTTTGGAGTAATTTTTAACAATTTATCCTGTAAGAGAATAATTTTTTTCTACAAGAATAAAATATATACAGAGAGAATTTTCTCTTGGAATTTTATAAGTTTCTCTGCTTAATACTACAATAAAAAATACTAATAAAAAATGTAATATATTAATAAAATAATATAAAACTAAAAATCTAAAAGAAAAAACTAAATTGCACGTGTACCATTTTTAAAATTCCCGATGAGAAGTCGACGTATCGCGGCGGATTGATGCACCCCATTCGCGATTTCTCGATCAACAGGTTCGTTATAGGTTTCGCGTCGTCGTCGGCCAGCATTGTGGACGCGATGAACCGGAAGTCATCGTCGACCTGCTCGTCCCCGATCGTGTTCGTCTTGAGCTCTCCGCGTCTGATCCTGTATACGGTCGCGCAATTTCCCATCGACGAATTCTCCCTGGCCATGAACTGCGATATCCGCTCGATCTTGCGCCAATCGACACCTATGCTGAACTGATTGGCGATCTTTCTGAGGATGTTCACCACCTCCATGCGAGACGGCGGCTCGATCGTGAGGCCTTCCACCCCACGTTCGCTGAACTTGATCTCGAACATTTGTTCGGTCTCCACTTCCCGGGTCGTGTTGGGATTCCGCCCGAAATTCACGATCGTGGAGTTCTGCAAGTGACAGAAGAGATTGTCCGCCGATTTAGGGCGGCAGTTCAACTTGGATATCAGAGTCATGGTTTCCACCGGCTCGTGAGGGTCCGTTTTTATCATGTACGTCATGTTTAGGTCGTACGAATATTTCGCCCCGAATGTCCATTTCGACGTGTCGTTCACGACTACGTTGGCCGCTGATTGAACAAGAAAATACATTTTTTATTAGATATTATATATTACTAAAAAAAAAAAATAAAGAACACTTTTCCTATTCTAAAAATGATTTTCAAACCGCACTGAAACTCGGCGAAAAAGTACCGTAGATTAAAAATTAAAAAAGAATCTAATGGATCTTGCGATAAAAAAAAATTCTATTTAAATTTCATAAACTACAATATTTTGCCTACAAAACGCTATTTTTATTTTCTCACGATTTTTTTACTGAGTTATTAATGTTGAAACTGATAGGAAAAGTGTTCCTTATTTTTTTGAGTAGTGTATATTACAATATTATTTATTCACATTCTTATAAAAAAATAGATAATTGCATTAGAGCGATATTCTTTCTTTTAATTTTCAGTTATACAAGATATTTAAATAAACTATCTAAACTTGAAGAATTTTTATAAACAATTTCCATTAGAAATATTTAAAAATCTATAGGAAATATATTATTATAATTTTATAGAGTATTACATATATTCACAGATATTCAAGAATATGACTATAAAACAAATGGAATAGTAAATAAGTTTAACAAAAAAAATGACAGATAAACAGTTCATAGTTATTTATATTTACTTTATTTAGATCTGACAATTTTTTTTATTTCACTTTGATTTGTATCAGTCTGTGTATAATTTTTAAAATATTAGTGCTATGCAATTAATACACGATGCATCGATTTAAACATGCTTTCGAAATGAAGGTAAATGCAACGTCAGATTTTACAAATAAAGGAAAAGCATATGGATTGAACTTATTAGTGGCTTACCGACCTAGGAAGAACGGGATTAGAACGACGTTCATCTCGTAACAACACGTAACCCGGTACACGTACGCTGACACTAGTCTTCTTACACTCGCACAAGCTCCTTTATATCGTGCTCATAATTTAACAGCATAATGTTCAACTGCGCTCGCATCCGTAACAAACCCTATGGGATGGGATGACGCATATCGTGCTGCATCTAACACATAGGTACGTATGCATGACGTAAATGACGAACATAAACGATATAAAGAGAGCTTTTCAATATTTTTTAGTCAAACTAATGTTATTATAATAAATCCGCAATAGAAAAATACATATATTATATATCTACATTCAAATTATTAAGGATTTTATGACGAGAAATTATTATATAATTGCAATGTGTGCACTGAAAAAAGATTGTTCGTGCACTTGACTAAACCTTAAATTAAGTTACTATTTTATTAATTGAACATATATTCGTATTTAAGTTAAATACATGTTTTGGTAAATTTAATGTTATATTTAATTTAAATTATTTTTATATGTTCACATAATTAACAAAATATTATTTAAAAATTTTTATAAAATATTATTTACTTGTACGGTTTAGTCAAGTTATCATTTTTTTTTCAGTGTGTATGTGTTTAAAAAAACGAACAATACATGTTATTAATCTTTTTTACAACATTTATTTTATTGCAAAATTGCTCTTTAATATTCTAAAATTATTTATTTTTAAAAACCTAAAGTCTCGTCGGAAATTTAATTCATCACAGAAGTAATTAAATCTTTTTTAACATTTATTTGATTGCAAAATTGTTCTTTAATATTCTTTCAAAATTGCTCTTTATATATATTTTCTAAAATTATTTATTTTCAAAAATCTGAAGTTTCTTCGGAAATTTAATTTATCACACAATTAAATGATTTTTTTCAAAATCCCTCTGTTCTCTTTTATTTTAGAGGAAAAAGATTCCTCTTTGAAATGTTGTTTCAAAAATATTTTATTTTTAAATGTCTTTCTCTGGTAATTATATAATATATAATTGAATTATTAATTAGCGCGCAGCAATAGACGTATTTGTGACTAGCGGAAAGTTGATTTCCGTTTTGAATACATATGTCTATATATAACACACGCTTCTTGGTGATTTATTAAGCGCTGCAGAAGTCTCGTTACACGCAGGTCTTAAATGAAATTAAATTAGTTCTTCTCATAGTGGACACAATCGCTGGCAATAAGCCGAGAATTGCTTAGCAAGAAGCGAAGGTATTCAAAGAATTATGCCAATTCTAGTGTCACTCCATCATTCTTGCTTCATATTTCTATCATATTTAATAATGTAGACTATAAATGCATTTGATATAATATAATTTTATTTGCACTTACAAATATTTAACATATCGACGAGCAAGAAAAAAAAACGAAATTTTGTTACTACAATATATGTTGTTTATTAATAATTGATTAATATTTTATTTGGGTCATTAATTTTTATAGATATCTTGATATATATATAATTTCTTTGATTTTTTTTTCAATGTGAGACATTTTTTATTTATCTTCCGGAATGACTTCCAGATGTGAAAAGGCAAATAGACTTGTCGAGGCTGGATCTTGTATCTCTGGCATTACAGATTGGGCAAAATCTATTTGCTTCAATTTTAAACTTATATTCTGATGAGGTCGCATAATTCGCGATTTATTCGCCGTCTTCATTAAACCTTCTGATATTGTATAGGATACGAATGAATCCTTTGAGATCGTAATGAGACTCTTGGAACTAGTCTGAAACAAAAGAGAGCAGAGATATTTAATTGTAAGTCAAGTATCTGTACAAAGATGGCAAGATATTATTTGTTAAAAATTCCTTTTTTTTAAATAAATTTTTAAATAATTTTTTTTTAAATAAATTGAATTTGTGTGATAATTAAATTTCCAAAGAAATTTCAGATTTTGAAGAGCAATTTTGAAAGATTTGCAATAAAATAAATAAAAAAATTAATATATGACAGTTATATCTTATATCACTGACCACATACAATTTTTTATTTAATATATTGTGTATAATTTTCTATCAATCATCGTACCATGTCCATGTAAAGTTCTCTATTGCCACGGCTGTAATCCTCGTGATCTCCGAAAAAATAAATGATTCTTCGCGGACACCTCTTTGGATGTCGCGTTTTTTCCACTCGAAGGTCTTCGACTATAGAATCTTTATCGTTCGACAAATATTCAATCTCAAAATCTTCGCTCATCTCCGCAGAATCGTCGTCCTCCTCAGAATCGAAATCTCCGCGGCTAATTTTAACATCGACCTCGCAGTGACCCATCGTTGAATTTTCCATTATGGTGAACCAGTTGCGATGTTCCTGCAGTTCAAACCCGATGTTCAGCTGACTAACGATAACTTTGATCATGTCGAGTCTCCATCGGGGAATCGATCTGTGGACCACCAGATTTTCGATACCCCTCGAATTAAATCTGATTTCGAAGGGTTCCCCGTCCACGAATTTATGCCTCATGGGTACAAAATTCTTCGCGTTCGAACATCTGTTGTCCTCCGGATCGGGACGTTTGATTCGCGAATTCTGGAAGCGACAGCTAAGAGTATCGTGTCCTTTGGGCCGACACTTAAGCTCGGTGGCAATCATGGAACAGAAGTTATCGTTCTCGTGGACGATGTTGGCTAGGGACATATTTACGAGAACGTCATAGGTGCATTCCGGGCCGTACATCGCCCTTCTGGACTGTTGATCGTCGATGGTGACATTTGCGGCTATGGGATGATAGAAAATAATCAGCGAAAGTAAGAGTGACATGTTGTAAATAATATGTTACACCTTATCCGCGAAAAATATTTTTTGACAGAAATCAGCTGATAACTGTCAAAAATATTAATTGAATTTAAAGTATTTTAATAAGAATGATTGCAATTATTACAGGTACAAATTATTATACTTATAGATTTAATAATAATATTAAATATTGCAAAAATAAGAAAGAGAGGGAATTAATATTTTTAAATTTAATTAACAAATTGACGCTTAATTAATATTTTTTGAAAGAAAACAGGTATTTAAGGCATTTATTTGCTAATTAAATTTTTCTATTAGTAATATGTTACAAATGTAAAAAAGTTATGTCTTAGATAATATGTTATAATATTGTACTTTAAACTCGATTGATATTTTTGACAGTTATCAGCTGATTTCTATGAAGAAATATTTTTCGCGGATAAGGTATTATAACATATTATTTACAATATATCACTCTTTTTATTTTCTTAACACATTATTATTTTAAAATTTTATTAGTAAATTAACGCTTTAATCAGCTGATTTCTGTCAAAAAAAGATTAATAGAGTTTAAATACAATATTATTGTTTTTAAATATCAATCTTTTTAATATAAAATCAAAATTCGCTTTTGTGTTGTTTTAGTAATTAATAAAATGAGGATTTTGATATGTAAATAAGAGAAATCATAGCAAAAATAAAAATAATTTTTGTTAGACATAAGTGCGTGTGTGTGTGCGTGTGTGAGAAAATATATATTATAATTTACAAATTTTGAAATATATATGATTTTTTTACTGTTAAAATAAATATTAAGAACGTACCTAGAAAAAATGGTAGAATTGTCACCAACATGACTGATATTCTTACTTTGACTGATGCTTCTGCCTGCCGTTCATCTCCTCTTTATAGGATGGATAACTCGATTCATAATCCGTCTCCTTGAAAATAATTTCGCTGTTTTCCATTTCCGCCTAGATTTTACAGATATCTTCTATATTATTAGTTGTATGTGAGTGTTGCCTTTATACTTAGGGCTTTGACAATTCCACAATCTTGATCGTCGTCCCACAAAGTAAGCTTTAGACAGTAATTGATAAATTTACTGTTCGTTGTATCTTCATTTGTACATTAATCGTTACTTGAACATTTTTTTATACATATTAAAAAAATATATAATTATAATTTTTAATTTCTAAATTTGAATATTTTATTGTGACTTGTAATATATATCTCTTACTCTAATAAAAAATGCATATGTATGTTATTTGAATTTAGTCAAACTTATATATTTTAAAAAATTATTACGATTTGATATTACCTTCGATGATAAATTCATAATCGCGAAATAAAAAAAAATAGAAAAAATTGATTGTAAAAATTAATAACTCATTAATCATTTTATCATAGGAAATAGTGTCCTAAATTCTTAATATAGATCGCGACTGTGGGTAGAGAAGGATATACAGGGTGATTCAAAACAGCCGTTTGTCCTTAAAATATATTCCTCACTCGATTCTAACAATAAGACGATTTTTCCTTTGCCAAATATTTTATCCGAAGCTTAGTTTTATTTTATTTTAATTCATCGAATTTTTATTATGTCTTGACAATTTTAATTCATCGAATTTCTATTATGTAACGACATAATTTTAATTCATCGAATTTTTATCATGTCGAGATATAATTTTAATGCATCGAATTTTTATTATGTCGCGACATAATAATAATTCAGGAATAAATTGCAGCTGTATTTTGAGGCTGTAACAAGGCGTTTTCACGTTCAACAAATTGCAAAAATTATCCTGTGTGGGTGTGTGTGAATGATGTATTCGCGATAATTAAAAATTAAATCGAACTATGTAAAACTGTTACAATTTTAATTAATAAGGATAAAGTGTTGTTACGTAAGAGTGCTAGATTTTAATGTGCAAAAGTGTATAGAGTGATAATAAGGTCTTGTTACTTGTGTATAATATTGTAAAAGCGGTTGATGAGGAAATAAAAGATTATACTTCTAGATTTCATTTATATTTTTTTCTTCATTATATGTATAGGTATATTTTTTATGTATGTGTGTATTATGATTGAGATGTGTGTGTATTAATAAAAATTCGATGAATTAAAATTATATCGCGACATAATAAAAATTCGATGAATTAAAATTATTATTGAATTATTATAGTATTATTGAATCTGTTCACATTTGTAAAAATTATATTGAATTACATATTATATTATTTATATTATTTGCAGAACGAAAAATCTATATTAATTAAAAATACATAAATATAATAGATAGTATTATGTAGATACTATAATATAGAGAAATATAAAAAAAGAACTGTAAACATGAAAAATTAATACACACACACATCTCAATCATAATACACACAGACACACACATACACACACACACACATAAATAGAAAATACATTATTATATTTTTTCGTCTTTACTATAATCTTATTATCTATCATACGTATATACCTATACATATAATGAAGAAAAAAATATAAATGAAATTTAGAAGTATAATCTTTTATTTCCTCATCAACCGCTTTTACAATAATATTATACACAAGTAACAAGACCTTATTATCACTATACACTTTTGCACATTAAAGTCTAGCACTCTTACGCAACAACACTTTATCCTTATTAATTAAAATTGTAACAGTTTTACATAGTTCGATTTAATTTCTAATTATCGCAAATACATCATTCACGCACATACAAACACAGGATAATTTTTGCAATTTGTTGAACGTGAAAACGCCTTGTTGCAGCCTCAAAATACAGCTACAATTTAATTACACGAGATAAATAGAGATAATCAAATTAAGATACATAAGTCACGCTTTGCAACGAAAGAATTTCGTAATATTTCTCACACACGTTCATACACGGAAAACGCAAGAAGTCTCGATATATTATTCATCTTGCTCGGAGTCGTTTATTATCCATCTACCTATGAAGATACTGGCGGATTCCGCTTCCTTCACAACTGGCGGTTCGCTGTTCGCGGATTGGATTGACTCGAGCCTGAGCCTTACGTTCTCGTAAAGAGTCGTCACCACCGCCTCGGTTACTTTGCTCGTCGTTATCACGTTCGATGTACTAGATATGAATTCTGTCGCCGTTACGATGATGTGTCCATCTGACAAGCTCTGTGACAGACGAAAGAAGAACTAAGAGATATGTACAGACAAGTTATAAGCATATAATTAATTAATATCGCCCTTAATTAAAAAAGTGACATTTAAATCTATAGAGTGAATATTTTAAGAGTGATCTGATAATAATAAAATATTATAAAGAGCAAAAGTTGTGTTTTTTTGCATATATCTTATCTTGTAATTTGGAGAGTTTTGACAGCTTAAGCGTATCTATTTATAAACATTGGAGATTGTTAATATACAAATATACATAACTCGTCATTTATTAGAATCGATTATTATAGAATTTTTGCACATTATTAGTGCACAATTTTTTTTGTATATTGTAATTACACAGAGAGAATTTTCTCTCTTAGAATTTACCCTGGAAATCATCAGAGTTTCTTTGATTAATATTTTCCACAATAAAAATAATATTTATCACATTTATAACATATAAAATATATTCGATTAATTTTACTAAATTTTACTATGTACATATTAATATTTTTTATTATAGTAAATATTTAATGAGAAAAACTTATAAAATTCTTCCAATGCTCACGATTACCATCAATTTCAGGATAAACTCTAAAAGAAAATTGTTTCTATATGTATTACAATACATATAGAAAAATTATTACAATACATATAGAAAAAAATGTTCTTTCAGAATTTGATAGTAAAAGTCAATGATTTTATAATTTTATACTGTGGATTAATCCAGTTCTCAGGTAGAGGATCTTTGACATGAAGAGAAGTTGCAACAAATTCTAAATCATCGTTTGTGCTTTTATTAAAATTTGAATATGCAGTTTTACCCTAAGTATTTACCCTACAATTGATAGTAATCGTGAGTGATAAATGTAGTTATAAAAATCGATCGGCTTAGATGACTAGAACGTGGAGAGGATGGATGAGACAGACTCAGTTAAACAAATTATAAGACAGTTATCTGTGGGAAGACGGAAGAAAAATTGGGAGACCAAAGGCAAGATAAATGGAGACGAATTAAGTAGTCAGGAACTGGAAAGAAAGAATGAGAAATGAAAGATCTCTTAAAGCAGAACTTATAGAAGATTGCAGAGCCAAAGCTGATGACGATGATGATGAATGATATACTGTACAAAAATGGTAACATATACTTGGTCCTTACTACATCAGATATAATATCGCTCTCTTCTCCGAAGGTCTCCGCGCTGCCGAAGAAGTAGGGCACCTTGTGCGCGCACATACGCAGATTCCTGATCTTCCGTATCTGCATCAGCTTCCCGTCCTTCAAGCCGAAGACCGGCCTGAGCGCGTAACCCGGTTTCGCGAACAGCGACCGACCCACGAGCTTCTTGTCGATCTTGAAGGTCGTGTAACACTCGCCCTGGGTGAAGTTCTCGATCGCGTCGAAGGTCACGTCGTTGCCAAGCCCGCTGTCGAGGGTGGTGCCCACGCTCAGCTGGCCCACGAGCATCCTGATCATGTCCAGCTCGCGCGGTTGAATGTTCTCGTTCACCACGAGGCCGTCCAGGCCGCGTTTGTTGAATTTGATCTCGAACTGCTCCTCGTTGATCTCGTAAGCCGGCTGCCGGTTCACCTCCCCAGTCGGCGTCGCCGGCTCCTGGGGGTCCAGGCTGTCCGCGACGAAGCTGTTCGCCGTCGAGTCCTCAAAGTGACAGCTCAACGAGTGGCCGGTCTTCAGCGGCTGACAGATCAGCTTCGAATCCAAATTCAGCCGGACGCTGCCGTAGACTCCCTCCGAAATTGCGGTGCAGTTCACCTGGACCTGAAACGTGTACTCCGCTCCATAGGTCCACGTCTCATTGGCAGTGAGATGCGCGGCTGGGAGACCAAAAACAGAAGAAGAAGAAGAAGAAGTGTCATTTTGCCTGGACGGATTTACCACGACGATTAGGCCGATTGGGAGCCTGAATGGAGCTTGATTAGAGCAACGTGAGTGTATGACGACATCGATGTGCGCCCGGTTACGATATCTCTATTATCTCCCTCCCGCTCTTTCTTTTTTCTCCACGACCGATAAGTGCATGCTCGCACATTTATTAGGTATCCCTAATAGAACAGCATAGCCGAAAAATATATAGAGAATATCCAGAGAATGTCCAGAGGGCATTCCCATACAGCACACAAGTTTGCAGCAACATTGCAACAACATTGCAATATTGTACATTGCATAGCAATATTGCAGAAATATTATATAGGCATGAATTTGCAATATATAGTTGAAATAACGTTGCAGCAACATTTCCGAAATATTATGAAAATAAAATTCACACAAAAAATATTAGGTACAAAACATTCAGTCCGATCATGTATTTGGCACATTTTCAATAATCCAATAGTAATATTACATATATATTTTATTGCATTATTGCTGCAATGTTATAGAACCATATTTCTGAAAACGAACATTTTACTGTTGCTGCAACCTTGCAGCAAGATTGCTGCAACATTTCACAATGTTTATGCAATGTTGTAATATTGCAATGAAATGTTGTCGCAATGCTGTTGCAATCTTGTTGTGCTGTATGGGTTCGAACATCCTCAGGATGTTCTCCGAACGTCTTCGGGATATGTGTTAGGGTAATTACTCGATTCTTGTTCACGCAAACTTGCCTCGAGCCGATCTGTTGCAACTTATACGGGGGATCATTCGGAAACACAAAATCGAGAATCGATCGTATGGAAGCCCGAATTAGTCCCGATTCGAACCGGTCCCGAGTTCTCCACGTGACGACAATTCAAAATTCTCACCTAAGAAGAACGGTATCACTACCACGTTCATCGTGACACCGTGCAACGTTGATCCACTTTAATGGAGTTACTGATGTTCGAGCTGCTCTTATACAAGTGGCTAAACTGCACTACTGACCTCTTCTTACGATTAACGAGCTCCAATTTATTTGAAGCCGTTCTCCGTTTGTCACGGGAAAATCAAGCGTTTGTTGGACAAAATGTGACATTTTGAGAAATTTAGAAGACAGAGCGAAGGAGTACAGCGGATGAAAAAATAAGTTAATAAACGCTATTAAGTGACAGGAGAGACGAATCGGGTTATTCGATGTTTAGTTAGCGTTACTTCATCCTACTAAAGTAAACTTATTTTCAAGCGCACATATGTTAAACTTAAAATAATTTATTTTTCGATGAGATGATATTACACAGAATTTTGATGTAAATATATAAGGAAATATTATTTTTGAATATATATTATATTTCACATTCATATTAAAATTATATATAAAATATTATATCGCAATCTTGCGTTAATGACACTGTTCAATTAATACAAACGGTATAAAAATCTACCTTGTGATAAATTACAAAATTTTGCAAGAGAAACCAAATTAATTTTTTTTATTATACGTCAATATTGAATATTACTGTAACTTATTAATAATACACATGTATAATTTACATATTACCTTTTCAATATTCTTAAAATAGTGATGTCAAACTCTATTAAAATTTTTAGCTATATAAACCTGTTGACAGGACGTTTTTACTTACTCGTTCAAGATTTCATTCAAAATGTTTGAAGCCTATAAAATATTTCACAAAATTAATAATTGATCGCATACAATTTCGACAAGAACATTTAAAATATGAAAAGATCACCAAAAAAAGAAAGATCACGTGTCGTAATTTTCGCGGATTAAATTTTAATCTACTCTCTATTTTGAATGATACCAATAATAAACAATGACGAATCTCTTAAGTGAAGGAGAATGAACCCCTAAAATTAACTATAACGAAATGCATCGTCGACAATCAGTCACTGGATTACTCTGATTTAAAATCTCGAAGCCGCTTTTAAATCACACGTGGCATCAATAAGAGCGTAATGTTGTTTACATGTCGTATCAATTTACATACTTCTAATTATATGATTGACAGGACAACGAAAAGAACGAATGAAATAATAACGTCCTGTTTACAGCCGCTATCCTTCTGTTGTCCTAAGTGCTTTAATACTACTGTACTAAAGGGTTATTTTCTATATATATATAGAAAAAAAATATATATATATATTTGCAATCATATATATATATATATATATATGATTGCAAATATAATCCTAAATTTGTATACAAAAGTTAAATAAAAATATAAAAAATTAAATTAAAAATATAAAAAAACAAAACGTAAAAAATAAGATAAAAAGGACACGTAACATGTGTTTTAATTATATATATATATTTTTTTTCGAAAAATAAAATATTTTATAAAAAATAAGAGCAAGATTATTAATTGTAAAATAGATTACGCACGCTTATAATATAAGATATCGTAAGACTCGATGCGGACCGTGTCATAATTGCAATATGCAATATCTGAATGACTGATACAAAGGAGTACGTTTATTGACCCAAGGTCATTGTAATGATTTCATAAATGGCAAAGTGCGCTGACACGCACACGCGGTCTACGATGGTTCAGAAAGGGAAACGTAGTGATATAGAGATATAACATAATTCTATGTGCTCGTGCAGCTCTAAATACATTTCATCTTCTTCGCAAGTTTCTGGATTAAAAATACATGTACGTATATCCAATAAATCTATATTAATTAAAATCGAATGTTTCATAAAATCGAACCATTACATTTCGATTCGAGAATAATCCATTTCATCGAATGGATCGTTAAAAAATGCTAGGAAATTTTAGAACTTTATAAAATAATAAAAAAGTTTTTAGAAATTTTATTCTTTTGATGAAAGAAAATAATATCTCTCATTTTTTTCTTCTCAATTTATTATATTTATATATATTTATAGTTTCTTATTCAGTATTATAAATGCGCACACATACTCGTGATGATTCTGGCTATTAAAATGAACGAATACGAATATTGCAACATGACAAATTATCATATTTAACTAAAAACACTGCGCTGAAACTGGTTTCCTTATCGATGATTTGCGCCGTAAGTTTTATTTAGTAGTGAGAGAAAAATGCACAGTTGGGTGAGCTCACATTTCTATAAACTATTCGTTAAAATTTCATTTTATTTGTATATGTATCATATCAACACGGTGAGAGAATATTTATGTGTCAATCCATCACAAAATGACGCATCGTCTAAAATGTATTTTAATGAGCAATTAATTAATTTATTATTTAATATAAGATATAAATAAATTAAGTTATTATCGCATCACACATCATTACACATCTGTATTTATTAAAATACTAATATAATTTATAATTATATATACATATAATTTAATTGCATATTGCAAAATAAATTATAATTAATAAAGAAGAAATTAATGAGAAGTTATATAAATAATAATTAATGTTACATTTAAATTTATTATCTTATTTATACCTACAATTAATATTTATTTTAACGCATGAAAAACATTAAAATTTCCGCTTATTGTAGAACATGCTATTTTTATTAACACAGTTATTATTTATTCATACTGATCTACATATCAAAGATCAATATTTTTCATATGAATAAGCGAGCATTATCTATATCTGACACGCAGTTATTATTCCATGACGTAGGAGATTTCAATATATTATAAATGAATATGACAAGCTTTTAGGCATGTCGAGAATGTTTTGATTTTTATTTACACAACAATGTAGAATAACAATAAATCCATAATATAAATATGGGAACAATGAATTTCTCGTTCAAACAATTCTTCGAAACCGCATTAATTACATGAGAAAAGTACTAGTAACAAACATTCTTTCAGCATCATTCATATCCTGACAATAATATTCTGCAACTCGACAAAATTCTATTATATACGATATTTATAATTATAAAAATTAAATTGTATACATACTTAACTATATATCCAATTTCTATCATTTAAATATTCAAAAATATTTATTTAGTCACACAATAAATTAAAAATTATTTGCATATCCCTTTATCAAAGCAAGTGTTCAAAAATAAATATATTATTATATTTGTGCTTGCATGTTTTTTATTCAATAATTAATATAGTTGAAACTGACGCATTCTCTCTATAGAGTAATTTTAGAACAAAATGTAATTTTATTCATTATGCGTATAAATTCTCTTTTAGAAATATATTATATCTAAAATATATTTTATTCCTTTGTTACGAATTTTATATATGATTTTGGTGTTTTTGCGTTTATGTATAATAAATGTATATTTTTGCCAGTCATACAATTCTAACAATGATGAAAAGAGAGACAGAGATTCGCGCTAAAAGCGAGATTTTACTTTATCACGTTAACAGGAATTACGGATGTTGCTGATAATCTGCTGTGAAATTTATTATGCCTGATTATGGTTCGAAACGCGGGTTGGGAAAAACCCGGATTGACAGCTGTTTCCATACAAACCTGTATAGTATCAACAGCTTTTAATTTTCACTTTTTACGCGGCACAATCTCATTACAGCCAAGTGAAAACATGAAGAATATACAATATATAATTTATTTCAACTGCTCTTCGCAAGAATTGTAAAAATATTCGATAAAGATTAGAAATGCGCAAGCACGAAGATCATTATAATACAAAAGAAAATATAAAAACTTTATCTAATCACTTTGAAAGAAATCGTGTCGGTATTTAAAATAATAATGCAAAATGTGACTAAGATACATTTCTTTTAGACTTAGATATAATACACTGAAAAAATGACTAAATTAATAAATATTTATTTGACTATTCTCAAATAAATCATTTATTTGAAATAAATAAATATTTTATTTGTTTCGAAAAAGATTTTCTTATATCAAATAAATATTTTTCATATCAAATCAATATTATTAGCTTCAAATAAATAATTCATTGGGCAGTATTGAAATATACATACTTATTCGAATTCAATAAATTTTTTTTTAATGTATCAATTTTTATATCGTAAACAAATATTTATATATATAGATTAATTGCGATTTTATGTAAATAAATGTTTTGCAATAAGAAAGTTTGCAAAAATGATATATTTATTTTAGAGAAATACTATTTATATTATTCTGACTATGTATATAATCTCTAAATAATAATATAATTAAACCATAACTGAAAAACTATAATTCTTAGAATCATCATTCACCTCCTTTGATAAAGAGATCAAGAATTTCCAACTAAAAACATGGAAATTTATTGGATACAAATTTATATTACAAATATATTTTTTATCTTCTACACTTTCTTTTACACACGAGTTATAAATGTTATATATGTTATTGTATCAAATGTCAAGCGTAAGTTTGATTTTTTTTTAATTTAGCCTCTCTTATCTTTCAAATTATTAGCAAAATATCGATAAGAAACAGTGCGTAATACTGAAAAAGCATAATTATATTTAAAAAAAATCAATGATCTCTAAAGGTCTCTCTGAGGTCACGGCGTCATTTTAGATAACACTTTTCAATTGATATTTCTCATTAAACGATCATTTCTGAGTAAGTCGCGAATTTATAATTCTCATTATTTAAAATACAAATAAAATACGCATCTCTTTTTTCGGATAATATTGATGGATCCGCAACGAGTGCGCAGATTTATGGATTTAATTAATGCTTCAACAGATTATAAGCTTCGTTAAAACCACAATGAAACGCTGTGATAAATATAAGCGCAGACGTAATATGTTGGCGAAGCTGGGAAAGCATGAAATTCATCTCGGCAATGCTGACTTTGCAGTTTTATTCTTATTTGTTATGATAAAATATCACATATAGGAACTCGAAACGCGCAGTGACGTATTTAAAATTTTGTTTCAGAGGAAAGAAGAAAGAGAAAATGGGAGATTACTAGAACTCTGAGCGAGCTATTACATTTTTATATTTAATATTAAGCAATAAACTGTATAGTTTACTTGCTTAATAAAACAGTGTTCTATTATAAGTGCGAGAAATTTTTAGATGGTTAAATTTCAGATTTCGGGAAAGAAGAAAAGCTTAACTCAGCATCCCTTTCCCTTTCATAAAAGAATGTGAAAAGAATTCATATAATATTGTTACTATATTATTAATATAAAAAATGGTCTTCTGCAATTATATAATTTATCATAATGGATTTTAAATTAATCTATATCTAAATAAAACTACTTATATTTACTGAAAATTATGTTATATTTATTATTAATTATTAATTATATTATTTATTATATTATGTAGTATTAGTATATAAATTATGCAATATTAGTTATTAAATATTGCAATAAATATTAAAGTGAAACGTATATAAAATAATAAAATTTTTCAAATTAATTTTAGTATAAATATATATCAAAATAATGTTTTCAATGTGATAAAAAAAATGAATATATTTATTATCTAAATAATACGTGTAAAGATTTGTACATTTATATTAGGCAAAACTATAATTTCTATAAAATAGGATTACTATTAAATTTTTCTTTTTCTGTTGAACATATTATATAAAAATTTATGCAAAAATTAAATAATCTCATATAAAATTAAATTTTGCAAAGTTTCTCTTATTCTTCAGAATTTACGTACGTAAATTAATCAAGTTGAAAAAAACGAAATAAATTATCATCGATAAATTGCAAGTTGGAGAACTGCTTTCTTGGCGAAATTGGTTTATCCCAGACGCTCTTGGGGAATACTTTCTTATCCGAGATTCTTGTTGCTTCGGAAGGACTTTCGCATCCTACACGATATCGCGATATATATTCAACGGGAAGTTTACAACCAAGTTTCCCAACAGACGGATGACTCAATTTCATAGTGGGGGAAATCATAATATGGCCGAACGATTTATATAGCAGAAGAGTTGCTTGCCACACCAGCATTTCAAGTTCGAACGGTAAAATCGCATGGTCTCGTTGAGTTCTCCGATCTCCAGTTAGAAATATTATATAAACTGTTGGTGAAATCATCTTGGACTTATTTACCAAGCTCGTGGATATCTCGACACATTCGACAATCATGGTAAATACAATTGATCTTTTTAATATCTTATGTTCTGTTAATGGATATATATTAATTGTATAATTTTCGCAATTTTAGATAAGATTTTAGTAAAACATTTTTATAAGCAGATTCTTTTTAGTAGAAATTAATTCGTTTTTTTATAATTAAAAACATTATTGTTCTGGTATTTACATATATATACATACATACATTTATGTATACATTTTACTCTAATATTTATTGCAATAGGTATTTAATACTTTGTATTGCACAATCTATATATTATATTAAATATAAATATATAAAAATTTCGCAGTACACATGATGAGAGTTTTGTTTAGAAAATAATTTCAATAATTTTAAACATTATATTGACTTAACGATTTTTTATGTACACAAGTGTTACTCTAATAAAAACTTACTTATTTCTTAAATTAGAATAAAATATAAATTTTCTCAAAATTTTTAAAATTGCAATTGCAGCTGAAGCACGTCATACTTCTCAGCATCGCAATGTTTTGCTTGGTGCAATCGCAAAGACCATGGCATGCTGGTAGCAGTAACAGTCGTCTACCTCAGGTTCTGCCTCAGTACATCGACGAGCGAATAGCAGCGGAACAAGCGGCCCAAGCGGGCATAGGGAATCAAGGTCAAATGGGCACCGTGAGTCAAGGTCAACCCGGCATCGCGATTCAAGGCCAACCGGGCATCGGGATTCAAGGCCAACCGGGCTTCGGGATTCAAGGTCAACCGAGCTTCGCGAGTCAACCGGGCATCGCGATTCAAGGTCAACCGGGAACCGCGAGTCAAGGTCAAGCGGGCGCCGCGAGTCAAGGTCAAGCGGGACCAATAAACCAAACCGGTCAAGGAACTCAGGCAGCTTTAGGGACGGATTTACTTGGAAATCGAATCGGTGGTAGCACGATTGCACCTGCATCGGCTGCAGCTGCACCAGCTTTGAGTCCGATAATCCCGTCCGATCTGCCCGTGGACGCTCACGGTGACATCGATCTGGTGAACAGAATCAAGACCTGGCCAAGGGACAAGCAACCCTTCTGGTACATCAACTGGCAGGCGATTCAAGCTCATCGGGGAGATGGAAATAACAGCGCCCAACCGGCCCAGATGCAACCGAACCCGACGTCGTTTTTCGCGGGTTAAAAGAATGCGATCGACCGCGAATTTGAAAATTTTGAACACATATCAAGACTGTAAAATTAAGTATTCGTGCTTTTAGCGCTAGAGGATAAGAGGGAACACGATCGTCAATATTTATGGCCGCTGGCGACAGCGGTTGTTCCTAGTCAAAACATTCTCTGAGAAAGAGATACGCGAATCTGCGGTTTTTAAAAGAGTCATTATATTCATATCAATTCGGTTTCTCGATAATAAAGGCGTCATCGGATGTGGTTGAAACAAACATATCTTGATTATAAGTTCGTATAATTATCGTGTTTTTTTATAAAATAGAATTAGTCGGTGGATTTTTGTATATGAAAAAAATAGAAAAGAAAATTTTTTACACACAATGTTTTCTTTCTTGAAATTATAGTATTTTTTATAACACTCTACAGCTACAGCTCGAAAAAAATTAAATTGAAATTTAAAATAATAAATAAATAAATAAATAAATATATATAATATATATAGGGTGTATCTAAATAAGTGCGAAAAATTTTAGATGTCAAAAATTAAGGGGAGTTTTTTATATAAACATATATACTCTTATATCCCTCTCTGAGGAGTTACACTTTTTTAAGGAGGGAGATAAAAATAAAGTTTTTATTCTTTTCTCAAATTTCAGACAAATTAAAAAATGAAACTTGGTGTGGATATTTTCTGTTTCATTATTTTAAATTTGAAATTGAGAAAAAGAATAAAATTTTTAATCCCTCTTTAGAAAAGTGTAACTCCTCAAGGAAAGGTATAAGAGAGTATATGTTTATATAAGAAACCTGCTTTAATTTTTGGCAAATTTTCTAAAATTTTCCACACTTATTTAAATACATCCTATATATATGTATATATAGTTATTTATATATAATATATAATTTTATTTAATTTAAAATAATAAATATATACACTGAAAAAAATTACTAAATTAATATATATTTAGTTCAATACTGCCAAATAAATCATTTATTTGAAACAAATAAATATTTATTTGTTTTGAAAAAAAATTTTCTTATATCAAATAAATATTTTTCATATCAAATAAATATTATTAGTTTCAAATAAATGATTGATTTGGCAGTATTCAAATAAATACTTATTCGAACAAAATAAATTTTCTTCAATGTATATATGTATATATATATATATATATATATATATATAGTTTTTTATATATAATATAAAATATATAATATATATTATTTGATTCTCTTAAACAAATTTCTTAATATAAATGCGCCAGATAAAGACATTGTTTACCCAGAATAATAATGTTCAAGATCTAAACAGAAATTTATCAATGAACTCACGTACGTGAATGGCAGCGGAATTAAAGGCCACTGGAACCCGGCGAAGAGAGGAGAGAGATACGCGCGTGTAACGCGATTCACACTGTGCACCGTCGGCGGCGGCGACGAATATGAACCTTCGCCGCGCGCGTGCGCGTCGCGTACTCGCTCGCACGCTATTGGCGGACGCCGCGCGGCGGCGGCTCGTGACGTCAAGCGCCGGCCGGCCAATGCGCTGGCGCGGCGAGCGACAGTGTCCGCTGTGCGCGCGTGCAACGAGCGTCGTGCGTAAGTGTGTGTGATATATTCGGTGGCCGAGGAGCCACGCGGAACTACGGGTTTCTCTCTCTCTCTTTCTCTCTCGAAGCGGCTCGATCGCGTGATGATGACGCGTTCGCGAAGTCGATCTGTCAAAATCGAGATTTAGTTTCGCAAAACAAAACAAAAAAAAATCGGATATTCTATATACATAAATATACATATATACATCTCTCTCTCTCTCTTGTCGCGTGTGCAACGCGTATGACTCTCTGTGAACAGCTGGCGGAAGGGACGGAAGGGGGAAGACAGCAAATGCGTCTGGTCGCGCACGCGGAAAGGAGGAGGGCGACGGAGGAGAGGGAGTGTTGGGGTTAAAATATTTCGCCGCGCCTGACAATTGCTGACAATTCCGACCCATCCGTCTCGCCATCCACGCGGCTCTTCCGAAAAGAAAAGAGAAAGAAAGGAGGAGAAAAAACAGAGAGAAAAAAAAAAATAACACACTCGCCACGCTACGACACGGTACACGCGTGGACCCGCGCCGTGTTTCACTCGGAACGCGAGCGCCATTGGCAATGTCGGGAAGTGACAGCCCAACATTTTATCACGGCCAGCCCTGGTCCAGCTGGATCGAAAGAATCGGACGGGACAAGCCGCTGAGTAAGTGCGCTCAAACCTGTCGCCGCGGAGCCCTCCGACGCCGCGTCCCCAGGAGGCGCGACGGCGACGGCGGCGTCGAGGGCCGCGCTTACCCTAACCTCGCTTCGACGCTCCCCGTGCGAGCGCGCGCGAGCGTCGAAGGAGAGGCGATGTGTTTTCTTCTGACATCCATCGGCATCGGGAGGCGATGTTTCTTTTTTTTTTATTTTTTTTTTTATTTTTTTATTTTTTAATTGACATCCCGCCTCCCCTTGTCGGTGTGAAAAATGATTTTCAGGATCTACAATTATGTAATTTGATACAAGAACGAGCGTACGATATCTCTCTTGATCGCCGAAAATAATTGATATGTCTTGAATAGATTCAATAGACGTTTCTGTTCTCTTTAGCTATTTTTGACAGGAGACACTGTTATTGAAAAAAAAAAAAAGACTCAATATTTCCTTTTCACGAATTTTAAATCCTGTACAGAAGTCGTGAATTGTGTGCATGTATTTACGAGATGAAAATAAAAATATGAGACTTATACCACAACATTGTGTTCTTTATTTCACATTTCTGTTTAAATGTTGAGTTAGAATTATTAAAAAATAAAGTGATTATTTGAATATTATATATTTCATACATAAATATGTATGATTAAAAATGGAACACATAATTGTGTGATTTTTTAATAGATAATATCACATATAGATAATTGTAGAGTAGTATGTAAATAATATTTTGAATTAATATATTGAAGTATAGATCTTTTTTTTGCAATTTAATCACAATACATAAATAAGTATAATTTCTAATTCGTTGCATGATGAAATATATGTTTTATATTATCAAGTATATAATTTAAGGATTATTGTTTCTCTTGGAACAAGTAAATTTTACATTTGCTAATATTTAATGCTATTATAAAATTGTGTATTGTATATTTTAGGTGATGAAGAAACAGATGTTCAACCGTCAAGCTCAGTCACACGTCTTTCTGCAGAAGGTAATTTTGCGATAGTTCATATACTCTCAATATTATACTTTCTTAAATATCCTCTCTATTTGATGTCTTCTTAAAATAATATACACGTAACATATTGTAGTTTGTTATTTCAATCTTATTCTTTGCTACAATATTAATTTAATGAAATATTTTTCAGACATTGATTTATATGGCTTCTGTCCAGAAAGGGATGATTTTTACGGAGTGGTATGTGAAATTTGTAATGCCATAGTGAAACCGCAAGCCCTTATTCAACATATGGGTATGTATTTTCACTTATTCATTGTTATATTAGTTTAATACAGTACAATTATACTTGTAAATTCAATTAAATTTATATTTATAATTATAACGTGTGTCTACAAAAGAAATGTAGAATATAGAAATATAGAGCTCTCAATAATTTCAAGATAAATTATGAAAAATTTCAATTATTTAGTAAATATAGATAAATATTAAATAATTCGATTTTTAATTTATATATTTTTATTTATAATGTGTGATTTTAATATAAAGTATTATACGCATACAAGCAATTAATAGCAATATAGCTTAAGATGAAATGTAGTTTAAAGTAAAAAAGAATGGTATAAGTATTTGTAGATACATATAAAGATAGATATGTAAAGAAATTATAAACATCATCTTCTCTTTTGCCACAGAGTGTCGCCATCCTTCAGGCACACCGAACTTTCCGCCTCCATCGAATCCGATCGTGAAGCCGGTTGTGAAGACTCCTTTCTGCAAAGTGTCAAAGCTGAAAAAAACCACCACTCAACTACCAACATCATCTTCGTCCTCTTCGATTCCCAGCGCAGGGAACATAAAGCTGAACCACACAATTGTCAAGCGTACTGCGGACCAGACAAACTTATCCGCGAGCAGCTCGCTACCGATCTCTCTATCACCTCGCTCACCCCTGGAATCTATCCAGGTGCAAACCGCATCCCCTAACGTAACCGGACCTTCGAGCCTCATCAATGTATCAACGAACAGCAGCAGCAGTCCTGGCAAAAGCCCCGGGATCAGCAGCAGCAACAGCAGCAGCGGCAGCCAGCCTCGCCGAAAGAGGCTCAAAACGGATCGCTCTCTGCTCAAGGACCGCGAATACGATCCCGACCGGCACTGTGGCGTCTGGAACGAGGAGACCGGCAAGCCCTGCACCAGGTCACTCACGTGCAAGGCTCACACCGTCTCGCTGCGCCGCACGGTCGTCGGTCGCAGCAAAACCTTCGACAAGCTCCTCGCGGAGCACAGGGCCGCGAAGGAACAGCCGAGCAGCGGCGGCGGCGGCGGCAGCAGCCGGCAGGCGACGAAGATGACGGTCTCCGGCACCGTTACCGTATCCTCGGCCGTTACCGTCGCTGCCGCCGCCACCGCGGCGTCCAGCTTAAACACTCCCCTTACTCCAAATACCCCAGTTTCCATCGCCGAGCCGGAAGTGTCGCCGAGCTCGCCGCCCGTACTATCGCTGCCAGACACATATCCACTGCCAAAGGTGAGCGAACGGTTACTCTTTTTTTTCTATTGTTTCTCTTTCCCGCAAGATTTATTTTTTTGTATACTCAAGACTCCCATGTAGCAACTGACGTCATTAAATGTCAAAATGATGTCATTAGATGTCGAATAACGTTATTAAATGTAAAAACAATGTCATTAAATGTCAAAATGACGTCATTAGATATCAAAATGACGTACAGTTGCTATCTGGGTCTCTCTTATACACATTTCTTTCCTCATTATCTCGTCTCTGTAGTATCCTCGATGTGACTCTTCTTCATATGCCATGTTACTCTATCAGTCTTCTCCTCTGCGCGAGCAATCTGTGCCTAGGAGCTAGATTGCTGGCGTAGCCGACGAAATGAAAGTTTCAACTTGATCGATGTGTGTGGTTGAGGCGAATCTGTATATAAGTATATACAGTTTCTCCCTTGTGTTGGATTTATTATTATTCTCGTAACGCATTTGAAGAAAAAAAATGCGAACGCTATATATATTCGAATATGTGGCTTTCTTACTTTCCGAACAAAATTGTTGTATAGCTTTACGATAAGTTTGAGACATTGTGCATGATGTTGATTCTCTTATTTTGTATTTTACGCTTTCGAAAGAACTTTCATTTCTGCATATTCTCATAATGTCAGATATTGAAAAGCAGGTGTAAAGAAAGTAACGTAGACATATCTTTCTTTTTATGTGTGAAACGATAAAAAGGTAGATTACTTAAATTAATAACTTCAATTATTTAATAAATCTCCATGAAAAAGATTTCATGGATTATTTTGAGATCAACATTATCAAGGTATGGCCTTCAATAAATAAAAAATGTTTTCTATATAGAAACTTTGCGTGACAATGTTTAAATCATTATAAACATTAATATTATCGTGTCTACATGTCTTTTATTTTGAGATATATTTTGTGTGGTAGTGAAATCTTAAGTGATTTGCACTTTGAATCGCATAGAAAAGTTTTTGATTTTTAAGATATTACTTTTAATCATTTTTATATTTTTTTACATTTAATTTGAAATATTTATATGAAGAAAATTATGTAAATATTACATATGAGTATATTTTTTGGTTTATTTATACATTTTTTAATAGACACGATAATATTAATGTTTATAATGATTTAAACATTGTCACGCAGTTTCTATATAGAAAACATTTTTTATTTATTGAAGGCCATGCCTTGATAATGTTGATATCAAAGTTATTGAGTCAAGTAAGTCTCATAAACAAAGATTAATAAATAATTTAAAATTGTTTTACAATTATCAGAAGCTTTCTTGCGGTTTAAAACGTAAATAACTTAGTATTTTATTTCGCAAAATAAAAATAATTGCAAGATGTTTTTATCAACTATTTCTTCAAGCATCCTTTTTAAAGAAATTCTAATGATTGTCAAGAAATCAAAATTAAGAGAAGCTTAAAAAAAAGCATGAAATTGAATAATATATCAGAAGAATATCGTGGTTTCTACGTACTTTCTATAGAAATGAATCCAATATACCTGATCATTTTCTTGCATTATACAACTTTAATATTACGTTTTCGATTTTATATTTCACAGAATTTTATTTTTAATATTTAAATCTATCTGACAATACGTACGTATATTATATTAATATATTTTTAGAAAATATTCTAGTAATACTAAATGATACATGATATATTTTTAAATTAAACCATAGATTATATTACAAACGTTTCAATTATAAAGTTATTAATTTAGCTTTAATAAATAATTTCAGAGAATATATAATAAAAAGTCAAAACTGTTTTAAAAGATCTATTAAAATATTTTCTTTTCACTTTGTCATATATAAAATATAATTTCTTTGATATTTTTGCTAATGCGATTATCAGCAATTTTGACAAATGTATTTAGATATGAGAAATATTTTGCATTCAAAGTAGAGAAATCACAAAAATGGTTTAATACTGTCAAAACAAACGCGGATTAATCGACCCAGATAGAATGAGATACCGCGCGTTAAAAAAAGGCAAAGGCAGAGAGGGTGTCGGTTGATACTTGTTTTCTGTTTTTGTTATTGCAGGCTGTTGATTTGCTTTATCGGTGTCTGGCCCCGCATGGCTCCACTAAACCTGTAAGGCATGGTTTCTTTTGGGCATTTAAACGCCACCTTCTCCTACGGAGATCCACGATTCTTACTCTACGAGTCGCCAACGCTTCTCTTTTTTAGACCAAGCTCGAAGAGGACTTCGCCAACGCGGAGGAGCTGCGGAGTCTAGAGTCCACTCTTGTGGTCAACTCTACCGTCGCGACCGCCGACAGCAACAACAGCGGCAGCAACAGCGGCGCCGGAAGCGGCGACGTCGGCTCGTCGCAGCAACAGCAACAACAACAACAATCCAGCTCGATGATGGGACCCATATCCGTGATGCTGCCGTCTCTGTCTCCGTTACCTGGCGCGAGCAACGAAGACTCGCCGGCAGTGGCCACTTTGATACCCAGCACCGCGACGACTCCTGCCGCGATGCCGGTTATATCGTCAATGCCACTGCCAACCACCTGCGTGCAACCACCTACGGTAGTCGCGACGGTCTCGCTCGAGGGCGAGACTCCGGTGGACATCGACGCCGAAAGCATGTCTATATATTCTCCAGTTTACACCGCGACCACCAAGGATCATGCAAAATCTCAGTTGGTGATGCAGATACAATCATCGCGACCGAACAGTCATTCTCAGTCGCAGTCGCCGGTCTCGGTCAGGAGCTACCAGCATCAGATACAGGCCTCGATGCCGAGCCTGAATCTGTTCGAGCCCGTGGAACAGCTGGAGCAGCAGCACCCCAGTCAGATCAACGGCAAGAGGCTGAATCACGCGAACCAGATGTCCTCGCGGCAGCAGAAGAGGCACGGCAAGTCTCACCAAAGCTTCGAGCAGTCGTTGTCCTGCTCCCAGTCTCAGTCGCAGGACTACTCGACGTCCGCGTCGATCCAGTTCGAGGCGACGACGACCGCGTCGTCGCCGTATCCGCACTTCGGCGACATCTCCTGGTCGAACTGTCATCCGGAGCCGCTCGCGGTCAGCCGGTGGCTCCGTATCTCGTCCAGCCGCAAACAGTACAATTTCAATATTCACTGACACAAGACCCCACCCACCCCGGGCTGAGGACTGTGTGCCGCGGGCGTCGTTCATCTACCTCCTTTCCTGCGCGGCACCCTCTCTTTCTTCGTCGTCGCCCACGTCATCGTCATCGTCGTCATCCTAGTCGTTGCTGCCGCCGATGCAGTCGATGATGATGATGATGTCGCGTCCACAGCCTATCGAAAGGGGGAGGGGGGAAAAAGGCTCTTGTTTTCGTCACTCTACGCTATGGAGATGTGAGTATGTGTATTTTTGCGCGATCGATCTCGCGAAGAATTCTTCTGTTTATCCTTGGACAAAATGCTTCCGCGTTTCGAGGAGCCTCTCCGAGGCGCGATGTAATCTTCCACTTTCTTGTGCGTCACGTCGCACAATATTTTGAAGCTTTCAGCATCAGAGATCACGAATGCGTCGTAGAAGGTCAAGAGAGGATTCCCAATTTGGCAACATCCGTACATTGACGATCGCCTATTTGAACAAGTATATCTGAACTCTCCGCGAGAAGAGAAGAAAAGGAACACAGGTATTTCGCACACTCTCGTTTACTCGCTAAATTTTTAACGTAAGATAGAGAAAAATAGAGGTATAGGAGATTGAACGAGAAGATTGTGTGTCTTGATAACAATGAATGGTTAACGAATGCTCGCGATGTCGTGTAAAGTTTCTGCACAGAATTTTCTCACAGTGTACACACTATATTGTGTGTTTATTCGTTGTTACATGGCTTGTAACGTCGCAGAACATTCCGTCAATCCTCTTCTCTCGATGATGCGCGTTACTATCTCGCAATGATCATGAGGACTTACTTTATTAAGTGATTTCTAGGTGCTTTTCAAGATGTAAGAGTAAAATATATATAAGAGTTTGCGTTTTCTATTGGGGGAATATTTCGGTGAGATATAAATCAAATGACGTGGTGATTTCTTGCCAAGAGCAATCGATGATGATCATACTCTTCAGCAACGTGATACACAGCTAAAATGTTCGACACAGATAAACACAATATTATGCAATTGGCGAGTACACTGAAAAAAAAATTTTGTTGGATTAACAAAAATTCTGTTCGAAAATGGACGAAACGGAATTCTGGTTGAATCTACCAGAATTCCTTTTAATACAACAAATATCTTGTTTGCACCAACAAATTGATTTGTTGTACAAACAAGATGCTTGTTACATTAAAAGGAATTTTGGTAGATTCTTGTTGCATTAAAAGGAATTCTGGTAGATTCAACTAGTAATTCCATTTCGTCCATTTTCGAACAGAATTTTTGTTAATCCAACAAAATTTTTTTTCCAGTGATAGATAATCTTTTAAGTCTCCAAAAGTTTTTTATTTGATAAACAATCATGTGATATTGAGTTTATGTGTGTTTCTTGCTGAAAAGTTACCTATTAACATTTTTATATTTAGTATTCATCATTTGTCTTTTCTTTAGAATGATATATCTCTGCACTGAAAAAAAAATTTTGTTGGATTAACAAAAATTCTGTTCGAAAATGGACGAAACGGAATTCTGGTTGAATCTACCAGAATTCCTTTTAATACAACAAATATCTTGTTTGCACCAACAAACTGATTTGTTGTACAAACAAGATGCTTGTTGCATTAAAAGGAATTTTGGTAGATTCTTGTTGCATTAAAAGGAATTCTGGTAGATTCAACTAGTAATTCCGTTTCGTCCATTTTCGAACAGAATTTTTGTTAATCCAACAAAATTTTTTTTCCAGTGTGGTAGAATTAAAATTTGAAAGATATACTACTGTGTTCCGTTGCTAGAAAACATCTTATGCATTCGTTCGTAATTTTTACTCAAATAGTTTGAATTGGAATTATCCAATCGCGATATCACAAATTTATTTTTATTATTCTGTCATAATCATGCTGAGTTTTTTTAAGATTCGATATTATTTTATTAAGGATTTCTTTTCGGCGAATCATGAATTATGAGATTTTATTTTTACATCTTGAAAAAAAATTTAATTCCAACATACTTCTTCCTAGTAAATTATTAAATATATCTCGTAAGATTTTTTTTGTTAGTTAGAAATTAATTGCATTATAGCATTTGACAGATAAAATTGTGAGCGTGCAATTATGTTCGTGATACGAAATATTATCACATACGTCATTGCATTTTTTATGAAATTGTGCAGGAATTTTGTAAATAGATCGCAATTTATTATTATTGTCTCATATTGTATATAGAAAGAAAGAAAAATGTTTAGTGTTCGAGACTAAACACACATACACATTTTTTGCATAGCTGAAAAGAATTTCAATTTATTTCCTCATGAGATATGAACATGCAGATTGTACATACTGTGTATATATACATATATGACGTATACATATATATATTTTTTTTATCAATCACGATCTTTTATCTCTCTTGCATATGTGTGTACCTACGAACACGAGAAGCGCCATTATTTAACGTTATATACAATTCCCTTTGTTTTTTTACCGTTTTTGCCATGGAGATTATAAGAAATTCGAAACTTCGAGTGAGCGATTTCTTTTTTAACTTGATTTCATTCTGCATTATTGAGTCTCGTGGTAAGATGAGATCAGTTTCGCTATGTAAATATAATTATAAGAACAAATCGAGTGATATTTTTTCTTTTTAATAAAATTGCACGAATATACAAATTGAAGAGGCCAGTGGATAAAAATTTAAAATTTTGTCGATATTAATATTGGTATGTATAGTAATATCATAAATAATAATTTCTATAATCCGATACAATCACATTTATTTGTGATTTGTCAAATAATAATTTTTTTTAAATAAAAAAAAATGTGTTTTGTTTTTTTAACGCGAAGTTACGTTTATTTGTGCTTATAGGTACGAATTTATTCGGTAAAGGTCCGCGCAAATCTATGTAGGGCTAAAGATTGCATGATTAATGCAATTAAAGCACTGATAATGATATAATATCATAGAAACAAAATTAATATAATTCTACATATCTCGGAGTTGCTAACAACTTTAATTAAATGTTACATTGCTCAAAAGTCTCGATATGTTTTTTTTTCATATTATATAATTAAATACTTTGATATATTTCAGAACAATAGTTATAGTAGTATTATTCAAATGTACTATAACTATACAGAGTGATTCGTTTTAATCTTCACAGGCAAAAGTTGTAGAGATATAATATCTTTAAATGATTTAAAAAATGCCATCCAAAAGCAATTTTAAGTCATGATATATTCTCCTCGAAAAATTCTACAACTTTTACCCGATACATTTTTTTATTCTAAAAAAATGTATCTTATAGTTGACAGATATTCGCCTGTTAAGATTTTATACGAATCATCTTGCATACATAGCATATTTTAATAAATAGAGATCAATTATATATTTAAATACAATATAATATAGAGCTGCAATAACAAATTATTAAAATTTTCCAAAATTTTCTTTTCACTGTTCTACAAAAAAAATCTCATCTTGTCGAGACATAGATTTCCTCGATTTTTTTTTAATGCTCTATCCGCGAATAAATCGTAAGCTACTATGTAGGTTTGTCTGCGAACTTAAAAATAATTACATTTAAATTTGTCTTTTCACACCTAAAGACGATTTATTTATTTTTCTACGTGCTGTCGTTATAATTTGCATCCCCTGCAATCTCCTGATAATGAATAAAAAGCGCGCAGAGCTAATCTAATTACCCAATTATAGATTAGTGATGCGACAGGACGCAGGACTATGCGTACTTCTTATCATAGATTGTGATATTTGATTATTATTATTAATTGATTAGTAGGATATAATTGTATACGTGTCTTTATATTGTGTTCGACGGCAGAAATTAGAGCGTTCTCTGTTCTTTTTGCCGAAAGAAGTGCTTTTCATGCTGTCAATGTCGTTATTTTATTTTCTCGTCTGGTCGTTCGAAGAGAAAAAATGGAGATAAAAAAAAATTAATCTCTTCGCGCTTGCGTTAATAAAAATTAGGAAATGATAAAAAAATTAGGCCAATTTTTGCGAAAATTATTTGCAAAGGAATAGAAATATTGCATGTTTGTGTGTGTGTTTACGTATGTGTGCGCGCGCGTTAAGTTATATTGAGTATAAAAGAGTGCTGAATTCTTCGATAAAACCGCGCAGTATAAAGCGATGCTTCGCATCATCGCAACTCATCCTCTCGGCTACCTGAAACCGTGATAACTTGTACATAAATATCGTGTAAACAATTAATTATTCACGTACCTATATCAATTAGCTGCATAATTGCGTAAGAATAATATATGTATAACATCCCAAAAGCAAAAGTAGCCATTTTGACAGCAAATTACGTCATTAGGACGTCAAAATTATGTATTTTGACAGCAAATCGCATCATTTTGATGTCGAAATAATATAATAATTATTGTGGCTATTTGGGATACACACATGTATACATATGTATATCTGTACGAACGCGTTAAAAGATGAAAAAAAAAGGAAAATTAGAGGAGAGATATCCATTTTGAAACTCGCGGACATTTTAACAGCTTTGAATGCTCTGACAAAGCATGGACACTTGTGTAATCTCTCGTGCGCATATAAATATGCGAATATTCCGCGTAATATCGCATTTAATATTAAATATGGTCCTCTCGATTCCTTAGTATTGTTTATGCACTGAAAAAAAATTATTGAATTTGAATAAATATTTAAATCATTTATTTGAAACTTAATAATATCGAAATTTTATTTTTTCTAAGTTTTTTGAGAAAGAGAGAAAGGAAGAGATGAAAAAATAGGCAGCTTTTTCATCCGAAATAGACAAATCAATAAAATGCGCAAACATCGGCTTTTCCGTTTCCCTGAAGAATCAACCGTATTTGTACCACATTTAGTGTTCATTGCTCCGCACGAGGCGATTATATTAAATCCGATAAAATCTCGTGCGATCTCGAGAAACGATGCGACACTGATAACGAGCGCCGTTTACATAAAAAAAAATCCGCTTCCCGGCTAAAAGTTGGCTCGATCCCCAATCAAAGCCGTAGATTTTTTCACATTATCATCCCGAGAGCAATAATATAATACGGTCCACACAACTAAGCGAATTAGTGTAGCAATAATTATTTTACTAATTATAAGACACTATGAAGGCGCGTTTTCCGCTGGCTTTCACACTCTTATGGGGAATTCCGCGATCTCTTAAATCGATTCTGTAAAAAAGAAGTGAAAGGGATTCATAGAAATTACTTTGCGAGAATCTCGAAAACTGCAAGATTAGAAATTGTCTGAATTTTTGTCACATTGCACATTTTTTCGTGATTAAAAATATATTTTTTCCAATCACAATTAAAATATTAAAACTTGACACAATAGAAGATAAAGATAGAAATTTTAAATCGAAAAATTTCTATGAATTTATCCCTTATTCGCTTATTTTTACAGAGTCGAAAGAATAGATTCGGGCGCAGACCAAATGCTTTGTAAGAAGATTTTATTTTGTTCTAGGGAGAAAAGAGCGAAAGGAAAGAAAAGAGCGACCATTGTATTTTTTTTTTTTTTTTTCAATTCGATTTTTCAATTTCTCCTCTTGCCTCGTTAGCGCGCGTGCGCGACTAGTATTTTAATTAAATCAATTAAATTAAACAAACCTATTAGCGCGAAACTGTGGTGCGATGGAATAATGTACATGAATGACGTATATGATAGTTTGATAAACTGATTAAGACTGAATATATCAATGAGGCGAGGAGGGACTCGTCCAACGAATTAGATCGTCGATGACTTTTAGCGATTTTTTTTTTGTATAGATTTTTTTTTAAATAGCAGGTATAATGTTCACACTTAATTCTCGAGGAGTGTATCGGAGGAGGTATATACTGCTTTATATCATGTTGAAACATGTGCATGCGTTACCGTTTATATTGAATGGATGGTTGATCTATTTGTCTCTTTGGCACACTGTAATTTCATATGAAGGAGCTGAAAAAAAAAAGAAAAAAACATCTCCGGCTTCAGATTTATCACAGAGCGCAAGATATTTTGTGGCATTTAATTTAAATATATGTTTTATATTTATTTGTGTAAATCTCGATATTTTTATTTGTCCGTTTACCTTACACCCGTTTGTTTTTCTTTTTTATTCATCAGTGCGCATGTGCAAATTGATAAGCAAAATTTTGTGTAAGAATTGGGAAGATATACATATGGGGGAACAGAGAAAAGGAAAAAACAAAAAATTTGCATAGAATTTGCTATCGCATATCATTGATTGTAAATATTATGACACATTTCGATTATGTCATATTATTAAATGCTCAGCATCTCATCTTTTAATTAATTTTAATGTTTCTTAAGAAAAATCTAATGTAAAATTTAATTTTTTTTATTAGGCAATCAAAATTAAAAGTTTGGGTTAACTAAAGATTAATTCCAAATTTTTTCTCTAATAATAGAACATTTTTATTGGCATACATTATTTTTGGGATCATTGCATTGACTAAAATATGTATATACTTTTATTTATTCTATGTGTTCAAAATTATGTAACCTCATAGAAAGACTGCACACACAATAATTAAACATAAATAAAAATAAAATTTTTTTTTGCAACAATATGGCAGAAAAATTATTTTTTTTATGAAAATATAAAAAATAAAGCGTTGCCTGAATAATTAATATATTAACGATTTATATACAGGGTGATTTTAGGGTGTCCCAAATTTCATTTTCTTAACTTGTCAAAAATTTGAAAAAAATTAAATATATATTCATATGAAAGACCCTCTTAATTTTCAACAAAAAAAACATTAAAATTTTTTTGTTCTTATATATAGAATTATCCTGTGTGTATGTACAGAAAGATCAGTAAAAAGATAAATATTAAAATGTGTACGTCTTCGCTAGTATTATATTTTGTAAATGCGATTTATGACACGCATGTAGAAGAAGATAAGTTATTTCAAAAGCAATTAGGCTCTGCAAGCGTCTTTTCCTTTTGGGATAGAAGAACGTAAAATTAGAAAGACACTAAAATAGTATCGGTGGTCGCCTTTTGAAGTCGGACGTACACGCGTTCCTCTATGTGTCTCAACACTTCCTCCATAAAGAAAGAATAATTCCACCACAGAGATAAATCATAAAAAGATCTCTTGCGACATTTTTTCGATCATTTGTAATATATATACGATAATACAGCGATATACAGCATAAATATAAAATGCAGCTACTACGATATATTGATTAATATGAATTGAGAGAGAAAGACAGAGAAAGAGAGACAGCAATTATTTAATAAGAAGAATTCGATACTTTTAGAAATGCGCAGCATTTTACTCTATATAATTTATTAAATATAATAAATTAAAAATATAATGAAATATATATAAGAGAGTAAAGTTCTTACTAAAATATATTATTTCATATGCTCTCTATGTGTGCTCTTACTTAGCCGTATTCTTGCCAAATAGTCAACACAAATAAATATATACCGCCATTTGATACAGTTTTAAATTCGCCGTCATTGTAAATATTATATACCGATGCAATATTTATAAAACTTTTTCGTCATTTAAGCGACCATTTGATAATTATCGTGCATGGAAAGAATTTTTTTAATTTTCGGCTCCTACTTTTCGCCGATGATTCTGAAATATTGAGCGATTATATATATAATCGCATTATAGATAATTATATATATATATATAATATATATAATAATAATAATAATAATTTATTATTATTATTATTATTATTATTAATTATGGTTATAATTATAATTATATATATAATTATATATATAATTTCATATGAAATATATCAATGAAAAAATTGCACGATTTGAGAGAAAAAAAAAGAGTGTTTGGTGTGTCCGCGTAAACTTTTTTTTTCACATATGTACGCCTCGTTCTTGCTCGTCTTTGTCGTAACTGTTCTCGTATAAAGAATGCAATTTTTATAAATATAAATATACGTTTCGATTACTTAAAGACAGAGGTAGACTACGTCATTGTAAAAAAAATAATAATAAATGAAAGATACACGAACGATATAATAGGATAGAGCGCGCGAAACGCTCTCGTGATGACATTTTTCTCAGGTATTTAACATGTTTGTAAAGTGTCACAGGTGACTCCTTCCTATAATCATTACTATCGAGATTGGATTAATCGCCATTATGAAAAAGCTTGCAAACGATCAACGTGTTTTCAATCGCAAAGTTCACATCCGTATACTTCAGTATTTATGGGGGAGAAAGAAATTTTATTATTTCTGAGATCCCTCTATTTAATTAATGTGATTGATAGATTTTTTTATCGAGAAAAAAGAATATCGCAAACTTTTGTGACATTATATTCTTCTGAAAAAAAATCTTATAGAAATAATCCATCAAATTTTGAAGAGTCCCGGAAATAAGATTCTTTTTTTGTCTCTATTATACTTTTATCAATTTTCTCCGGACAAATCTTTTATTATAATTTTATTTATAATTTTTAAATAGCAATATGCATAAAATTACGGAAGATAGTCTCAGAAATATAATCTAAAAATTGTTGAAAGCAATATTTTCTTCTTTCAGGCTTCCGAATAAATCACTAAGGATGAGTGCAATTTTGATTATCATATATAGATATAAATATAAATCCTTGGTGCTGTCGCAAAAATTAAAAATTAAAATTAAAATAAATTAAAAATTAAAATAAAAATAAAATAATTAAAATAAAAATTAAAAATTAAAAATGAATAGGTATACGAAAATATGTGGAAAGAGAAAGGAAGGATTTCGAAGCATTATGCACATATATATTCTAAGGAATAAAAAAATTTCCTATATTATGTAAAAAGATTCGCGCATTCCGTAACGCGCGGTTTCGTTTACGCTATCTATCTCGTAAATCTTTATGTAATGATATAATATTTAAGAGATGGAAGAAAAAGAATATACTCGCGTTAAGAAGGAAATTTCTGATCTGATCTCGAAGTAATCTTATATTGCTAAGGTAGTCGATCATAATATAATACAATATATATATAAGCTAGAGAAGAGGATGATTTTTTGTCAGAAGCTCTATCGGCTTTCGAAATTGCTCTTATATAAATATACGTAATTACAAACGTATCTTTAAGCCTTTTTCGTCGAGAATGTTCGTGGATGTTACTGATGTGCGCTTCGGTGTAAAGTTTCACGATCGCGTTCTCGATATAAATATTTATTCCAACAGTATTATACGAGTTATATCGCGCGAATAATTTTCACGCAAGGCTCGTCGTTTGATTACGAAAAAAAGAGAGGTATGTAACGAAACATCGATATATTCTCTGTATAATGTATAACAGATATAGCCATTTAATTCTCGATTACTTTATATCGCAACAAATGAAGAAGAAAGAGAGAAATTATAATTGTAAAAGGAAAAATTATGAATAATTGCGGTTAAATATAAAGGAATAAAGGGAAAAATTTCCTTTACGATCGCAACAAGAACAGTGTATTTGTTACACAGTTGATCGTTAGATGTGCATAATGATGATGCAAAAACTTTGAAAATAAAACGATCTGACTCATAATTCGTAGCATTCTTAATTATTAATTCCTCGACACTATTTTATGCTCCATTGTATTAAAAAATTTTTGCGTTGAATGACGAAGCGTTCAAATAATAGTTATTTTTTGTAAAACAATATAGTTAAATGCAATTAAATTTTTATTCAATATAGTTAAATGCATGTGGCAAATTTTTCCTTAGAATTTATCCTAAAAATCATGATATTGAAAGATTTTTTCAAGTTTCTCTGATTAATATTTAGAATAAAAAATATTAATATATATAACATCTCTAATTTTCTCTTGTTTAAATTGCTCAAATAAATAAACTGAATTAATGTAATTTATAACAATTAATATATAAATAATGATATTTACCTTAAAGTGTTGCTCCGTCGATGCCCGATGCCTATTTCAAGCCTTCTCCTCCTCCTTACAGGTTGTAAGGATCGTCAAAATCAGTTTATCGATTAACACGCGCGATACTTTTAATTTTAACAGCACTCCTGCACTTGTACGCGCAATACTTTTAACAGCAATCCCGAATTTTACGTCATCTGTAACATATAAATATAAAATCTAAATTATAGCAGCGTTCAAATTAAATAAAATAATTAGTTCAAAAAATTATTATTGGACGCGCCAAACTTTATGTTTGGTGCGTAACAATAATAATAATCTAATAATTATTTAGAATAAATAATAATCTATATTTTTATATACGTACAATTAAATTCCTGGTTATCTATGAAAACCTATGAAAATTCGATCTGTGTAGCCCTTATATGAAAACTTGATTTATGTTTAGTTAATTGCAATAGAATCTTTAGAATTAAAATGTCTCTCATAATATAATATATTGCTTATTTCACAAAACATTATTTAAATACAAATTTTATATAAATTTACCATATTATTTGTGCAATAAATTTATAAAAAATTTAATTATAATTTAAATAATAGAGCTATAGAAATAAATAATAGAGAAATAAATGGAGCATTCTTGAATATGATTTTTAAACGCAGATTATATAGATAATTTTGTTCCCTCTATCATATGTTATTGTAAACACATAATGAAAAATAATAAACTCGAGACAAAAAACAGATTTCAACTAAGTATGTTTGTCATTTTAACAAAAACACATTTGTTCACGATCGTTTCTTGTATTTAATTAGAATCTCTTCTCGCGATCTCAAACACATCTCTTCAGAAAACACTTTGCGACAGTAAAGAAAACATCATATCGACGATGAATAGATACTGCTTAATGAACCATTTTAGATTGGTAAACGGACATGCAGAATGCATTTATTGTGTGCAACCATTTCAAATTCAAGTAATTCAAAACACGGAACTTTTAAAACAACACCTAAGGAATGCACATTCAAATTACTGCCAACAACGTATTGATGGATTAGGTCATGAGAGCTTTGATTATTTGGCGGCCACTCTTTTCCACATAACACGAAATGAAGACGTAAAGTGTAAATTGTGTGAGACCAGATTTAATGTGCCAACATCTGCTTTGACGGAACTAAGAAATCATATAATAAATACTCATGTATTTATCCTAGTGCAACAACAGCTCTATCGACGATTGGATTATGGTAAACTATCAACTAACTACTAAAACCACTAATCATAATCAGAAATATGAGAGAAGATGTATACATAAAAATTGCAATGAAATATATCTGAGTCGCACACCAAAATCAAAATTATTTGCGCACTTGGTCTTTCACTTTAAATTTTAATAGTAACTTTTATAATTGATAAAATATAACTTTTATCTCTTCTCAATTACTTGCATGCATTTTTATAAACAATAAGCACATTAAATTCAATACATTAGCACTATTGTTATAAAAATTATGAATATTGGAATCAGTTATTATATCATTTATACATTATATACATTTGTATTTTAAAAGCATTATAAATCTAATTTTCAACCCGTATCTAGATAATCTTAAATAATACTTAAATAATATGTCGATTTGTAACAAAAATATAAATTGAAAATCTATATTTTTATATACATTTATATTAGGATCTTTTATCGGATCTATGAAATATTTACATACATATTCTCGAATTCTTCTTCCCGAGTATATGAATTATAAGTTAAAGTTTAGTAATAGTAACAATTTAGACTTGTTAATATTAAACAACAAACATAATTAAAAAAGAAATTTTGTTATATTAATTATTTAAAATTTTTTACTCATTAAATTTTCTATGTTCATGTAGATTAACAAGTCGTCGAGCTTCGGTTCAATAAAGGATGCAGAGATTTCGGAAAAAATACTAAGGACAATGCATTATCATGGCCATAAACAATTATTTACAACATTTATAATTAACATTTTCGTTTTAATGACCTAAATTCAGCGCGATTGATAAAATAAAACAAAATCTGACATCGTTGACAAATTTATCACTTTAACTTTCTAATCACGTAGCGTAAATTATAAAGATCATTAAATCTTTATAATTATATCAAATTAGTTCGATAGAAACTTATGTTTTATTAAGAATTTTTTAAATTATTTCTAAATTGAGCATCGATAAATATTATATACATATATCATTGTTATATAATATATTCTACAAAATATCAGCTGCTTGTAATAAAGACAAACACATTTAATAACAAATGTATGTTACAAATATTAATCCATATTATTATATTTCAATAACGATCAATAACGATTGTCTTTTGTCTGAGATTTTCTCAATGCCATGATGTGTAAAAGATCTGATTATCTATATATAAATAATTTAATCACGATCTTTGGCTTGCTCACGTTTAAATCGTCCTCGACAAATTAACCAATTTTACAGTATAAAATAATGTTTTAAATAAAAAACTAATTTATTTAAGTCACTTATATAGATATTATATATTATCTCTAATTTTCTCTTGTTTAAATTGCTCAAATAAATGAACTGAATTAATGTAATTTATAACAATTAATATATAAATAATGATATTTACCTTAAAGTGTTGCTCCGTCGATGCCCGATGCCTCTCTCAAGCCTTCTCCTCCTCCTCTCAGGTTGTCAGGATCGTCAAAATCAGTTTATTGATTAACACGCGCGATACTTTTAATTTTAACGGCACTCCCGCACTTGTACGCGCAATACTTTTAACAGCAATCCCAAATTTTACGTCAGCTGTAACATATAAATATAAAATCTAAATTATAGCAGCGTTCAAATTAAATAAAATAACTAGTTCAAAAAATTACTATTGGACGCGCCAAACTTTATGTTTGGTGCGTAACAATAATAATAATCTAATAATTATTTAGAATAAATAATAATCTATATTTTTATATACGTACAATTAAATTCCTGGTTATCTATGAAAACCTATGAAAATTCGATCTGTGTAGCCCTTATATGAAAACTTGATTTATGTTTAGTTAATTGCAATAGAATCTTTAGAATTAAAATGTCTCTCATAATATAATATATTGCTTATTTCACAAAACATTATTTAAATACAAATTTTATATAAATTTACCATATTATTTGTGCAATAAATTTATAAAAAATTTAATTATAATTTAAATAATAGAGCTATAGAAATAAATAATAGAGAAATAAATGGAGCATTCTTGAATATGATTTTTAAACGCAGATTATATAGATATTTTTGTTCCCTCTATCATATGTTATTGTAAACACATAATGAAAAATAATAAACTCGAGACAAAAAACAGATTTCAACTAAGTATGTTTGTCATTTTAACAAAAACATTTGTTCACGATCGTTTCTTGTATTTAATTAGAATCTCTTTTCGCGCTATCTCAAACACATGTCTTCAGAAAACACTTGGTGACAGTAAAAAAAACATCATATCAACGATGAATACACCACACACCGTAATGAGACATTTTGTATTGAAAAACGCACATGCAGTATGCAAATATTGCCCTGAACAAATCCGAGTAATTCAAAACATGGAACTTTTAAAACAACACATAATATATGCACATCTAAATTACTACGCACAAAATATTGATGAAATAATTCATGGGGACTGGGATCATTTGGCGGCCAATGCCTTCTACATAACACGATTGGGACAAGCAAAGTGTTACCACTGTGATATCAGATATCATATGCCACAATCTGCTTTAAGGCAACTCATAAATCATTCAAGAAATCATATATCTACTCATGCAGTTAACCCAGTGCAACAATAGCTTTATCGACGATTGGATTATGGTAAACTATCAACTAACTACTAAAACCACTAATCATATTCAGAAATATGAGAGAAGATGTATACATAAAAATTGCAATGAAATATATCTGAGTCGCACACCGAAATCAAAATTATTTGCGCACTTGGTCTTTCACTTTAAATTTTAATAGTAACTTTTATAATTGATAAAATATAATTTTTATTTTTTATCAATTACTTGCATGCATTTTTATAAACAATAAGCACGTTAAATTCAATACATTAGCACTATTGTTATAAAAATTATGAATATTGGAATCAGTTATTATATCATATATACATTATATACATTTGTATTTTAAAAGCATTATAAATCTAATTTTCAACCCGTATATAGATAATCTTAAATAATACTTAAATAATATGTCGATTTGTAACAGAAATATAAATTGAAAATGTATATTTTTATATACATTTATATTAGGATCTCTTTTCGGATCTATGAAATATTTACATACACATTCTCGAATTCTTCTTTCCAAGTATATGAATTATAAGTTAAAGTTTAGTAATAGTAACAATTTAGACTTGTTAATATTAAACAACAAACATAATTAAAAAAGAAATTTTGTTATATTAATTATTTAAAATTTTTTACTCATTAAATTTTCTATGTTCATGTAGATTAACAAGTCGTCGAGCTTCGGTTCAATAAAGGATGCAGAGATTTCGGAAAAAATACTAAGGACAATGCATTATCATGGCCATAAACAATTATTTACAACATTTATAATTAACATTTTCGTTTTAATGACCTAAATTCAGCGCGATTGATAAAATAAAACAAAATCTGACATCGTTGACAAATTTATCACTTTAACTTTCTAATCACGTAGCGTAAATTATAAAGATCATTAAATCTTTATAATTATATCAAATTAGTTAGACACAAACTTATGTTTTATTAAGAATTTTTTAAATTATTTCTAAATTAAGCATCGATAAATATTATATACATATATCATTGTTATATAATATATTTCACAAAATATCAGCTGCTTGTAATAAGGACAAACACATTTAATAACAAATGTATGTTACAAATATTAATCCATATTATTATATTTCAATAACGATCAATAACGATTGTCTTTTGTCTCAGATTTTCTCAATGCCATGATGTGTAAAAGATCTGATTATTTATATATAAATAATTTAATCACGATCTTTGGCTTGCTCACGTTTAAATCGTCCTCGACAAATTAATCAATTTTACAGTATAAAATAATGTTTTAAATAAAAAACTAATTTATTTAAGTCACTTATATAGATATTATATATTATCTCTAATTTTCTCTTGTTTAAATTGCTCAAATAAATGAACTGAATTAATGTAATTTATAACAATTAATATATAAATAATGATATTTACCTTAAAGTGTTGCTCCGTCGATGCCCGATGCCTCTCTCAAGCTTTCTCCTCCTCTCAGGTTGTCAGGGTCGTCAAACTCAGTTTATTGATTAACACGCGCGATACTTTTAATTTTAACGGCACTCCCGCACTTGTACGCGCAATACTTTTAACAGCAATCCCAAATTTTACGTCAGCTGTAACATATAAATATAAAATCTAAATTATAGCAGCGTTCAAATTAAATAAAATAACTAGTTCAAAAAATTACTATTGGACGCGCCAAACTTTATGTTTGGTGCGTAACAATAATAATAATCTAATAATTATTTAGAATAAATAATAATCTATATTTTTATATACGTACAATTAAATTCCTGGTTATCTATGAAAACCTATGAAAATTCGATCTGTGTAGCCCTTATATGAAAACTTGATTTATGTTTAGTTAATTGCAATAGAATCTTTAGAATTAAAATGTCTCTCATAATATAATATATTGCTTATTTCACAAAACATTATTTAAATACAAATTTTATATAAATTTACCATATTATTTGTGCAATAAATTTATAAAAAATTTAATTATAATTTAAATAATAGAGCTATAGAAATAAATAATAGAGAAATAAATGGAGCATTCTTGAATATGATTTTTAAACGCAGATTATATAGATATTTTTGTTCCCTCTATCATATGTTATTGTAAACACATAATGAAAAATAATAAACTCGAGACAAAAAACAGATTTCAACTAAGTATGTTTGTCATTTTAACAAAAACATTTGTTCACGATCGTTTCTTGTATTTAATTAGAATCTCTTTTCGCGCTATCTCAAACACATCTCTTCAGAAAACACTTTGCGACAGTAAAGAAAACATCATATCGACGATGGATACATACCGCTTAATGAACCATTTTAAATTGGTAAACGGACATGCAGAATGCATTTATTGTGTGCAACCATTTCGAATTCAAGTAATTCAAAACACGGAACTTTTAAAACAACACCTAAGGAATGCACATTCAAATTATTGCCAACAACTTGCAATGATGATCAATTCTATTGATGGATTAGGTCATGAGAACTTTGATTATTTGGCGGCCACTCTCTTCCACATAACACGAAATGAAGACGTAAAGTGTAAATTGTGTGAGACCAGATTTAATGTGCCAACATCTGCTTTGATGGAACTAAGAAATCATATAATATCTACTCATGCAGTTAACCCAGTGCAACAATAGCTCTATCGACGATTGGATTATGGTAAACTATCAACTAACTACTAAAACCACTAATCATAATCAGAAATATGAGAGAAGATGTATACATAAAAATTGCAATGAAATATATCTGAGTCGCACACCGAAATCAAAATTATTTGCGCACTTGGTCTTTCACTTTAAATTTTAATAGTAACTTTTATAATTGATAAAATATAATTTTTATCTTTTATCAATTACTTGCATGCATTTTTATAAACAATAAACACATTAAATTCAATACATTAGCACTATTGTTATAAAAATTATGAATATTGGAATCAGTTATTATATTATTTATACATTATATACATTTGTATTTTAAAAGCATTATAAATCTAATTTTCAACCCGTATCTAGATAATCTTATACTTAAATAATATGTCGATTTGTAACAAAAATATAAATTGAAAATGTATATTTTTTATACATTTATATTAGGATTTCTTTTCGGATCTATGAAATATTTACATACACATTCTCGAATTCTTCTTCCGAGTATATGAATTATAAGTTAAAGTTTAGTAATAGTAACAATTTAGATTTGTTAATATTAAACAACAAACATAATTAAAAAAGAAATTTTGTTATATTAATTATTTAAAATTTTATACTCATTAAATTTTCTATGTTCATATAGATTAACAAGTCGTCGAGCTTCGGTTCAATAAAGGATGCAGAGATTTCGGAAAAAATACTAAGGACAATGCATTATCATGGCCATAAACAATTATTTACAACATTTATAATTAACATTTTCGTTTTAATGACCTAAATTCAGCGCGATTGATAAAATAAGACAAAATCTGACATCGTTGACAAATTTATCACTTTAACTTTCTAATCACGTAGCGTAAATTATAAAGATCATTAAATCTTTATAATTATATCAAATTAGTTAGACACAAACTTATGTTTTATTAAGAATTTTTTAAATTATTTCTAAATTAAGCATCGATAAATATTATATACATATATCATTGTTATATAATATATTTCACAAAATATCAGCTGCTTGTAATAAGGACAAACACATTTAAAAACAAATGTATGTTACAAATATTAATCCATATTATTATATTTCAATAACGATCAATAACGATTGTCTTTTGTCTCGGATTTTCTCAATGCCATGATGTGTAAAATATCTGATTATATTTAAATAAATAATTTAATCACGATCTTTGGCTTGCCCACGTTTAAATCGTCCTCGACAAATTAACCAATTTTACAGTATAAAATAATGTTATAAATTAAAAACAAATTTTTTAAGACTCTTATATAGATATTATATGTATATAATCAATTTTACATATTAAAATTAATCGAACATATTTTATATCTTGTGATAGATATTCATATTTTTTATTGTGATAAATCAGAGAAACTCTTACAAAATTCTTCCAATGCCACGATTTTCAAGGTAAATTCTAAGAGAAAATTCTCTCTATGTGTGCAAACAATATAGTTACATGCAATGAAATTTTTCTTCAATAAAATGTTTCGTAAAAAGTGACGCTTTCATAAATTATGTACGTAATTGCTACTTCTTTATATTACATCATTACTTGTCATCGTATGATGTCTGAATATTTAACGCGGGTACTTGACCCGTGCTCTTTAAATACGGAACTGCGATTCAACGCACGAAGATAGCATCATCGCGAGGTATGAGCGCAAGATCTATTTGTTGCGTGCGGAGTGCTCCAGCTGGACCTAATCGACTTACAGACTGCCAAATGGCAAGAGAATGAAGAAAAAAAAACAATATTCTGCATGTATGCAAAATAAAAAATTTAATATTACAAATATTCATCACCATATAAAAAAATCTTATTAACAAACTACATTAATGTAATATTAAATTAATTCTTATTTTATATTTCTGTGTGATTCTTAATTTTATTTTTTTGTCAAATTAATTACCACTAAAAATGATGTTGTACATGTATGTGCACATTTTATTTGTAATGTTATTATATTATTAAAATATCGCTTATATGAATTGTCGTCAATCCGTATTAATAAAATTTTTTACACATTATTTGCAGATAATTTTTATATATATGATTAGCGTTGCAGATATCGATTGACGCAATAATAATGAAATTGAACGTGTGTTTAATTCGGATGCGTTGCAAAACACGGGTAAAGATAGAATTGAGCAGTAACTTGAGATAATATAAGAGCGAAATCCATTTGTTGCCTATGTAAAGTGTACCAGCTGGAGCTGATCAAGTTGTTGAATTCGCACTCAGGTCATTGCCACTGCTGTACAGTTGCATTATTAAATCTCACATTGATTATAGCACTTGATTAAATATCAATCATTATTTATTCATGTATTAATAAATAATTAATTCGATATCGTCGCGAAACTGCCGTTACCATTTAATTAATAAACTTGTATTAAATCTTGGTATCAAAATATATTGTGTAAACAATAATAATCTCATCAGTATGGTTCGATAAAAATAAATATTCCTATTCGCAAATTTTTGATCACCTAATGAAAAAAAAAATATATAGACTGTAATATAATTTTTTATAAAAATTTCTTAACAACGAACTCTCTTATTTACACAATATAGAAAGAGAGAAACATTTTTACTCTAAAATATAAGTTTTATATTTTTTCGGAATTTTTAGCCATCTTTTACGTGAGACAAAGGTACAAACCTTCTTTGTCGGATCGCGACAATGTCCAGGTAGTGCATGTAAATTTTGAAAGGCCCTATTCAGGGCCGAAGGCTCATCTGGCGAGTATTTTTTTTTTGTTGGAATTTTAGCGTCATCATTTTTTTAAGAGTGCAAAAAGCTGATGTTTTATTAAATTGATTGAATCCTTGAAACAAAATAATACCGGATATTTATAATATTTATTGTTTGATAAATTAATTTTTCTTAAGCTTTTGTATATTTAATAAATTTGCTGTTATATATAAATAAGTATTAAATCTTGATTTTATTTCATATACAAGAATCGGTTTATTTTTTTTTCTTTTCTTAATCAGTAGTATTTATATTTTTCTCCAATGTTGTAATATTTATCATCTTAAAACAATGTAATTTTTGTGTGAAATAAATTCGAGAAGTTGAATAAATATAGATTAGAGAAAAATATCTCAATTTTCTCTCATGTCAAGTAATTTAAAGTTTAATGACTAAGTAAAAATAGTAATAAAATAAAATAATCATCTTATCTAAGATAAATTGACATATTTTCATCTCATCTTTATCTATCTAATTTGAAAATCATCTAAGCACAACACTGCCTAATAGCAATAAAGAAAACTATTGTTTGCACACATAAAGAGAATTTTCTCTTAGAATTTACCTTGAAAATCATGGTATTGAAAGAATTTTGTAGAAATTTCTCTGATTTACCACAATAAAAAATATTAATATCTATTACCACAATTTCTTATTGTAAATATTAACCAGAGAAACTTGCAAAATTCTTCCAATACCATGATTATCAAGATTTTCAGAATAAATTGTAAGAAAAAAGCTCTCACTGTTGCATTTAACTATATTGTTTGCACACAGAGAGAATTTTCTCTTAAAATTTACCATGAAAATCATAGTATTGGAAGAATTTTGTAAGAGTTTCTCTGATTTACCGCAATAAAAAATATTAATATCTATCACAATAAGATATAAAATATGTTCGATTAATTTTACTATGTACATATTAATATTTTTATTGTAAATATTAATCAGAGAAACTCTTGCAAAATTCTTCCAATACCATGATTATCACGATTTTCAGGAGAAATTCTAAGGAAAAATTCTCTATGAAAGCCCGCAGATCCGTCCCTGACGATCTTAACTTCCCGAACGCGAGCCGCGTCCGAGAACTTCCATCCCGTCGTGTCCCTTAGCCTCAGGTACTTGGGGCAACCTGTCTCGAGAGGCCCAACATCCTCTCTCGTCCTCGCAGAGCCTTCTCTTTCTCTTCCCGATCTTCCGCAGCCGTTTACCCGCGTCTCTTTTTCCGCTTCTCTCTCGCCGCATATACGCGAGATGGAAGGGGCCGAAAGAGAAGGAGAAGAACCAGTTGTGAACCAGAACCGTCGGGTCCTCAGAATCTCCCAGTCACTTCTCCGAGTCTGTGCGGTGACCAGTGTACGTGGAAATAGTTGTTGTTGCGCGCGCGATCTCACCGGCGCGACGCGGCCAGGATCAATCGGCGCGTAAACGTCAAACGTCACCGTCGTAGTACGATCGCGCGCGCGCGAGCGCGTCGATCCGATCGTAGGCTCGGTGATGACACGGATCGCGACCCGCGAGAATGGAAAGGGCTGACAGGTTAGTGGAGCATTTCTGGATTTCCGTGCGGACAGATTCATCGGTTCGCGCGAACGATTATTTAGCCGAAAAAGCAAGAGAGAGAAGAATTTAAGTGATTATATATAGGAGGTTCATCGAATAGCTTATTTAATCCTTTAGGTTCTCTCAATACATATTTTATATATTTTTTTAAATTTAATTTTTATTAAAAAAGTGTAATTAAAATTCATTATACATGTTCTTGTATTATATTATTATGTTACTATTTTATTACACGAGAGAAGAGATCTTTCTCTTAGAATTTACCCTAGAAATCATGGTAATCGTGAGATAAAATATAGTATTGGGAGAATTTTATAAGTTTGCCACAATAAAAATATTAATATGATTAAATAGGTAGTTCATCGAATAGCTTTAATCCTTTAGGTTTTTTCAATACATATTTTATATATATTTTTAAATTTAATTTGCATTAAAAAAGTATAATTAAAATTTATTATACATGTTCTTATATTATTTTATTATATTACTATTTTATTACACGAAAGAAGAGAACTTTCTCTTAGAATTTACCCTAGAAATCATGGTAATCGTGAGATAAAATATAGTATTGGGAGAATTTTATAAGTTTACCACAATAAAAATATTAATAACTACACAATTAAGATATGAAATACATTCAATTAATTTTAGTCTGTACATATTAATATTTTTTATTGTGTAAATATTAATTAGAGAAACTCATAAAATTCTTCCAATATACTATTTTGTCTCACGATTACCATAATTTTCAGGCTAAATTCTAAGAGAAAAGTTAGAAACATTTTTTTAAATATAAAAAAGCGAATAAGAGAATGTACTAAAAAACAGTACTTGTGCACATTATCTCATTAACATGATAATTTAGATTACTCTCTAAAATAAATGAGGAATTTAATATTAAATTTGTATTAAATCTCTGTAGACGGACAATCTCACATAAATTCCGGAATGAATTAATTAACTCTGAAGCTATCAAATTTATTTATTTACGTCTGAGATCAATTATGATAATTTTAGTTTGTTGCGTAATCAAAGCGCGAATCTCATTAATTTACGTTTATTGATTTAATTGAATAATAATGATTTCACGCATATCGCACGCTTTGTTAACGTATCACTTAACGTATCGCTGGACGTCGACTAAAGAGTCAATAACCCGTATTATAGGAAGTCGATTGTATTATTTTTTATGATAAACCCCTGTTAGTTGACACGCTAATTGCAATTTCGCAATAAAATGAGAGATAATTATGCTGCGTAATCGCGACACTCGCATTAATAAAAGTTTTCGATATATATATCAATCACTGTTACATTTAAAAAAATATTTCTTTTCCATAATATAAAAGAGTAATATTTATATAAAATTAAAAAAAAAAATTAAATAATATTTAAATAAAGTTAAAATATTTATAAAATTAAAAAAATTTAAATATTCATAAAATTCTATTTATTGCATAATTTTTATTATTTTTATTAATATATTATTTAAAGAATATTGAATCTGCATTTTTCAATTTCTTCAGATAATAAAAATGTATGGGAGCAATTAATAAAAATTAACATTTCTTTACGTATTATATAAAAAAATATTTTTCCTTTTAATAAAATATATACATTAACTTTTTTTTTAATATTATGGTCATGAAGTCATCCGAGATTATCGCGTTAGTTTATACTGGACTAAAAGGGATCTAATATCGGAGTAAGCAGTTTGGCACGGTATGATTATCATATCGAATCGCAGGCAGAGAGAGACACCCACAATAAGTCTCCGATTTGCATATTGCAGCACGGCGTTACGGAACGTCTATTTATGAACGCTCGCTATCGTTATTTATATTCTAGCTATGCTCGATCGCGGCTCATATCTCTTTATATATGTAGCGAGTTTGTGTTATTGTGGACACACGATAAACGCAGATAAATTTTCGGTATTATCGTCTCGCGGCACATTGCGACTGCTACACGTTATTTTTCAATTTTATATTTATGAACTTTGATACATTTTTTTGCGATTGTTTTATTATCGACGCAATATCGCACGGTTTTTGTTAGAAAACAGAAATGTATTTTTACAGGGAATAATGTCTCGAGTGCACCCGCTAATCTATGCGGCAAATATAAATCTGCGACGTGCATAAGAGCGTATGCTAAGCATTAAACATCGAGTCACGATATCATTATACGATTGACATAGCGATTTTATAGTCATGTCCGTAAGCGTAATGCAGGAAAACATTATTAACGATTAGATCGACGTGAATAGTGACTGACATCCATTAAATACTTTCGCTTTTGGATAAACAGTCTGCATGAGAACGAAAGCACGTGGATCTAAAATGTCAAAAAATCGAAATGTCAAGTTCAGTTTTGTCGATTTGATTTAAATCGATAAAAAAAAAAAAATTAAAAAAAAGTAGACGGGAAAAAAAGAAAAAAGAAAAACAAAGAAAAGAAAGAAAAAAGAAAAAAAAAAAAAAAAAAAAAAAAAAAGAAAATAAAGAAAAAAAGAAAAGAAAGAAAAGAAAGAAAAGAAAAGAAAAGAAATAAAGAAAGAAAAGAAAGAAATAAATAAAATAAATAAAATAAATAAAATAAATAAAATAAATAAAATAAATAAATAAATAAAATAAAATAAAATAAATAAAATAAATAATAAATAAAATAAATTAATATAATTATCAAAATTAAAATACAGCACAAAATAGATTTAAAATTTTTGAAGATATTTGTAGCATAATGCAAAAATGCATTATTCGTTAGTGGAATAACATAAATAAGTTTGAAGTGTGAGATCATCGATTATAATAAACACTACAAACATTGCAAATGCATTATGGGAAGTAGTATGCAGACGCGTGTATCTAGTGGCGTTTATATATTTTTTTGTGGGAATGACGACGTGCAGCCTCCGGCGCGTGTGCGATTCTTTCCGTCTCGCGTAATTAGTGCCTTTGCGAGTTGGATTACATAGTCTAGCGTAATTGCCTGGGGATTAGTTTGCCATTAAGCAAAGACAGCATAAACGCCGTTTCCGCGGAACGAAATAAAAGGGCAATTTAACCGCGTTTTATTGAGCGATACACTTATTTATACGCTACGTTATACGCGCGCCAAAGTGATAGTGAAATGCACGAAAAGATAGTTTGTACTCGTATATGCTATCGGCAAGCATTTACATACATGTTATAGATTAACATTTGGGACACATGATAGACAAGATTTACTGTACTCGGAAAAGTTTGCGCGATTGTTCTAAAATAATAAATAAAATATGCAAGTAATGTAATTTATTTAGTTTGTGCATAATTGTCATTTTTATTTCATTTTTCCTGCCATAAATATTAATTATACGAATATAAGTGATCGTTAATCTTGTAATAATATAAGATCAGAGAGATATTATATTTCACTCTTTATTATATACAAAATAATAATATATAAATAAATAAATGTATTATTCATTATTTTATATATTAGATTTATTTATTATTTTTTATATAAATTATTTTATTTATTATTAACCTGCACACGATGGGTGGGGATTATTACCCGAAAAGCTTGTATATAATAATTAAATATATATTCAATCATATTAAATTAATAAAATGTAAGTATAATAAGACATTCTTTGGATCTCTGTTAAATCAGCATTAATTCAAACATTATAATGACCCTAATTTGCGTGAGCTTCTGCTATTAATGATATACTCGCTATTGTCTATTAGCTGTTAACGAGATATTTCCATAAAATATTGCATGCATGAGCTCTTCTCGAGAATGCAGTAGCAGGTGCAAATAAACTCTCGTCCTTTTCCCTTCTTGATGACATCGGAATACGTTTACAAGTGCGTTGGCGCATTACTACGCGCGTTATTACATAACAGCTTGCAACATTTCTCTATTCATAATCTCGGTTCGATTTGTAAGAGAATATTTAGCACGCACAAATAGTTTGTCATTCCTATGTTAATGCACGACGTAAATTGTCATATCATTAAGAAAAACGCTGCGTTTTTTAAGATATGTTTATGATAATTATAAGATACTTTTTGAATTAAAGAGGTTTATATATTTATTAATATAAATATATACTTATTATAAATAATTAATAATTTTGTACTTATTATAAATGTTTACGCTGCTCTGATACTTTATATTTCTTTATTAACGTAATAAAATATTCATTATATTATTTGTAATTGTAAAAACAATTGAGAGACGAATAATATATAAATATATAAAAAAATAATAATAGATTAATTTATTAAATAACAAATATGGAAACTGAAAATTAATTAATAGATAAAAATAAAATTTTGAATTCAGGCGTGATTTCATTGTCTATCTTCTGAATACAGGTGCATTGTAATTTTCTATGATCGCGTGCATTCTTACAATGCTAAACATATGGTTGCAGCTGTCTATATTTCTCATCACACAAGTAACAGATTTCTGACCGAACCATTAAGTGGTTATTTTTCTCATCTGCCTAGAGCGCATTTGAAAAGAAATTTGTGGAAATATACAGCCACAGACAACAAATTATATCCTTTAATAAAAGTTAAAACAATTGTCGATTCGATTACTCAATTATGTAACACGCGGATATAAACAAATGTACAAATTTAATGTCTAATGTAAAAAAAAAGAAAATATATGTATGTAAATTATTAATTTCATATGGATAGAAAATATGATTATCGAATTTTATTATTTAATTTTATAATTTTCTAATTTTATTATTATTTAATTTTATTATTTCATTATTATTTAATTTTATTATTTTATAATTTCTAATTTATAATTTATTAATTTTGTTCAAGTTTTGTATATACATGTTTCAATGTATAAACATTAGTTCATTAATTTTTACTAATGAGCTTGTGCATAATTTTCGATATAAACATCAATTTTTAAATCCTAAAAATAATGTTTATTTTTATTTACCGAATATATTCATAACATATATACACGTTTTATTCGTGCTTATTTTTAGCATACGTGAGAGGCATTTCTGAATGTAAAATGTAAGAATGAGCAACTTTATTCGCGATGCCAAGACCTTGACATTATTTCTCGACTCGATTGAATCCACGTAAATAATCACGAGTTGTGCGTCGGGAGATGTTTTTGACAACTATGGAAATATCTCTTTGCAACATTGCAAGCGACGTCATCGCATAATACGTAATCACTTGGAAATACGTTTCTCGAATACGTAATCTCTTTGCAGACGTAGTTAACTACAAGCTTTCATTAAGAACAAATATCTGCAAATTAATATAAGAGGAAAACATATACAATGTATAATTGATGTACTATCTGGAATATTTTAAATTCAAAAACAATTCTAATTAAATTTAATTAATAAACTATATTTAATGTATAAAAAATGATAGCATATATCATTTAATTTTAGTTCAATTTATTTTTACTAATTCAAATGCAAAATCATTTTTTACGTTTAATTAAATGAATTTAATTAAATATGTATATATATAAAAAAACAACTAAAGAATATTAATAAATTTATCTTGATGTTTCCATATCAATTAAATTTATCAAAATAATCTCAATTAAATTATTAAAACGTAGTGTATGTGATTACACATTATGCAACTGCATGATTATAATAATTGACGATGAATAAAAAGTGTTGGTTTTTATCTAAAAAAATATTTAAAAAATTAATTATACATGTAAATTATAGATCTTGTGTTTTTAAGTTGTTGAATTCAATGACAAAATTTTTATTTAAAATAGTGAGAAATTGGTCAAAATATATTTTAAAAAACTATTACAGTATACACCCTCCCCAAACTTTACTCTCAAAAATTTTATTATATTATTTATTACGTATTAAAATGATAGAAAATGTAACTTTTTAAATAGTTTAATTTTTTAGAAACTTTTTTGCAACACATTGCAAATACGTGTATGTTATACTTAATTAATCCCTACATAATCTCTTTCTTGATTCAACATTGCTTTGTTGCATTCTTTTTATTGAATCATATCCGATTGATGAATCTTGTTTCCACATAAATTATCTCAAAGAGAGATGCCGACGATTATTTATTTAGAATTATACAACTACGATAATTTTTAACGCAACGATGAGTCTCGTTCATTAACATAAATAGTCATCGAAGAGAACGAACGTGCGATTGATAGATATCGTATATTGGATACAGACAGAGTCATACTAAGAACTGTCTGTCATTTAATCGCCATCATTAAACGGTATCTTTAAACATCGAAATTTAAACTTACTACACATTGATGTAAATTGCTAGCGAGAAAAATATATTTTGCACAGTTGTCTCCTTCATTTGAAACGGAAAATACAAAACAAATGATTAAAACATGTGTATCAATAGATCCATCCATTCAATTTTTTTTTTGAATAATAAATTTTTTAAATTGTAGAAATATGGCAGTAAAGACACGTGTTTTTCAAATAAGTTTAAAATAATACACGTCAATAATACTGAAAAAAGCTATGGATTGTCTTCTACAAATTAATAATTCATATAAATATTGTATTAGATATATATGAACCTTTATTAGGGGAGCGCAAATTCATGCGAATTAAGCTTATGTAATTTCATATGTGAGATTAATTTTTTAACTATTTTTTTAACTACTAGAATATGATTTCGCGTGAATCTTAAAATCTTATTGTTATGCATTGAAAAAAATACTTGACCGCGATTTTGTACTCGGGTATTTGTTGACACAATAATAGTACAAGACTTGATAATGATAAAATATCTCTCCGTGTAAATATTTGAATGTCGTGGAGGCGAAAAGCTAGTTTCATATAAATTTCATATAAATTTCACAAGTTGACTTTTCTTTAAAAAAAATTCATATAGTTTATCACGGACTATTTAATAATAAAATATTATCGCCGTTGCAAAAATACAATCGTAATCAAAACTAATTGTACAAAATGATTTTTAGTGATTTTTCGCGATAATAACATAAATGTAATTATCGCTAAAAATCAAGGTTTATCACATAGAATCTACTTTCAACGGCGGTGCTTATTAGTGCAAAGTGTTCATGTTCTCGAAGTTTTAAATGCTCCTAAAGAAGCGGAGCCCACATGCTCGCACGAATCGTATTATTCAAGTTGCACATGTGTGCTTAATGCGTAAGAATGTGTGTGCGTAAATGCGCACGGACGAACGAGAGAGGCTGCGATAGGTGGGCCTACATATGCTTACATTCGTTACCATGTACCGGGTGAAGCAAGTGTGATGGCCATGAAAAAAAATTTTTTTATATCTCGTATTTAAAAAAATATTTAATAAAAATATTTAATAAAAAATATTTAATTAAAAAATATTTTTGTATTTAAAAACATGTTGTATGTGAGTGCATTTTTATAGAACAAAAACAACAATATAAGATACATAGCACATATACATACTTTCATTGATATGTATTTCAAGTTCGAAGGCAAACATACATTTTAATCGTGAGAGGAAAAAAATTCAGCGATTTACGTGATTTCTGAAGATCGGGGAGGAGCGATGCGACATCAGCTGCATAAATAATGCATGTGCATCGAACGCATACGACACGACGAGTCAATGAAGGAGACTCCCCTGGTTGCAGGTGTTTCGAAGCGAGAGAATGTTTTAAGCACCCTTTACATTTGTTCGTCCGCATTTACGCGTTCACGACCGGCACGTACATAATAAACGCACGAGAGAGAGAGAGAGAAGTTTCACGTTGCACGCCCACACATCAAACGCCTTCGCGCGCGAGAGAGGCCTCGTGTTGTTGCATCAGGCCCCGGTGTTGGACCGCAGGCCCAATAAAGGAGCACTCACACATACGGTGAGATATTATGCGGCGTAGAAAGCAAAAGTGGGATGCAGCTGAATTAATCTAAATAATGTCTTTGACATAATCGGTCGGAAACGTAAACACAGTTCTGTATTCCGTATTTTCCTTCAGCATTCCGCACATTCTTTTCTTCCCATTTATTTTTATTTCCTCTGTCATTTATTTCCCTCGAAAGAGAATAATCTCACGAATTGAAACATATAATAAATATTTCTCGTACAATGTTATATATATACACTAAAAAAATTTGTTAACTTGACTAAGTAAATTTTGTTAATCGAATACATATTAGTATATACGTTTTGTTGGATATTTAATGTTATATTTAATTTAATTATTTGTATATGTTCAATTAACAAAGGATTTAGTTGAAAGGTTTAGTCAAGTTGACAAATTTTTTTCAGTGGCATTTAATTTCTTTTATTTTATTATTATTATCTTAATAAATTTTTAAAATATAAATAAAATATGAAATCACACATGGCACGTTTGGGAACGTAGCTTTACTAACATCGATCTAATAGCTGCGATTATATAGTTGTGTTAGCGCGCGCTACAAAATCACATAAGCACTTTACCTTTTATGTCTGGAATCAAATGGGCGTTTCTAACTTACCTCCAACACTTGCGTTTAACCCCATTGACGTATGCGTTCTTTTTTATAATATTATAATATATTACATATTTATATATGTAGTATAATAATAATATACTGGTAACTATAATAATATGGTAACTCATATCATTTTTCATTACAGAATAAATCTTAAATATCTTAGATATCTTAAATTTCTTAATTAAAAATTTTTTTTATTCTGTTCTATTTTAAATTATTATTATTTAAAATTTTTCAATAGAATTTTCTTATGATTCAACATGATGTCAACAGAAAGAATAATTTATATTAATTTCATTACGTTGTTAATTTGCGTACTCGTTTTTTTATGACACTTGAGAGATTCTAATAGAAACTTATACTTACAACAAAAAGTATTTAAAAATAGTGCTTTTCTATGCAAAATTAAATAGAATTAAGATGAGGCTAGGTGATTGTCAAATCCAGTGAAAAAGCTTATATTAATTCGATATCGAATCAATATCAATGGCATCAGAATACATTATAATATGCCTAGATATTAGAAAAATTGATAGATTAATTAATTAAAATTGAATTAAATTAATTAATTCAAATTTTTTTGTTATTACTACTAAAATGATTATATTTAAAATTATATTTGGTTTGATAATAAGTTTTATAGGAAATATGTTATAAAACTTATCAAACTAAATATAAATTCAAATATAATCATTTTAATAGTACATCGAAAAATCGAAATTTTAAAATATTCCTTTAATATCTAACAATAAGCATCGATGGCATTGATATCGATTCGTCATCGAATTAATATTAATTTTCTCACTGGGAAGTTAGACAATGAAATGTTGGACAACAAAAGATACTCAATCTAAAATTCGAATATAAACATATATACACATATATATGTATCTATAATTTTTCTGTATTGTATTGTTATTATATTTTTCTCTATATTTCTATATCTATATTTCTCTGTATATATCTATATATTTTCTCATTCCGTTTAATTTGATTATGCGCGTGAGGTAATGTTATATTATTATTTGATAATAAAATCTTAAAAATATGCATAAAAATTATTGCACTGTATATATGGATAGAAATAGATTAATTAAGTATGCAATGCATACAAATTCCATATTTAAATCTTTAACAAAAAATGCGAACAAAGAAATCGTATTTTCTACAAAAAAATCTTTCGACATAAATACCTTCAACCTAACCTTCAATTAAACTCGCTTATCTTCATACATCTGCCATTACGCTGCACATTTCGCTCATCGTTTCCATCTCTTGCACATCTCGCGTGAGACGCTGATTATCACTCAGCTTCATTCTTAACTATAAAGTTAGATTTCAATATTTAAATCTTCAATAGAAAATGCGAACAAAAGACAATAAATTCAATATAAATACTTGCACCTTCATCGAAGACTCGTGCTCCAACCTCCGATGCATCCTTCGCACTGCACACTTGGCGCGAGACTGATACTCGCTCGACTTCACGCTTGACTGTGACGTCAGGTATCGCCGCCAGGCGGCGCCACCTACTTGGAGTCCGCGGTCGCTGAGGAGGGATCAGTCTCGCGCCGGACGTGCAGCGGAGTGGACGCATCGAACGAAGAGGAAGAGAAAGAGAGAGATTCTCTCTGCGCTCCGCTTCTTCCTGACTGTGAAGTTGGGTTCCGCCGTCAGATGGCGACACCAGTGCTGATAGTCTTGTGGTCAGAGGTACAAATTAAACTTGCAAAGACGTGTGACAAATGGCAGATAATAGAGGATTGATAGAGACGTGTGAAGCTAATGGAGCACAGGTATTTCTTGTAAAAATGCTATTTCTTTGTGCGCACTTTCTGCTAAAGATTTAAATATTGAATCTTTACGCATTTTTGTATAGTTAAGTAATATTTTTATGCACACATTGCGATAATAATTGTTGCAAAGTATGCGGCGCAATTTTTAAGAGTCTATTGTCGAAGTGATATGACTTTGCTTCGGCGCGGTTAGGTTAGATTGAACGAAATGAGAGAATATAATATGTATGAAAATGTTATTATTTATTAGAATCTATAGATAATGAAGCTTGATTTTAAATCATTGCATTCGACTCGTATTTTTTAGTACTACATATTGAACTTGATCCTTATATTACAACGCGCGAATATATATCAATTGCGCATAGTTTGTGCAAATTGATTCTTCGATACGGCTAGCAGCGATAATATTGTTTAATCTACGCTAATTACACATCTGTTAAAAATCTGCTATTGTAAAACAGTGGCGCGATAAAACGATTTTACGAGCAGTTTCGCGCTTACTTAAAAATACTCAGGTACATTAATCATTATTCTGTTAATAATGGCTTTAATTTTACGGTGTAATTAAATAATTAAACGGTTTAGTTGTTGCTCCAGAAATTATGATATTTCTTGAATTTTTAATAAAATATATATGAAATTGTGAAATATATATATATATATATATCTCTCACATAATATATTTATAATTACTCAATATATATTATATTTTAAATTATCGATTTAAAGATATATAAATACATATATATTTATTAAATTATAGTACAATAAAAATTAACACGAAAAACCATTTTCTTTCGTATTTAATAATTTTTTTATTTTTATTAAAAACGTTTTAAATACATTTTCTGGCTTTCTTAATTTTTCATGACATAAAATAAAATTCAATTCACTTATTGTTAAATGTTACTAATATATATAATCAATATTTTATACAAAATATCACTAAGTCATTTTATTTTGTAAAAGATTTGTGACCTTTTGCTACCTTTACGGTATTCACTTCATTCGCAATATAATATGAACGACAATAATCATAAATCAAACACGACGAGTAAAGATAGGTGTGTGATTGTCCTTCGACTCTCAGTATCTTTAGATCTATTAGTAATTTTTATATCTAGTCATACTTAGACTAAGCTGACATTGCCGACCATCTTGTCTTTCCCTGTAAGAAAGATCGAACTCTTTTAAATGTGAAATTTCTTTAATTAAATATATGTTGATCTATAATTATAAAATACAAAATTTCTAACGAAAGAAAATAATATAGCATGAATATGAAAAAGAATTAAAACTTAGTGAAGCATTTGCTTTAATATATTTAATTATTCTTGTTTTTTTAGAGAGTTATAATATTATGTGAAGATATTTTAACAATTTTATATAATATATATTTAATGTAAAAAATTGAAGAAATACGATAATGATTTCTTTCAGCATTTTTGCCGAATCAATAGACGAAAAAAATTCGATAACACATTTAAAAAATATATATATATATATAGTTTAAATTGATTAAATATTATCCACATTTATTTTTCAATAAATATGCATACGATCTTATGTCAGAATCGAATCTGTTGCATAATATCGATTGGAAAAAGCACGAATACAGAGAGATAAGTATGTGTCTCGTAGGTGTTTCGAACGTTTCGATCTAATTCCGACAGCGATAGCCAATCTACACACATTCGACACTTTAATCTATTTATATATGTCCCATTGTCGAAGGCGGATGCGAAATAGAAATCAATTTTACGCTCAACTAAACCACGTGTCGAGATATGCAAACTTTATATCGGGAAATCTTTAAAGTGAACGTATACGTGTCTCTCGTTCATTTATTATTCGACGATAAATGCGATACTTATACGAAAACAAAATGCTTTTATATCTGTGATTTTAAACCTCGATCAATGATAATCGAGTTTGATGGCACGCTAAGATTATGTATAAAAACATTGGAGAGAATGTTTATTCATTTCCGGGATTTATGAAGTATATTTGATAGATTTTTTTACCAAGAATTTAATTTAAAATGTAGAATTATTTTTTTTTTTAATTCAGAATTTAATTTTTTTACTAGAACAGACACCACATCAAATGCTGAAAAATCTTGTGCTATATATGTTAATTATTTTTTTCGTGTCTTGTTATTTTTTTATATACACAATTGTATCAGGTTTATTAGAATACTTATAAAAATTGATTGCATTAATTTTTAAATATTGTATTTTTTACATTAATTTTTAAATATATTTTAAATATAAAAGCTTCTTTGAGCTTTCAAAATATTCGCGTCTGATTCCGCGCGGATTTTCATGTGATCTCGCTGCCGTCGTCGCAGAATTGTTACTTCCTGTTGTTACACCGCGAAAGAGAGCCACGAAAAAGAAACCGCATCTTCGCAGAGGAGATGACAAAAATACGTTATGACTTTGGTCGTCATCCGGTGCGGCGATATTTTTGGTGTGCGCACACGTTCATTGAGAAAAGTCTTAATGGGCGAGTGTAAGGTCAAGCTGTGTGTGTGGGCGCGTATATATGTGTATGTGTATATGTATATGTTTACGACATAAATTCACGTGTGATCTTTCGCGTCTGTACTTTGCCTCTTTAGCGACAGACATGATGCAAACTGAATCTTGATCTTTATCGATAATTATTTCCATTCATTAAAAAACAGAATGCGAATGGTGGTTGCTCACTGATGTGTTCGATTTCCTTGGCATGGATCGCGAAAAAATCGATTCTGAATACATAATCTCTTTCCGTATCATTCAATAAATTTTCAAATACATAATCATTTTTTAAATAAATTTTGGAGACATATATGAGAAGGAAAAAGAGAAAGAAAATACATGATATATACGGATATTGTTTAATTCAAATTTATTTTGCATACTCGAACAAAATTTTTTTAATAATAAATCGAAAAGATTCTATATAATATAAAAAATATAAAAAGAGGCACAAAAAATATTTGGTACAAAATTACCTTCAAATTCCTCTATATTTATTTCGATCTTCTTTTTTCTTTCTCAGTGTAATTTTTAATTTTTGGTTTTCAAAATAATTTTTTAAATAATTAAAATAATTGTTAATTTAACAAAAAATCCATATGCATTTTTATATATCCTTTTTACTATGTAAAAATCATGATAAATGCTTGAATTACTTTGAAAGTCAATGTTTCTCATTCTTAGCATAGGTTTTTTATTTTCTATTTAAAATAGTTTTAAAATTAAAATAAAATGTTAAAGTCACTTGTCATTTAATACAAAGGCCTATACGCATTTTTACTATGTAAAAATCGTGACGAATGCGTGAATTACTTTGAATGCCGATGTGGCACGAGAATTTGTAAAAATTCGTGCGGCTGTCATTGACCGTTTCCGCGCGTTGAAAGTGACGAATGGTCGAAAACATAGAGAACACTATTTCTCAGAAAGACCGACAAGCGTGTTGTTTAAGAGGGGCGTTTGAGAAACACGCGTGATATATTGAAAGCTTTATGCGCGTGCTCTATCGGGCCCGAAAACCGCGTTAGGTGAAATAGACCCCAGCGTGAAAGCTTTGCAGCTTGTCGTTTTATATGGTACAATCTCATTCGCGGTCGGCGAAATGAGTTTTCGAGCTCGTATATAGGCGAATAATTTACAAGCTGCGGAATGACGATCCCCGAATAAAATTCTCGCGAAGAAATCTCGGCTTTTCTCATGACTTTCCACGAGATATCCGGTCCATGTGTCTATATGCTTCCGAGAGACGCGAGGATTTTTTTTCATCTTCCGTTTTATCCCCGCTCTTTTTTAGTTTCTTAAATTCCTATTTATGTACGGAAGGGGTAGCGGAACCTCGTAATTATCTCCGAGTATCGCGGTTAATATTACGCTTTGAGAAAAAATGATCGGCAGCCGGAGAGTTGACAGGGAAAACAGGAAATTGTTATTAATATGTCTCGTGCTAACCCTTTACGGCGTTACTAATGATTGTTATGCGTTCAGCTGTATCGGGTTACATTCTCGTAATGCGAATCTATTATTCAACAGACATCAAAGATTCCCAAAATTGCACGCTCTGACAGATTCGTAAGAAATCTCGGAATTAAATATATTTTATCTGTCAGTTTTTATATAATAATATATTTTTTATATACAATTTGACAGATTCGTAAGAAATCTCGGAATTAAATATATTTTATTTTTCAGTTTTTATATAACAATATACTTTTTGTATACAATATTTTATTCCTGTTTATTCTATTTATTATATATATAAATATATGCAAATATTAAATTTACATTAGGAGAAAATAAAATTAATTGGAAGATAATTGATGATTCTGTTTGACATTTTTAATATTATTTTGAGCGATTGCAATAATACAATTATATATAATTTATTTTAATTCAATTAATATTCAAATATAATTAAATTAAAGTAGAATTAGATTAAAATATAATTATATTGTGAATCACGCAATTTATTTTCGAGATCCTAGATTTAATAGATCATTTTCATAAATTTTTTTACTAGAAGAAGAATGTGCATTGCAGTTTGTGACATTCTTTTTTGTAAAAAAAAATTAAGGGGCTCCAAAAATAAATTCTCCCATCAACCTTTCTAAGAGATTTAATTATGGAATCTATGTCAAGATTGTCTATGAAAATCAGAAGAGAAATTAAGCATGTTATGCAAATTAGATGCAAACGATTGAATTCGTTTCGGTAACTTTGAGACGATAATTTACAATACAATCCCGAGTGCATAATAATAAATAATAAATAAAATAAATAATTATAGGAGATGAAGGATGAATTGCAAGAGATACTTCTCGAGTATATCTCGCTCTTGCACGATTTCCTTATTGTTTACGAGTCATTGTGTCCATAATCGTGGGTCACCGAGGTCGCAAAGAGACACGCAACAAGAAACAATGCGACACGTCCGTGAGTCTCTTATCTGATTGGAGAGAAAAATGTGTTTCGTCACTGTACAAGCAAACTTTTTCCCTTTGTCGGCAAGATTTTCCCGCAGCGAAATTGTTTCGTTTTATTGCACGCTATCTCGTATGCATGTCTTTAAATACACGCCATTAATGGAATAAACCGCGTTTCACTTCGCGAATGATTGTTCATTTCGATCGCTTTTGGCAGATACAGCCAAGCGAATGAAAAGAAACGTGTATAATGGTGCCGAGGCACTTTCGAGCGTTCTTTTCGGTCTGCGTAGGTGACAAATGCCGATGAGGATTTTTATGGCGCCGCTTTACTATACATATACATAGAAGCGAGTTTGCTTTCGCTGAAAAGTGAGGGACGCTTCTTATGGCGATGAGATCTCTGCCTGAATAAATCACCTTACTATGTTACATAATTTTATTGAAAACGAAAATAACATTTAATTTATACATTTATTTTCTTTTTAATTAACATTAAAAACGCAATTTTTTTGGACGAATTTTTCGAAAATTTTCAATATTTAATATCATATTTTCTTCAATATATATTATTTTGAGTGAGACAATAATATAATTATATATAATTGATTTTAATTTAATTAATATTCAAATATAATTAAATTAAAATAGAATTAGATTAAAATATCATTATTTTTATGAATCATGCAATTTATTTCCAAAATCCTAGAATTTAATAGGTCTTGACATATAGATTCCATAATTAAATCTCTTAGAAAGGTTGATGGGAGAATTTATTTTTGGAGCCCCTTAATTTTTTTTACAAAAAAGAATGTCACAAACTACAATGCTTCTTCTGGTAAAAAATCTATGAAAATGATCTATTAAATTCTAGGATCTCGAAAATAAATTGCGTGATTCACAATATAATTATATTTTAATCTAATTCTACTTTAATTTAATTATATTTGAATATTAATTGAATTAAAATAAATTATATATATAATTATATTATTGTATCGCTCAAAATAATATTAAAAATGTCAAACAGAATCATCAATTATCTTCCAATTAATTTTATTTTCATATTTTTTTTATCAAAAGAAGATAATGTGCACTGTACTTGTGACATTCTTTTTTTTGTAAAAATGTAAAAAGTGTTTATTTAATTTTATGTTATCTATATAACTTTTAATTATGGGTCTTTTTTGAAAAATCGGGGGTCCTATTTTAGGATCTCGAGCTCATCGGCTTATAGTATTTTTTCTTTGGTCTTATTTACATATTCTCTAGAATAATTAAAAAAAAGAGAGAATATAATATACTATATAATATAAGAGAGAAAATCGAAGTTACATCGTTCATTCATAAAAGGTTAATGAGAGGTTATATAAACTATAATTATTATAATTGAAATTCTTTTTTGATCAAGAACTCATGATATGTACCTATACATGTTTTATTACAATATCCGCTTCTTATAACGTTAAATAATAAAAATGGTAAAGTTGAAAGCTCTTTATCTAGCGCACACACATGTTTTCACGTTCCTACATGATTATATGTAACCGAGACACCTGTGTAAAAGCATCGAGTACCTTATTACCACATTTATGCGTATATTAAAAGGCGATGACGATAATTTTCTGAAAATTAATAGATAATCGAGGAAAGGAAAAGTGGTCGCGCAAGGGCAATTAGCCTTGCAAGGACGCGCAATCATTATTCACTGCCGTGTTTTCATCGCTACCTCCATTTAATCACTCGCTTTATACATAACGTTCTGAAAAATACAACGAAACGTGTAATAAAGTGGACATATAAAAATATCTATTAATTTGCAATTATAACGGGAGAATTTTTTTTCTCTAAATTGTATAAAATTCTTCCATTTATTTTTTTGTTGCTTTATACATAACGTTCTGAAAAATCGTATGAAACGTGTAATAAAGTCGACCTAAAAATATCTATAAATGTGTAATTTTTTTTTCTAGAAATTGTACAAAATTCTACCATTTATTTTTTGTTGCTTTGTACATAATAGATATTTATCAAAATATCTGTTAATGTAATTATAACGAACTTTTTTTTTCTAAAAATTGTATAAAATTTCTTCATTTATTTTTCACTTAGAAAAAATAATTTTTAACAAACACCCTATATAGAATATCGAACGAATAAATCAATCTCCATCGAAAGGCGTCGCGCGCGTTATCACCAATTTTTTAAATAATATACGCGCTTATAGGAACGCTTATAATTCGTTATCTCAGGCGGGCTTATCAACAATGACAGAAATACAGTATATCGATCCAGTTTAGCACTGTCGCACGAACGTGACGTATATATCGCGTTCGCGTATTTCGCATACATTGAATTTTACGTTCTCTTTCTGCGAGTGCAAAATTTCACGCGACTCACACCGACTTACATCATTGCGTTCGTCGTTTTTTTTTCTGAAATTAGGCCACGAGCTCCCCAAGACTTTACTTTCCATTCAGCGATGAGATCGTCGACGGGTCTCTCAATACAGCATAAATATACGTGAGTCGCCTTTAAGTGATCCCTTCGAGGTGCTTTTCTGTCGTCGAAGAAAAACGTGCTCTCTCGACTTGACCTCGACTCGAGAAATCACCTCTCTCTCGCTGGAAAACTCATTAATTCTTTCCTTCCCTTCGGTCTACTGCGAAGATACTTGATTGATAAACAATCTACCCACGTGACTTTCTCGATAAAGATTTCCACGAAATTATACTTATCAATAAGCAATCATGTTTGTTATATTTCATAATATGCGTAATAAAAATTATTTTAGACATAGGAAATTCGATATCGAATAGTATATTATAATTTGAATTAAATGTGAATTTTATTTATTTTTTATATATTATGTTTGATAATAATAAAAATAAATAATAATAAAACATAAATAATAAATGATAATAAAAAGTATTTCATTTATTGGGATAATATTATCATTTGACGAAAAGTGTTGAACGAAAATTCTAAAATTGTATTGTTTTATCTTTTAATTCTGTATTATCTTTTCATTTTATCGATAAATAATAATATATCATATATTCTTTGTGTTACTCTGAAAATATATAAAAGGAGCTTTCAATCATAAAATGTCAAGATGTATTAAATTTGATGAATGTGAAACACGTCATTTAGCCAATTTCGGAACGAATGAGGAAAGAAACGTCAGTTTTTAATTATATTCAAGTGTCCATAAAGCCTTGCGGAATTTCAAGGGGTAACGTAACCGCATTGAAAAAATTGTATTCTCATTTTAAGTATATGTTACTTATTTTTAGAATACCCCGGTCTAAAATACAGACGTTGAAAGGATCCTCTTACCTTAAAAGAGAAATTTTCTCGCTCAAGTCTTCTATTTCGAGACACTTATTAACTGCATTCATTCTTCTGATAAGCTAAATAAAACCATTCACTGACCAACATTGCATTAAATTGCAACACTATAGCCGCAGCAATAAGACTATATAACGCTAACCAAATGAATAGAATAAAAATATATATTTGAATATTATATATACAATATTTTATATATAATTAAATATTAATTCTATATTTATAAGGTATTCTCTTATAGATATTAAAAATATTATGTAGATTATTTCAATTTTAGGGGATATTCTGAAGAGAAAATATTTATTAAGAATTTTTTATAGCAAAACAGTCTTCCACTTTAAAAATACAATTTTTTTACGCAAGAAAAGAGACAGCCGTGTTTCTAAAAAAATTACAGCTCCGGTGGCGTTTCGCCGAAAATGTTCGTAAAAATATCCCCGAGTTTTCTGACTCTCACACACCTTCCGAACAATTAAAAGCGAGACAAGACCGACAAGAAACTGCGGGAGGACGCGTTGCTGTCGTCAGACCAGAAATCCGGGATACGAAATTAGCTCGCGAACACGCTGCGAAATGAAAATCAAGTTTAAAGAGCGTTTATTTTTCGGCTGTTTTTTATATAAAAGTTTGCATTCTCATTCATGGAATAATTTAATTGATTCGAAGATTTGCGAGAAAACTTTTTGCATACAATTGAAGAAATGCAGACATATGACGGTTGATTAAATCAGAACGATTCTCACGAGACGGAATGTTAATAAAATTATGCAATTATTTCGAGAAATCAGACGATTGTGGCAATGGTTGCGTAATAATTATAATTAAGACGTGCAACCGATTGTTTTCGACTTTCCCTCGAAAAATTTATCGCCTTCATTTTGCCTCTTTCGCGCGCATTTTTACAGACGTGCAAATTTCTACGCGCATGCTGTAACATTTACACGACTAATTCACGGTTTTATTTGCAATTTCAGGATTATGGAAACACGGATCTAATCAGACGGAATTATGGCGTTGACTGTCGTTCCCTCGACCCGCGTTTTTAATGGAAACGGTGAGTCATTTTTAATAAAAGTGTATGTATCTGTATAATAGGAAATCGTTGATTGCCAGGAATCCAGGAATGCAGAAAATTTATTGATATAATTTTCTAGCGAAACCCACGCGATATTAAAATAAAATAAAGCATGGAAAAATTAAAAATCAAAAGAATTTTATTATGAATAAGATTAAATATAATAAAATAATTATTTTATAAAATTAAATATAATATATTATTATATATTAATTATATATATAAATAAATTATAATAAAAAATTTAAATCTGTATTATTATGCTATATTATACTGCTGTTTTTTATTTTATATACATTACTTTTAATTATTTTATTTTAGTAGTCTGTAACTGCACGCGCAAATGAGACACTTGACACATAAGTAGAACGTAATTCAGGCATCGACTGCGATGCGTCGAGGCGAAGTTCATTAAGTCAGTCTCACATATATATCGCAATACAAGCGGATAATTTAATTCGCAAATGAAATCTCCGTACTTATCAGGTTGACGAACTTTGCCAGATTATTATTACCGTGTCTCTCTGGATAGTCGCCAATGGTTACAATATATTTCGGTTTACGTTGCACCGCGGACGTCAACCTCGAACAAACGTACGTTCGACTAGAAACAATACTCGATTGATTGGCTTCTAACAATAGAGCTCACACGCCGAACATTTCTTTCTTGATTCACGATCAAAACACGCGGACAGAATCATATAATTAATTAATTTAATCATTGTTTGCAATGCAGGATTCTGAATAATATATTAGTACTCGTTCGCTAATTTGATATATATCTTCTGGAAAAAAACTGATTATTAAAATAAAATAAAATGTAAACACTCAATATGATACGTTTTCAGCATGCATAATAAATCAATTGTGATAAATAATTAAGATAAAATTTTAATAAATTTGTAATTAAGAATTCACATATATAATTTATTTTAATTAATTTCAAGGAAGTATGATGTTTTTGAATAAACAGAACTTACGTAGAAATTATATATTTTTTTCTGTGAGAAAATACAACCTTGATTAGTTTTCTCAACGCAATATTTTCTCATCTTATCTTAGATAAATATTTATAACGCATATTTATAAAGTTTTATAAAGTATTATATTTGTCTTTACAGTGGGAACGCAGGCGTACGTTTCCGGTTCGACGGGCTCGAAGTGCCTTTGCTGCCCTTATGGATATCATATTGATCTAGATTTTGTACGCTATTGTGAAGCTGTCGCGGCCGGAAGCACCAGTGATAGACTTAGCACGGAAAGACGCAAGAAACGAGAACGTCGTAGACAATGTCAGTCAATGGAGGTTCTTCTGGGCCTGGTAATTAATTTTATAATTATAAAAATATTTAATATAATAGGATTATTAATATAATAATATTATAAAAAAATATTTAATGCAGTAATATATTGGGAATATTATATAAATATTTTTATGCAAAGTAACATGGAGTACTTTAACAAATATTAATGTAGGAATAGCACAAAATTTACTTAAAATAATCTAGTATTTATTTGAATATGATTAAGTGTGAATAGATCAATTTTATACTTAGATATAAATATAGATTTATTATTTAGATTTTTTATGTATAGCTCGATGGTAGGAAAAAATACCGTAATCTTAACATTGTATCGACTTATTTCACACAGCTTGCGCCTGATTTCTGCACTTGGTTACCGTTAGAATTTACTGACTTTAATGATGATTGTGCTCGTCGCGCACAAAGCGAGCCGAAACCGTGAAGATTCGAGATAAATCATTCGATAAAGCGCGGAAAAATCGACGTAATTCATACATGAACGTAGCAAACAAATCTATTTCCATTAGTTTATTTCCTTTATTTTTGATTTCAGGTGAGTCCAGCGCTGGCGGGGATAGAGGCCGAATTGTCAAAAATACCGCGAGAATGCACGACTGCGAACGGCGTTGCTGCTTTAATCAAACCGAATTACACCAACCCACTGAGGCAACAAAAAGATTCGCGTCCCGTCCCGGTTATGGACCTCAGCGACGTCGTGGGCGACTTCGAGGCGACCCTCAAACGATCCTCTAGGTCATCGAAGGTCTCCGAGCATCGATTTCCCGTGGAGATTGGTAAGATATCCCTTTAATAACTCGGTTAAAGCGAAAAACACCGTGTTTTCATATTATTTAAATTGCGCAGGATGTGCGATAATAATCGCCCTATCTCTCGTGCAGATAATAGGGGTTAAACCGAGTAGAAAAATCTTGCGCCTTCTTGCGATCTTCCTCCACACGAAAGATGGGGAGATTATATTATCCTATTATCTATAGAAATAATAATATTTAAATATTTTATAATTATATTTTTAATTACGGATCAGCATATCGCATCAGAAAATTTTCAACTGATTGTGATGTACTATTTTTTCAAGATTTTACGATCTGTGTCGAGCATTATTGTTTGGTCTTTTTCAAGATCACTGACTTTGTCGAGAAACAAAAAAATGTACCCAATCTCTCTGAATGAACGGTTAAAAGTCGAGCTTCAGCGGGTCGAAAAATCGGAGTATTATTTAAAAGGGACGAAAAAAGCTTCTCTTTTGCGAAAAACACTGAATCGTGCGACGAATTAACGCGCAGCAGTAAGAAGAAAATCGGGGTAAAATAAAAGAGATCCGACACACAATTTCACGCACATTGGATTTCCGCGCGCTGAATCCGCTCACAGCCATCTTGGGATTCTTCATGGCCCAATGACCTGCTACAAGTAAGCAAAGCGAAGAGGGTAACGGCCTTTTCCGTCTTCAAAGCAGCCGCCTTCGGAGTCGCGATATACCTAAACCGGAACACATTAATTATTTCATTATACGATATCGCCTTGTTATGGACCCACTTGTATAACTTGGTGAAGTTCTCGTCCGCTAATCACTGAAAAAATCGAAATTATTATTGTTCGAAATTATTATTATAGGGAAACGAGTCTCGCATTTTTAAATCGACTCTCTATTAGAAATTAATTATACTGAGCGCCTTCCACAGGTGATAATTGAACAACACTTTGTCGATCGAAAGTGCGCATCTCGCGCCTATAATTAGTAGGAAAGAAGCAAGGTTAACGAACGAACGGTTCGCTTCACTTATGATCTCTCTCTCGCGTTATAGCTTTAGCAATTTCAAGCGATCGTATTTATATCATTCAATATTTTTCTTCGAATTACACATAACATCATTTTATAAAAATCGTGGAAAATACAGCTTCTCCGATAACGAGGGGATGCGAACTGGAACATGCAATTTTCCTCTTTTTATTTTTTGCTTATAAATAACGCACTCACAATTAATAATTTCTATCATCGGTAGACGATGAAGAACACTCATCGGAAATATTATATTATAAATTTATAACTTTTTGTTTGTCTTTAATTAAGAAGAAATTGCGCTCGAGTATTTTATTTAGCAAACTCTTTTAATTTTTATCGGAGATGTTTGTTTAAAATTACTCCTGTTATAATTAAATGCCTTAAAAAGTAGTTTATCTACCTCAGAAAATAAATTCCGTAACAGTTCGTGCAACGATTCCTAAGGTTTGCATTTATGTAACATTTTTTAATGCGAGAAAAATAAGGTAGAAATCTGAAACAGATGCTGCTTACATAATTAACATTAATATTTATTTTATTACAACAGAATTTAATTCCATTTTCATCAGACATTTAAAATGATTTAAAACAAATATTTTAAATACATATTAAAACACCATAAATGTATCGTATTAGAAATGCAACGAGAGAGAGATATTTTTTTATTTTTAATGATTAAAAAAATAAGCCATTAAAATATTAAAATATTTTATTAAATAAAAATGAAATGTTTAATTTCGTCACACTCTCACTTACTAATCTTCTAAGAGCGACGATCAATTCGCACGTACATTTTACTCTTTCACCGATTAACGAAACTGTTACCCAGGTCAATTGTGTCTCACAAGGCGACATTTCTCACGGTTTCGAGAGAGTTCCTCATCGCGAAAGGAAGAGCTCTCCTCTCATGTGTCGACGAAACGAGAACTCATTCTTACTCTCGTTTCTTGATTTATCTCGTGCGACCCGGCACTATTAACAACGGAAATGTGTCGCAAAGCGGAAATGATTCGTATCTTCTTCTGCTAATCAACTCTTAATTAGCGTGACATGTGGAAAAGTGTTTAAAGAGAGTGAATAAATTGCATCGCTTAATTTTTTTTCTAGTATTTTTTCAACTGTCAGGCTGATTTAATAATTTTTTTTAACTTTAACTGTAATATTATATATATGTTCTCGAAAATTGGTTTTGAATATTTTAAATATCGCTCTGGTATTTACAAACTTGCAAATGATAATCTTACGTTAATGTTACGTTGATGCACGTTTCACTTTTCTGAAAGTGAATTGTTAGGATTTTTTAATGATGTGATTACAATGATAACAGTTTCACTTTTATTGATGTTTTCCTTATTATTATATCATTTCTTCCTCTATAATATCTATTATAAATTTAAAAATATATATTTATATTTATACAAAAGGAAAAATTTCATAGTTAAAAAATTTATTATGTATATTTATTTATAATAATAATATATAAACGAAAATATATAAACCAAAATTATAGTGATAAATATTTCAGAAAATACAAAAAAATGTATATCGATTAAAAAAAATTATATAAAAAAATAACAAATAATGCATTATAAAGTAAAAAACAAGAGAAGGAGAACAAGATATATCATTAAATTTAGAAGATATTAATATGTGCAAAATATTATAAATTAACGAATTATACGCATTTTCTACCTCATAAATTAACAAAAGAGAACGAAAAATATATGATCGCAGTTAATTTTTTGTCTAAAATGAAAACTATTTCGTCGACATTTGCTCATCAACAAAATCGCTCTACGTGAAAATAGAGGCAATGTACTTACACATTTCTTTTAATTGCACGTCGCGTCGTTTCTTATGGCTTTTTACGTGCTATTAAATCGCGGTTCAAAGATAACCAGCCGTCGTTTCTCCTCGTGCGGACACGCAAAGAGGAATATTAGTGTACGCACGTGTGTATATGTATGTGCGGAGACTTTTGCGCGCTGCGGAACGCGACGGGGAAGTCGCCGGTGCATGGCTGGAACCACCTGCTTCCGGTCGTTGTCCCTGCAACCGACGGCGGCGGTTGTACTTAACCCGTGAAATAAACGCGATGCAACCGCGCTACCCTGCGATTACGCTGCCGTTACATAGTTACGCGACACCCTCCAGTTGCGACTTCGTCATCGGTGATACACGTAACTCTGCGTTCATCAATGATGCAAATGGAAAAAAAATATTTCTTCCTTTTCACAGCTTCATGATAATGACATTTCGAAAAGCAAGCGATAATAAAAAAGGAAGATATTTTATTTCAAAACATTTTTCTTTTTATTATAATTTATATATTAATTAAATAATATATTATATTTGATATTTAATATTATATATATATTAATATTATATTTAATAATATATATTAAAATATAGTATAATATAATATAATAATAAAAATATTAACAATTGGTTTTATTTGAAAATATTTTAGTATAGAAGGATGTTTATATATACACTAACAAAATTATTAAATAAATAAATATTTATCTGTTTTATAAAGGCTTTTCTTATATCAAATAAATATTTTTACATTAAATCAATATTATTAGTTTCAAATAAATGATTTATTAGGCAGTATTGAAATAAATATTTATTCGAATTCAAAAAATCTTCTTTCAGTTTTTATACATAAATTGTCATATTTCTCTATATACGTACAGGATCCATTTTTATTATTGGTCGTTAAATATTAAAAATGTTAGCATAAAGTAACTGTCCAACTGTTTTAAAGCAAGACAGGATTTCCATGTTATATTAAAGCAACATAATTTCCATAATGTGCGAACTTCCAGAGTAATTTCCGCCATCGCATTTGATTAAGAAATATCAAGTAGCACACGTGTATTTGTTTGTGTTTGTATGTTACGGTAATAATACCCTACCCTACCTTTGTAAGTGTTGGCGAATGTCGTAAATAGAGACGAGGTGCCGAAATCTTTTATTTTTCTACTATCAAAATAACCCCATTCGAGTTTCATTTAAAATTAAAATCTGTAATTCTGCACAAAATATCGTATGAAATAGTGAGTCTAGGTCGATTTAATGGCATAGCGTGACTTCACCATCGCGGTTCTTAGCCATTTCGGTGCAACCTTGCCCAGTAAGGTGGTCACATATGGTTGTCCGCACCTGTCGAGCTAAAACACGCGCTCAACTATTTTCACGCACATCGGGAACGAACGAAAATAAGACCGCAAAACCGTTTGAAATAGCGACATAAATTCGACGACAGCGCGATCGCGAAAAAAGCGTGTCACGCGATATAAATAAATATTTTTTCTCGCCGATATTACAAGTCGTGAATTGTGAATAATTATCGTGTATCATATGTTTAGGATTGAATTGAGATGCGTATAAGTGTGCGTGTACTTATATATGTCATGATAATTACGATAAATAGCCTAATTAATTATCGGTGAGTGGCGATTTATACTCGATTATTTACACGATTATATAACCACTCTTTAATCAAAGAAGTTGCGCATACTTAATTAAAATTGCATACGTCAGTCGATCTATATTTAAAGAATATTAGTCATTATTTATGATCGCATAAGAGATCATATTAATTTAAATAATGCTATATAACATGCATAAATGTCAAAACTTTAAAAATATGAAAGTGTTCGCTTAATATTTGTATACTTTTATAATTAGTATATCTTAAATAAATTAAAGAAACACTACAGAGCACAAATTATTTTTTAACAGTTGGTTAAATATCTGTTGTTGCATAATCGCGAGGAAGATGAAATATTAATCAATAATGCATACAATTGTATGCAAAAGATATACAGATATGATGAGAATCTTTCAGATAGGTATAGTCATTAATTTTCCGTGCATCATTAACTATTACTGTACTTGTTTCCTCTCTGCCGAAACTTTCTTTTAAGCGCAACAAACGTAATTAATTTTCGTTCTCGAGAAATAATACGAAAGCGCAATATTTTTTTCTGTCAAAATAATTTAGCCATAAATAAAAACTCCGAAATTATACGACACAAATATCTATATAGTGTGACCAACAATATAAAATTTGCCGACATATTTCTCTATTTAATTAGAATCAATTTCACCGAAAAATCGGTAGTAATTTTTTTTTGTATTTAAAATTTAGAACATTTTTTAAAAATTGATTTTAATTTAGAAATTTAATTTCACCCAAATCTTTTGATCGTAGCTTGAAATTGCCTTTACTGAGTACACTTTTCTCTTAGAATTTTCCCTGAAAAACATAGTATTGGAAGACTTTTATAAGAGTTTTTCTTATAAATATTTAAATATTTACCACAATAAAAAATATTAATATGCACATAGTAAAACGAACATATTTTATATCTCATTGTAATAAATATTAATATTTTTTTCAGACTATAAATTTTAAGAGAAAATTCTCTCTAGTTAATTGATTACTCGAGACTGACTCTTCGAAGAGCCGTTTGATAAAGACTCATGATAATTAGCAGCCCCTGAAGCATCTTTATTCTCGGGAACGGAAGCCCGGATGCCGGTGTTTCTTTTTCCGCGATTAGCAAATCGGCGAAGCATCGAACGCGAAAAAGAAGAGGCTCCCTCCTCCACCATTCACCTTTTAACGAGAGCGGCTGAGCGTTCGTTGTGCCTCGGAATCACCGGCAGTCAACAGTCGTCGCGCGATAGTCGAGGAGCCATAAAACCGGGGCTGCCGCGAACGAACAAACGAATATGAGAATGACGTTTGTCTATTTAATCTAATTTAGTCTACGAGGCATGATGTGACTATTTTCGTCGCTCTCGAGAGTCAATTCGCCGAATTGACGATAAAGAGATGGGAAATGCGCGAGAATTATTGTACCAATTTCGCGATTGTTAAACCTTCGGTGTAATGTTGTAGCTTTTCTTGGTGGTAAGATACAGTATTTTGACGTTTTTGAAAAAATTACGGATGAAATTACGAGATATCGATGATCGCGAGGGTCGAAGTGTGAAGGCAAAAGATCGAGGGTTCTTGCGCTCAAGTGTTTTGTTTTTCAAATCATAGATCCCGCGACGCGGATGAGATCATCGATTATCGATTATAGTCGATAATTCGAAAACGCGCGCGAAACATTAACTTGCAATTCTACGCGAAGATTGTTTTTTTATTTTATTTTTCAAAGAATCGAATGTAATATTGATATCTATAAAGTGATTTAAAATTAGTACACGAAGAAATACGATAATTCACATATCGACATTGAAAAATAAATTTTAATTCTGAAAAAAATAATTGAATTGTACACTGAAAAAAAGTATTGAATTTAAATAAATATTTATTTCAATATTGCCTAATAAACCATTTATTTGATATAAGAAAATTCTTTTCAAAAGAGAATATTTATTTTTTTCAAATAAATGATTTATTAGGCAGTGTTAGAATAAATATTTATTGATTTAAGAATTTTATTTTCAGCGTAAATATATCTGCATATTGTAAAGGGATGAAAAAAACCATATTAGTTGCTAATTTAATTTCAATTTATTTGCGAAATATTATCAATCGGTGATTCAAAAATAAAAAAAGTGTAAAAAATATGGGTGTAAAATCGAACGTGCAGATGTGCGACAATGTGAAGTTAGCAAGTGACTAAAGCGTAACACTAACCAACAATTTAGTTGGACTGGAAAGGAATAAATTAATGAGCACTTTGATATAAAAATTGCTAAACTGTGAAAATGGGGGTGAAAAATTTTATTATGAAGAGGATTCCCTTCTGCAAGATGAAGGCGAAACGGAAATATCGTGAGTTTACTTTGAAAGCAGACGAAATATTATATTTTTGTGTGAAATTTTTAATTCTTACACTCATCGACAAAAAAATTTAAGCAGCCAGAAAAACAATAACAACAAAAATTATCATACATCTACATCACAAATAATAGTTGTACAAATTAATTCTTGCATATTAAAAACTGCCTCTAAAGTGCATAATTATTGTTATTGGTAACTTCGGTTATAATTATTAGTTATATTTTTCTGGATCGCTAAAATTTTGTGTTTAAATTTTTTTCTGTATTTAAATATTTTTTTAAAATTAAATATACGACAATTTATTTATCGATCTTTAAAATTAGATGAAAAAATTAGATGAAAGATGAAAGAAAAACGTGTTCTCGACGATTGCTTCTACCAATTTTTTTTTTTGCGTGTAAATGATGCGACTCGCTATTATTTATCATTTATTCGATTAGACGTCACAGCGATGACATAAGTAATTAACAGATACTTTATCTAAATCCAAACAAGTTATTGAGAATTCATTATCAAACGAGTGCGCGATATCCCCGCGGTCCCCCTTCGAACGACCTCGCAAGCTCTATCTCTTTCTTTCTTTTTTTTTCTTTATATGCTCATATCCGATCACGTTGTTAAGTTAACGTGTGCGCGAAGAACGCGCGATGCCTTTTTCCGTATTCGACAAGTGCATCTGTCTGAAACGTGAACGGTCGAAAAAAGGAAGTGCCAGGGACGTCGCGAAATCGAAAGAGTGTTAGTGTTCTGGAATGAACATTTTTTATCTGTCACGTGCCACGACAGAACTCGATCTGTCAAAATATTTTACATACTAGCTATATGGCAGAACAAGTTGCATCGTTCATATATCTTCTATTATTCATCTTTGTTCTTTTTTTTTTTTTTTTACATTTGTGACTTTGACAGTTCGTCGAAATAAAAGACTCTTCGATAAAAATTTTTTAAAAATTAGCCATAAATTATTTGTTTCGAAAATTTAATTTTTGATTAATTTTTAATTTTCAAATAAACATTAATTTATTTAAAAAATTGTTATAATATATATACCCTCTATAAACACGTGCAGTAAAGTGCTCTCTCGCTCGTAATAAAAAATTCTCTTCCTAATGAATTTATTATCGCAATCTTGTGATTGACACACGTTTGTTTCTTTGCCGCGAAACTTTCACAGTAGCGGAGATCGACTTTTTATTTCGCCTAATCCACATGTTCAGCGTGCATGGAATGTGGAATGTGGTCGAGTGTTTTAACATTAATGACAATGCATATATATGAGGTCCAGTGACCTCGTGGCCTTAATTCTAATGATAAATTTCTTTAATCAATTTAAAGTTCATCTTTTTCTCAGCGAAAAAGTATCGGAGGAGTCATCGCATTTATTGCAAACTTATCATTTTCTTAATATTTTTGCAATACTAAGTTCCAAATTAAAACTCTGTTTCTAAAATTAAAATTCTTAAAGTGTGAATTTGCTTAAGATTTATTAGAAAGATTATTTTGTTCACATTTGTTTTTTTTATATTTTTTTCATTTATATATAGCTTCAAAACTGTATTGTCATCTTGCTAAAGAAAATTGTTTAAAATTAAGATAGCAATATGATTTGCGTGTTAAAAAATGCAACAATTGAAATGAAATATGTCATGACAATTCGTCACGATGTTTGTCGCATTTCTTCATTGTTCTATTCGAGATAACACTTTGCCGTGTAATGCAGTTGTTGCGCAAGCACTCATGAAAAAGCATCTCGAATATAGGTGAATGCAACTTGTTATTGAATATTGCATAAGAAATGCACCGCATAAGAATAAAAAAAAGTTTAATTATTCTTTCGTGCCAATTGTGTCGTAAGAAATGATACAATAAAGAAGATTATTTGCGAAACTCGTCCAAGATATAATAAAGACTATAAAAGATATTATTTATCAGCGAATTTCAAATATTTCTCGAGATAAAGGAGACACAAAAATTTTTAATTTTCGATAAGAAATCAATTTCATCAACTTCGCGCGTGACTTTTATTTTTCAAGAATATACATTTCTACTCTTTGTTAATTAGTGAATTATTGCAAATTAATTTTTTTGATTGAGGTTTAGCAAAAGGTAGAGAATCGATCGCAATTAAAGTGAATATTTTATATGCAAAATATTTGACGATTAATTAAAGACACGAATTTTTATTTCGCTAGATGGTATAAATGAAACTGCATCAGTGCAAAATGCAGCTCAATTGGCGGATTCCGATAATGCCAGTGTCGGAAGTGGCAACTCGAACCTTAGTACTGGTGCTCTTCAGGTATGAAATTTATGTTATTATAAGAAAAAAAATTTCTGCATATGCAAAAATTAAAATTTGTACAAATACAAAGTTGCGTATAACAATTTTATTTTTCATTATTTTATTAAAAATATTATTATTGCTTCTATTATGCAGTAATAATATAGCTTATATAATAATAATAAACTGCTTTTTTATGCATTTCACAGTACTTATATAGTACTGCTTCTATAGTAATAATAAACTACTTTTTTTATGCGTTTCACAGAACATCAGGGAACAAATGGCGGCATCGCTGGAAAGGATGAAGGAGCTGGAGGAACAGGTCAAGGCGATTCCCATGCTGCAGGTGAGTTCTCACTAATTTCACATATTCTCTTTCCTCCTATATACTTTCGTAACGTTCATCGCCCGACACGTAATTTGCACCCAAGCGAGCTCTTCCATTCTAGCGAAACAGCTTGAGAGCATAAGATAAGTTTTCCCTGCTTTATCGCGATCTTATTGTTCCCATTATGAAGATATATATCGTTGCAAGCTTATAATGCGATACAAAACAATGAAATTGTTTTCGTATATTTCTAACGAAATGCAATGATTCATCTAGCTTATATTTTATAATTGCACATCGCAATTTATTCTATTAGTGAAATTAGATCGACGTAAAAGATTATTGAAAAAAATATTTTTTCAATTAACATTTTATGTTCGTGCTTTATTTAATATTTTATTTTTTATTTTTTATTTGGCAAAAAAATGAGAATATAGTAATGTATCCCAAAGATTCTCTACTTCTGCAATTTATCAATAAATAATTCAACATTTCTATCATTCCGCATAATACTAAAAAGCCACACTTTCTCACACTTACTCAGTTTCGATAAAAGCTCATTACTGAGCTTATCTAGCTTTTTATGCACGCGCGCGTAATTTCTTCCCTTTTCTCTCGCAGGTGCAAGTGTCAGTGTTGAAAGAAGAGAAACGTAATCTTCTGCGACAAGTGGACGAGCTGAGCAAAACGAATTCTTGCAACAACGACATCCTGCATAGGCATCGTAGCCAATCGTTCTCGGAACAACGTGCCACCGCTCTGCGAAACTTGAAGAACACAGGAACTGTATCCACCAGGGACATGGGAACCATGTGCGGCGTCATGACGAGAGACATCGGGGTGTCGCATCAACAGGTACACAAATACACCCGCTAATCACCCTGCAAATTGCCAATTTATTTAATTATATATTTTGACTTGCCCAAAATTTTAGAAAAAAAAATTAACTTAATTTTTCCTTCCTCTTTGGAAGAGTAACTCTTCAGGAAGAATCATAAGAATATATGTTTAAATAAAAGACTCTCTTTAATTTTCGACAAAAAAGTCATTTTCTAAATTTTTGCATTTATTTATATAGAATCATTATATGTATCTAGGCAAACTACATAAATCCAGAAGAAAATATTATTCATGTTGAATAATTTTAATAAATTGATGATTGAAGGAAATAACATAAAATGTAAAATAAAAGAATAAAGCAATTAATAATTAATCAATTGATTATAATAAATAAATAAATTAAAATAAAAATTTATTAATGAATTGAAATTTATTAACGTTTTAAAATTGTAAATAATTATTAGTCTTTTGGATTTCTATGTTGGAGAACGCATGTGCATGTAATTTCCCGTAGTTTTTCTAACAATTAGTTAGGAATCTCGGCGAATCGCACGATCATCGATTTATGTATATGTATGTATACGTCTCGAAGTAAGTTGCGGTCACTTCTCTCTAATTAGAAGTGAAAATCTAGATTTAAAGGGCGATACGCAATTTTACCGTGCATTCCTAAGTCGCCTCGCGTGTTATTTTTTCACGTCGTCGTTGTTGAGCGACTTTCGCGCGTGTACATATCTGCGTAAATATTCATATAGAGATGCTTCGAAATTGAAGAATATCAAACTGTTAATTACAATATGTTTCCCTTGCTCAGTACCATGTTGCACTTCTTTCTGAAACTTCCCAGATATATTATCGGCAATATAATCTGTTCGGTAATCGATTTATAATATTTTAGACGATTAAGTATATGTATAATATACACATATGTATAATAAGAATATATAATATCACATCATCTTACGTCTAATAATTGCACTAATATTAATTAACTTTTGGAAAAATTATGTTCAAAAATTTTTTACTTGAGGTTAATTTTGACAGGCTAATTATTAAAAATTTTTTTTTCTTTAAATATTCATTTAATGTATTCCTATGTTAAATAAAATTATATTAATATTCCTAATTTTTTTTATTGATGGTTCATCTTTAAATAAATAATTTTATATTTATAATTATTTATAATTATTTTATTTTGTACGCAAATCTAAAATTATGATTGTCATTTCTAAAACTCTTTTTTATGAATTGATACAAATCTCAGATTTGAAGCTCGTCTTCCTTCAATCAAGAATAGAGAATCATAAAGTTCTATCAAATTAATTAATCGTGCATTTTTTATTTTTATTGCGAGCAGGTTAGAACAAGAGATGTTGGCATGATAACAAGCACGCCAATAAAACCGTCTCTACAGAAGAGCCGACTGCGAATCGAGGAAATTATGCCTGAGATGCAAGACGAAAGCACCGTGTTGAAGGACGAAACGCCGTCGAATCTAACGAATCTCTGCGATTCCCGTAATTGGAAGTCCAATCTGGCTCGCAGTCAGTTGATGCTGGAGGAGATCCTACCGGAAGTCCGGAAACAGCATCTGATGAGGGCTCCCCTTTACGTGGAATCGACACCGTTTAACGAGAACGACCGCAAAACCGCGAAGAAAACGCGCGACTTTGGCATCAACACGGAGAACAGATCCAAGGTTCTCCAATGCAGCCACTTCTTGATCGAGGACATCCCGCCGGAAGCGAGGAAAGAAACGAGGAAACGTTCTTGCGGCACCACGACAAGCTTAAATATGAAGGACGTCCTGACAAGCGAGGATACCAAACTGCTCGTGGAGAACGCTTTACGAAATTACAGAAATAACTTGGTAAAGAAGACTTTCTCCAAGAGCGTTCAATGTACCCCGGAAACACCGAAGGTCGAGAAGCGAGATCGCGCGGTCCAAGTGGCCGAATTATTTATGATGCGTTCACACGTAAGCGTGACAGCCAAACCCTCCGTGGCGGACGTCGGGGTTGAGGTCAAGCTGGATCCCTCCACCAAGAGCGTGTGCATCGGACCGGATGCGGTGGCGCAGCCCCCGGTGTCCTTGAGCTTGATGAACTCGAGGAGTCACTCGTTCAACTACGGCGACTCGAGGACGAAAAGCAAGAGAACCAGCGGTAAATCGGTGGCGGTGATGGTGGACGACCTGGTGAGGACTGTCACTCGAAGCACTGATACCTTCGGCCTCGCGCCGAAGTGCCGAGATTTCAGTACCTCGACGACGAGGAAGAAGTTCGTCGACGTGTCGGTCGGCGACTCCGTCAGGCCGCACATCTCGATCTCCTGCGCGGCTAATTATTGCGATAATTGCAAGGAGACGATTAAGAGTCTGGCGAAGCAGATCGCGAACAACGCGGAGAACAGTCTGAATCATCAGAATAGTAATATGGTGTCCAGGATTCCGAGACCGTCTCACATCTCCTTGAACACCTCCGGTGATCAAAGGAGACAGTTCAAGCGTCAGGATACGTACACGAAGATACCGGTCCCTGGGATGATGAGATACGACGCAGACAACAAGGAACAATACGACAGTAGCGATCGGTTAGTACAACTTCAGTTTATTTTATTTTTTTATTTTTTTTATTTTTTTTTTATTTCTATATCTTGAAAAAAATTAAAGATTTAAAAAATTAATATTCTTAAATATACATACATCTAAATTATTCTATAAGAAATATTGAATTAAAACCAAATGAGTAGATTAATTTAATATACCTTAGTTAGTCTATATAAGGCTTTTTTATGGGGAATATTAATAAGCTATTTGCACACGCACAAAAATCATACTTTGAGATTATTTATACAACTTATATTAATTTTTAATTTTCAAGTAAATCAGAGATTTGTCTTGACAAGGCTTATAACTTTTGTATTAAAAAAATCAATTTTATTTAAAAAAATAATTTTTTAGTACAATTTTTCGAAAGTGACATCATCTAAAATTAATAACATTGTCTCGTGTCCTTTTAAAATAACTTTTGTACGAAACTTTTTTTCTAAAAGGCATAAGAAAAAAGATTTATGTTTAGGATGGTGCATTAAAATATTTTACTCTGTATATCATATACATAAATTATTTTTCAAAATCTCAGTAAATTATAATAAATAATAAAATAAGATAAATTATAATTTATCTTATTTACTATTTAACCTTTTAAAAGACCCCAGGAAATTATAATAAATAATTAAATAAGGTATCACACTTCGAGATCTCCGGTTCACCCTCTTGCGCATTCGATTCACCCTTCTCTTCGACTACGGTCCACGCCATCTGTTATTTCCGCGATTGAAGGTTGCCGCGGGGGATGTTTCCCGGTAAAAGGGGCGGTAAAAGAGGGTTGCGAATGGTAGAACCTCGTATATGACGTATTTCGTGCCGGTGGAGCGCATCGGGCGGTTTGTTGTTCTCTTCCGAGTGCGGGTTCCCACGTATACGTCTCGGGGGTGTTCTTCTCTCGTAACGCAGATAATATTCCCTCGTTCGCGTTGACGATCTTGCTATGGTGAATGAGTGAAACGTCCTCGATCTCGGCAGATCGATGCTGCAGCAGCAGCAGCAGCAGCCGTCGCCGTCGTCGCCTCGTTTGTTTAGAGACTCCCAAGCCGCTGATATTCTGCCTTATCTGGCCGCAAAAGGGTAACCCGTTTTCCCCCTGATCCAATCTTTATATCTATAAATAATTAATCATTTATACCATCAATTCTCTACACGGTATCAGGGTTAATTTTTGACACTTTATTACATCGATTTTTACTATATATAATTTATAGCTGTCATAATTTAAAAATTTTTAATTTCTTCAGTATTTCTTCTGATTGCATTAATTATTGAATTATAGTAATAATTAAAATATAGTCATTTTTGGCATAAAAATGTAAAGGCTTTTATTAGGGAAAATAAAAATAAAGCTATTTTTATATGATCCAGTAAACAACGTTACATCGATATTACATTTATAGCTATTACTATATATATAATTTATAGGTGTCATAATTTTTAAGATTTTTAATTTCTCCAATATTCTTCTGATTGTATACATTATTGGATTATAGCAATAATTAAAATATAGTGATTTTTGGCAAAAAAAATTATTTTAAAAATTCATATTTCTTTAATAATACTTTAAAATGGACATTAAAATTTTTTTTTTAAATTTTAGCATTCAGCAATTACAAATTGAGAAGAGCAAGCATGAGAAAATCTCATCAGACGAGATGTGCAGTGTGGAGAAGGAGGTGGATAACGAAGAGAAGTCCGAGCTGTCGGACTCGACCTTGTTTCAACCGATCCAGGATAAGCCTAGGAAGAAGGTCGAGCCCACGAAGGAGATGCAAGCTGCCATGAAGGTGCTGAACGACAGCATCAAAAAATCGCCCAGCAGGAACATCTCTCATCAGCTGAAGAACGCCACTAATATCATACAGCAGGAATGGTTCAAGATATCCAGTACATCTAGTGCGAATCCATTAGACGTCGAGGATTATCTGGACAGGTTCGAAGAGTGCTCCGGTACTCTGCTAGAGTACATCGTCAACATGACAGATACCAGCGGCAACACGGCGATGCATTATGCGGTTTCGCACGGCAACTTCGACGTGGTGTCTATACTACTGGACTCGAAGGTCTGCGACATTAACAAGGCGAACGTCGCTGGTTATACAGCTGTGATGCTGGCCGCTTTGGCAGAAGTCAGGAATTCCACCCACGCCTCCGTGGCGAATAGATTGTTCCAGCTTGCCGATGTCAACATTCGCGCAAAACTGGTAAAGTTCGGTTACTATTAAGGAAGATTCTATTGCAAATATTCAGGATTTTTTATCTTTAAATATACAGAATCTCTTAATTATTGTAAACAACACATTTCTGAAAGGGTTTCATACGAAACTTGTAGGGTTTGACAACGCTATTCAAGGTTCTAATAATATTGTTATGTAATGCTCCACTTAAAACCCTACAAGTTTCCTATGCTACACTTTTTCAGAAATGCGTATGTTCAAAATAACTAAGGGGACTTCTTGTACACTCTGTATATTTTTCTAATATGCATTTTTATATAAATATTCTTACAACTAATTTTATTATTTTTCCACAAGCACGGACAAACCGCGCTGATGCTGGCGGTGTCGCACGGACGCAAAGACATGACGCAGCTGCTGCTGGATGCTGGAGCGGCTGTTAACATCCAGGACGAAGACGGTAGCACTGCCCTGATGTGCGCGGCTGAGCACGGCCACACCGACATCGTGAGGCTGCTCCTGGCGCATCCGGATTGCGATCCGTCTATCGTCGACGTCGACGGCAGTTCGGCCCTGAAAATCGCCCTCGAGGCGGGTAACCGGGACATCGGAGTGTTGCTTTACGCTCACGAACACGTCAATCGAGGCACCAGCCCGTACTCGACCTTGAGGCGAAGCAGAAGAGGTTCCAAGCCGACGACGCCCACCGGACCGTCCCCGTCAGCTCCGGCTAGTCCGGCACCGTCGCGGCGCCTTCATTCGTCCAACGTTTCTTTGAACACATCGAAGTATTCTAAATAATTCAATCGGTAATTCACACACCCACCCTCCATCCATCATGAGCTTTCTCTTCGCGCACGGTTTTGACACGTAATAGTCATAGGATTTAATAGGATAGGCGAATTGCAGTATAAACAGGACTTTGCATTTAAATATAATTCTTTCGTTCATATATAATTTTTATATATTCCTATAAATTATTACACACATACATACATCAGACATAGATATATTATATATATAGAAAAAATTTGACAATACACTAAAGTTTTTTTGCCTAATGATCGATTCGTTCTCGACGGGATTTTAATCATATATAATTTACCAAGTCAAAGACCACATGCTCAACAATGTATATCTATTCAGGGTAACGTTAGGAAAGATCTTGTACTTTAGTTTGTAGCAATAATCTGTAGCGTAACAATTTCTAATGTAGATACTGTTGGACAAATATTTGATGAAGCTTTCATATCCTTTGTAAATTTTATATAACTTTGATTATGTAAACACATTCTTGGGAACACAATTCTTCTCTTAAGCAGGATATGAAAGTACAAACTGTTCAATACACACGATGATACAGATTACAGCAAAAATCTAGCGATTCTTTTTTCTTTTACTCTGGCATTAAACATTCCAAAACAAACGATAGCGATGATCCGAATTGTTTAGTAGAAATTTATGGCAAAATGTAACATTATAATATACAGTTTTCAGGCCTAATCTCGAATTACTCCTTGGGATCAAATCGTCGATAAAATAATTTTATATATGTCGATGTTCATAGAAGAATATTACATGGTGATACATGTAATATATGTTATATGTAATTATACACGGATATATGTTATAATAGTAACATGAGATCCTTTATAATTCGACGATTTATCATGTTCTTTTATTTGCGAGCGACATCAAATGTACTTATCACTATTCTATGTTGAAGTAGAAAAAAATGTTAGATAGTGAAAATTGTATACAGAAAGATATAGTATGTGTAGTTGTAAAGCACAAATGTCGAAGAATTTATGAAGAAAATTATGTTTTTGAACTCTTGTTGTCGGGTTTCATATCGAAAACTTTATATATGTGTGTAATTAATATTCTAGATACTAATATGAATTTTTATTTAATCGAATCCCGAACGAATCGCCAACATGAAATATTAACAATTTAGCGTCGTGTTCATACGTGAAAAAAGGGACAAATACAATATTGAGCGGTTTTCTTATAAGGTTGTGAATAGATGTAATTATTTTAATTCCGGAGAAATCAAAGATTTAGGTTAAACGTTATCGTGTTTTTCTCTATATTTCCTGAAATAATTCTATAACGATTGTTAGCGTGAGATATGATATAATTATATCTATATATCGCAATGTAAGACAATGTACGATGAAACATACCATAGGAATTTAAAAAGTAGTGGAGAGTACTCTTTATTGTTTGTTGTGCCTTTATATTTAACATATAACATTATTGGTAAAATAAACTGGAACAGTAAATTCTCCATTGTTTGTAATATTCATGTTTAATTAATATTCTGTAGTGCAATAAGCATTCCATTTTTTATTTTTATTTCTCTAGGATAAAATATATAATCAAATTTATTTAAAATTTAAATTAAATTAAAATCAATTAATTATTAATTTTATTTGTTTAAAATTTATTTTATCTTTTATTTTTTTCTGTATTATATATATATATATATATATATATATATATAGACCGCTAACACATAAAGGTCCATGCACAATACCAGATGACAGAGGTAACAGAAACAGGAAATAGAAAATATCCACCAATAAGAAAAGAGAAAAGATGTTATTCCCTGCTCTTATTGGAGGATATTCCAATTTCCTGCTCTCTTACCTTTTGCCTGGCACTATGCAAAGGCTTTTAGACCTCATCATATGGTGAAATGTCATGTATGAAGACGCGAGAACATATTTAACTGGGCAGAATTGGACGTGCTGTTTTTTGTAATAAAATGTGATAGTGGAGCGTATATCTTAAAAAATAAAAATAAAATAAAAATATCAAATGTATATGCATATATAAAAATACTAATGGTTTGTAGCGAGCTTGGCTGCTCAATTCATATTCTATTCAATTAAATATACTTGCTCTTGCATCAATTTTAATACTGCGATATAATATAAAATATAGAAGACTTTTTATATATGTAATGGCTTACTTATATGTAATTGTCGTCAATTTTTTGTGAATATAGGCCATTAGCCTCATCTAAAAAGTAATATTTAAATTGTGGAAAGAAGGGGAAAAAAGAAAAATATACTATTTTTATATAATTAAGATTATTACACACACATATATTGATGATTACTAACAATATGCGACGTTCTCGTTCTGGTAAGTTTTGATTACATCTTTTTTAATTTAAATACATATATTAATAAATTTTTATTATATACAATTTTTATTTTTCCAGGAAATTACAGCTACGAGCCATTACCAAGTACATCTGCTCACAATGCCTTGGAGGATGAGAATGAAAGGATGACAGGAGAGTTACAGGATAAAATTCATGCCTTAAAATCTTTGTCCATTGACATTGGCACTGAAGTAAAATATCAAGACAAAGTTTTGAGGAGTATGGTTAGTTGAATGGTTTTTTTTAAGGCACATATGCAATATTATTTCTTTTTAATTTAAGTTTTAATATAAAAGTTTATTTTAGGACGATGATTTTGACAGGACAAGTGGTTCCTTATCGGGTTCAGTATCACGTGTTTTACGTCTAGCAAAAGCAGGTCACAATTACTACATCTTATATTTGTTTCTTTTTTCTATACTAGTATTTTTTGTACTATGGATAGTTTTAAAATTTAAATAATTGTACATAAATATTTAAACTAAAATATGTACATAAAATATAATTTATGTCAAAATTGAAAATTTTAAATAAGTTATGTGGCTGACTTAAATCTTTATGAATTCTCATATAAAAAGTTTATTCATTTTAAGACTGTGTTGGCAGATTTGTAAAAGAAAAAATACATATATATATTAGTTATTCTATATAAATATGAAATATAAAATGGGAATAAATACTATTTTTTTATAAATTTATTATAATTTCTGTTTTCTTTTTTTCTGAATCTTTAATATTTTAAAATTATGAAAATGAACAACTTATTGGAAAATAAAAATTACATTACGCAGCATGGAACATTCCATAATAAATAGAGTAATTACAAGTGAATTGCACAGAATTACAGATACGATAAGCAAAAGAAAATTCTTTTTGTAAATGTTGCATTAAAATTATTAAGAAACTTGTTTGGGGTCTAAAAAATCCATTACTCTTATATATTAATAAACTTTAAGTGATTTATATAAAAATACGAATGTATATAACAATATTTTTGAAATATCTTATAAATATATAGAATACCTTGGTCAAATAATCTTTGACAAGATAGGCTCACTTTTTGTTGTCTCTCGGATAATTATACTGTTTAACAATACGTGGTTTAAAGCGATCGTGAAATGTATTCGTACGATTCATAACATAAACTACAGCTTGAAGGCCTCCTACATTTACACCAACCGTTTTTGTCACCCAGAATAAATCACCAGCTGCTTGCAAAGCCTAAATAAAAATAAATAAAACAAGATTGATTTTTAAATTTTAATAAAATATTTTAATTAATTCTGTACTTTAATATTTTCACACACATAATTATAACAAAAATTTACCTCTTTAAAGTTATATCTATCATACGTAAGCAGAACTAATCGTCCATATGATAATTTCACTATTCGTCCGAGTTCCACCAAAAAATGTTTGTAAAGAGTTTTGTTGTACGACTTATTCCCGCTTCTTTTTCCAAAAGGCTATAGATTATTAGAAAAGAGAAAAATGTTATTCTTTAAAGAAAAAATAAAAATATTTAAAATTGATGTATACATTTCAAAAATCAATTTTTATACCATGTCAGTAACGAAGATATCAATACAAGAATCCTTAAATGGTAATTTGGAAGCAGTCCATTGTACAAGATCTATTTTGCATCCAGCTGTAGAGACATTCATATTAGATTTTGTTCTTTCCACAGCTCTGGAATCATTGTCACCGCATAGGATATATGAGTTTGGATAAGCTAATGTTGCCTGAAATTTTAGATAGTGTCTTGTTTATAAATGTTAAACTTAATTAAAACCGCTTCAACTAAATTCTAATTAATTTAATCATGTACAGCAGAGTTGTATTATCAATATCTGCATTTTGTTAATATAAAAAGAATTATTATTAATTATGTGTATATAATATGTATAAAAAAAGATTAAACTAAATGAATAACAAATTAGTTATTTAAACATTTCTAAAAAGAGTTAATCTCCGACTGATTGGAATTTAGTCAAAGTGATCTTTATAATATCTATTATTGTATAAATATACACCTCTATAGGAATGGAACCTCCTCCACACATAGGATCTACTATTATATCTCCTGGCTTTGGATTTGCCAATCTTAACAAATTATAACATATAGTTGATCTCAGGGTAGTGGGCCCAAAACTTGCAATATTTCTGCGATGCATGGATTCATGAGTTACACGTAAGTGCGTTAACAATAAATCTAAAATATTTAAATACAATTAGTTATATAAGAACACATTTAGCCTATTATTAATATATATAATCATGCTATTAAAAATTTAATATGTATTTTCCATTAATAAAAGTTTCAATTTTTACCATCCATTAATTTGCAGACAACTTCCAGATGGTATTTTGTTAAATCAACTATCCAGTGATATTTGTTCTGTGCTAGTTCTCCAATAATCCTAGCAACATCCTTAGACTCGAATACATGCTTACCAGTCCTCTCGCATGTTACTCTGTATCTAAGTACATCATTTTCCTTGGATTCAGAAGGATCCTGACCTCTTTTCTTCCCTTTATTTTCCGTTTCTTTTTCTGCGATGCATCTGATTCCAATGACTCGTGCTCTTCTTTTTTTTCATCCTGTATCTCTAATACCTCAGTTTTAGTCACAAGAGTTTGCTCTTTTGCTGCGATATATTCCTCAATTGTTGGATAAATCTTCCCCAAGAATCTTGTTGCACATTTCCATGCATCGAGAGCTTTCCTCCATCTTTCATCCAAGTTTGAGACTACATAATTATATATAGATTTGAAATCTGTTTCTTTGTCATTGGTAAAAGATAGCCTTCCTATATCAACTACTATGAATACGTTATCTATCGATCTCATTTGCTGAATCTACAATATGTCAAAGAAAAATACAAAATAAATCATGAATAATGGAACGAAAAAAATTACAGAATTAAAATAATACGCACACACATATATATATATATATAAATATATGCAAAAGGAATTACTTTTTCAAATTGGTCCCAGTTTATATTGAAGTAAATTCTTCCACGCAGTTTCACTACCTCCACATTTTTGCCAAATTTTTCCTTGCATTCGTCAATCGCCTCCCATTCAAAGCCTATCATCAATCGGACAATTCAATTTAAATTATATTAAAAAAAAAGACGTGCTTTTGTAAACAATACCTGTGTCCACAGTACTTCCAATCGTAAAAATATTGTCATCATAATTAAGAGACTTCGAAAAGAGCTCTTCCAAAGATTTATGGTCGCTCATGATAAGATCTTCTTCTGCATAAATAAATATATGTATTTATTTATTTATTTATTTATACAAATTCCAAGAAACAAATGTTGCCTGAGTTCAGCTCAGAACACGAGTCTATCGAAGTGATCACGTGACTGCTCTGCGCAGAACGCAGCTACGATCTGCACATGGGCGGTAAAATAGTGGGAGCGCGCGTGACGTCGTAGCACATCTGTTTGGTATCATCGAATGCACGAGGTTTCTGCGAGAAATCTACAGAGAGGTTATTTTAAAAAGTAAGTATAGTAATAATTGAATAATAATAATTTCATAATAATATTTAATTTAATAATAATATAATACTTACTTCAATAATTTAGGCACAATTTTTTTACTTCGAAGAGTGCCATGAAAGTAAAGAACAATTTACGAAAAAATCCCTTCAATCGACCTAAACGGCAGGTCGACGAGACGAAAGATGAGGTCGAAGAGGAGACGAAACCAGAGGTGTTGCTGCCTTCTGAGCACAATTTCAATCATATTAAGTGCAAAGCTGTGAGGTACAAAAAATGCCAGGAGCTGATGAAGGAGAAGGTGAAGGCGAAGAAAGCGGCCAAGAAGGCGAGGATCAGCGAAGGTGCTCCTAAACAGGTTCCCCACACCATAGAGAGTCTGCGAGAGAAGGATGAGACTATGATTGTGTCTGCTGATTTGAATGATGAGGCGAATCAGGAGCTGAAAGTTGAATGCGAGCATGACGAGTTCTCTGCGTACTATAAGCAGGATTATGAGCCTAAGGTTCTTATCACCTATGCTGACAATCCTAATAGGAAGACCAGAATTTTCGGCAGAGAGCTCACTAGGATAATACCTAACTCCTTGTCGCTGTACAGAAATCGTTCTGGCGTTAAGAAGATTGTGAAAAGCGCGACTGCCAGGAATTTTACAGATGTAGTCATAGTTAACGAAGACCAATGCAAGCCAAGTATCCTTTTCGTGAAGTTACATTAATATTCTTTAATGTTTAAGGCTTTTTCTTTTTCGGAACACAAGCTAATATTTATTATACAACAATCCTTGTAAATCATTAATAGGCAAATATCAGAAGAATTATAGAAACTTTTTAGAACACTACAAAAATTATTTGCAAAGATTTCATAGGTTCTTTGTACAGCATTATAGAATATAAAATATTATATTTTTTTAATTTTTAAATGGTTTTTTCCTTATAAAATTGTCAGATGGAATGTTAATTATACACCTGCCAGATGGTCCTACTGCGCACTTCAAGCTCAGTAATGTCAAAATAACAACAGAATTGAAGCGAAACCACAAAGAAATCACAGAACACAGGCCAGAAGTTATTCTAAATAACTTTACCACACGATTAGGATTTACTATTGGTCGAATGCTGGGTGCATTGTTTCATTATCAGCCACAATTTAAAGGAAGGAGAGCTGTGACGTTTCATAATCAGAGAGATTATATATTTTTCAGACATCATAGGTAAGTATATTTTTAACATATTTATTTTTAATCTTTAATGGGAAAATAACTTTATATACATATGTGTAATTGTACGTATTATGTGTAGGCATTGTTTTATATTTTACTATTACAATAATTTTTATGCCTTAAAGTCTAAAAAAATTTTATGGTATTAGACATTAAATAGAAAAGTTATTTACTAATAAATAATCTTGCTAGAACTTCTAGACAAATATTAAAATTATATATGAATAATTCTATTAATTTTAGATAGATGTAGCTTTAAAAAATAAAAATTTTTATTACAATTATATATGCGGAACTTAAATAAGAATTAAATATTAAAATGAAGATATAATTAAATTTTAATGACATTTGATGATGCCATTTATGATACTTGGTGGAGATTGATATCAATATAAGCTACATTGTATAATTTAATATAAACCGACACATTTGCAGGTACGAATTCAATCTCAAAACAGGAAAACCAAAATTACGAGAATTGGGGCCACGATTTACTTTGAAGTTAAGATCATTGCAGCATGGAACGTTTGACAGTAAATATGGTGATTATGAATGGATTATACAGGGTCGCAGACATGATATGGAGACAAGCAGAAGAAAATTTTTCTTGTGAATATCGAAAAAATCGATTACGATTATATGTCAAACAAATCAATTTTGTCAATTAGTTTATATAAAAAAATAAAAAAAGATCACAAATAATATTTGGGTAAATAGAATATCTAATTGATTCAGAAATTCGATACAAAACAGGTTTATTATCTGTTAGTAGATGATTATACTATTTGACAATTCACGTTTTAAAATGATTATGAAGTATATGTATATAAGATATAAAATGTAGCTTAATAATTTATCTTTATATCTATATCATTATTTCTAACAATTATTAGCTGTTTAATCAAAATTTATAATAAATAATTTTTATTATAGAATGTCTAGAAAAAGAGACTATAGATTTTCTAAAATATTTTATTCATAATTTAGTCTAAAATATGTTATACTAACATATACATATTATATATAGAGAGTAAATTTAATTTAATTAATTTTTTATTTTTAATATTTAGTTCTTATTTAAATCTCGCATATATAATTATAACAAGAATTTACATTTCGTTAAAACTATATCATAAAGTTTAAAATAGTAGAATTATTCATATATTATAATTATACTACTTGTCCAGAAGTTCTAGCAAGAATGACTTATTAATACTTTTGTAGCAATAGATTTAAAGTACTGAGAAATAATTAACTAAACAATATTTAGCTAATCATCATTTATTTATTATCATTATATCAGAAAGATATTAAAAAATTTAATGTATACTTTCCGTCAAAATTATTTTATTAATTTTAATTTTTTGTATCATCTATTAATTTGTAGATCAATTCTAGATATTTTTTATTAAATCAACTACTAGTATTCACTTATACTACTTTTTCAATAATTATAAATATCTTTAAATTCAAGCATTATTTATTAGCAATTTATTTAGCAATGCTCTCACATATTAATTTGTGTAACACTATATAAATCTGTTTCCTTATTATTGTTACTTTTGATCTCGTGTATTTCTAATGCTTAGTTATAAGTTATATTTTATATATTTTTTTTTACATCGACAATCGTCTCAAATTCAAAACCTATATTGATCAATCAGACAAGAGTTTATAAACAATATAGTACAGACCGATATATCTTATAAAAATAAACATCTTATTTTTTCTTTGGCAAAATTTCCGAAAATACATTGTTTTCAAGATATCTCATCTATTAATATATCAATATACTGGTGCTATTTTTTGATACAGTTGCTATTTCTTGATATTTTATATAAATAAAACTCTTTCTTGTAGAAATTTTAATAATTCTGTCCAAATTAAATCTAATATTAAAAAATTTTGAAATATTCAACAATAATGAAATATTCTTGGGGATATCGAAATTTTGAGTACAATAAAAACTATGTGAGATATTTTTTGTACATATGTATTACATTATATTCTTTTATATTCTTGTGATATTCTACAATTTTAATTTACATTCTGATTAAAGAAGTACATATTGTCTCAAAAAAGATTTAAAGAATCCGAAATTAAAAATTGCAACTAATTTAATTTTCAATTATCTATGTGATATATATTTTTTTATTATGAAATATAAATGAGATATCGTATTTATATCGCTCGTAATTACAATTGGATATTTATTTTTATAAGAAAATATCTCTGTAAAAAATAAATCTCTCATGTAATATTTCACAAATTTGAATATTTAGACTTTGTTTTAAATTTTCTTCAAGTTTTATGTGTGCGAAAAAAATAATATGTAAAATCAATATTAAAATTTATAAAAGTAATAATGCATTAAGAACACAATGCTTTTTCCGTAAATAGGATAAACAGATAATCAGAGATGAATATAATCGGGAGGTTTTTTTAATTTTAGCAATATTTATCAATAAGTATTTTTATGGTAAATATACATATAAATGCACACACATACACTTGTGCATAAACTCGGACGATGCGATAGACGTTATAAATGGACTTGCATCGGATATGCAGACGAAGTTATACCTTTTCGCGCTGTCACTAACGATGACCGCGTCCGGCAGCGTCGAAAGCGCTTTCCCGTGTTTTAATCTATTTCATTAATTAAGGGAAAATTAACGCCGGAGCAGTACACAAACCCACCTCCGCGACGACGGACAATCAATTGCTATTTTATGATATCGATAGAAGTGTCACGCATATAACAGATGAAGCGTATAACAGATCAAATGTGCTATTGTTGGTCCGCGTAGTATAATTTTGCTATTAATTAAAAATTAATTTGATGCGCGACGTGTGTATGTTTGCCGGAACTAGACAGAATAGCACTTACCTTCTCAAGTTACAAAAAAGATTATTGAATTATTTTTCAATCAATTTTTACTTTATCTTTTTAGATTATATATATATATATATTTTCATTATTAATTTTTATCCGTGAATAAATTAATATTGATAGTTAAAGGAAAATATATTTTAAGAACTAAATTTATATCGCTAATAATTCTATTCGAAAAATTCGAAGCATCGATAATTCAATAAATAAGAAATGCAATAATATTTAATATACTAATAAAATATAATAGTATTAATATAGTTATATAAATTATATAATAATGTATACGGAGAGAATTTTTTGTTATATTTTACTGTAAAATTCACTACGATTTTTATTATATTTATTGGTAATAAACTAAAAATTATTATGCTTTATTTTAAAATTGATATAAAATATATATTTTAAATATTTTTTGGCATCTATTCTATTTAAAACACTTAAAGAATCATAAGTTTTTAACATAGTTTTTAATATATTTTAAAATTATTGAAATTTTATTATATATTTTAGTAAAATTAATCAAACATATTTTATTGTGGTTGATATTAATATTTTTATTGTAGTAAATATTAATCAGAGAAACTCTTATAAAATTATTCCAATACCATATTGTCCCACGATTACCAGGATTTTCAGGATAAATTCTAACAGAAAATTCTCTCTATGTAAAAATATAAATATATAATAAAAATATTATTTATCAAATATATAATAATATTAAAATAATAACTCCGTATATAAAATTAATATATAATATATATTCGTGCCAAAAATTGGAACTTGTGAAAAATCAAGAAAACCCTTAACTAATACATATAGTTTTTGTCCCGACAAGATTTATAAGTTTTGTTAAACATAAAATTGATTCCATTAAAAAAAGGAATAAATTAATTAATTTTTCGATAATGATTCTATTTGTAAACAAATTGACATCATCTTGTATTCTTATCTAAAAACAATTTTTGTGTGAAATATTTTGTTTAAATGTGTAGAAAGAAAGGATATTTAAGATGGAACATTAAAATGTTAATCCCTATATATATGTCCTCCGCTTTTATTATTTCGCGACCGGATGATTATATCTGGGACGAATTGTGCAGTTTTTTCCAATCGGGAGCGATCTTTATATGTAGCGCGGCTCTCATTCATGAGGTTCTTGAGCGGGGTTCAACAACCCTTTACCGTAACGCATGAATATTCAGCAAAAGCGCAATGGGCGTCCATCGTAAAGTGCCAATTTCAACTTTGCGCTCACCGTCTATGACTGAAATCCAGTTCCTCCACTTCACCAGACCGGACCGACTGGACGTTCGTGACGTGAAGGCTCATATTTCAATCCGTTCATCGTAAGACACCAAATGTCAGACATCTAGACGAATCGAAGATAGAGTAACTATAAATCATAGTGTGTACATCGAGATTTTTTCGATTTATCGTTTACTTTTTTTATATATATATTTTTTCGTATACTTGTGCGTTTATGTGTACTTATAAATATGACATTTATTTATTATATTATATATACATAATAATTATATAATATTCTTGCAATGTATGTATATTTTATATATATATATATATATATATATATATTATATATATTAATATATTATATTATATAACAATTTTTAGAAATTCTAACATTGATTTTATATATTTGCTATTTTTTGCGCACATGAAACTGGAATTCTGAATATTAAAATTTGTAAAATGCTACATGAGAAAATTACTCTTTTACAGAGATAACATTATTATAGCATTATATATGTCATATAATAAATATATAATAATATAATAGTTATACATGTTTCGTTGAAATAGTGTCAAATATTTTATGAAATTTTAGACGTTTTTGAGATGAGATCCTTATTAGATCACGTATCATGTTCTTATTATTGTGCTTTAATTAGAATTGTCATATTAACTTAATAATTAACAATACCGTTAACGAATCCGTACACGTAGGACTTAATGTGGAAAATCATCTTACATGATTAGAGTCGTACGAGGCATCCGCGAAGTATCATTCATCATGTATGCTAATTTGCTTCAGTCTGGACGTATATCTTCGAATAATTATATCTAATATGATTTACCGCACTTATAGGGGTAAGAATAATCGGCGAACTACTTAAGATTCCATTCCACGTGCAAATCTCCAGCAGATTTTAATAATAAAACAACGTTACATCGAGAGATCAATGAGAAATTAATATTTGGAAACGATAGAGAGAAATATATATTGAATAAGATATATATATATATATATATATACATATATATACGAGGCGTTTATTTTAAACGCGATGTAAAATCCGCTTTTAAAACAGGGTATGAATTTTAATAAAAAATGGATTATAAATTGAGAACAGGATAGAGATAAGAGAGAAGGAAGATATAATCGATCTCGATTAGATATTCGATAATTGAGAATTCACAGCTGTTAACACGTTTGCATACACACGTATGTTTTGCATACTATTTCTCTTTTTCACTAATTAATATAGATCAGGTTAAATACGTTGCGAAAATTATTTACGCATATTTATTTTCACGTTATTTTATTTATCAGGTTGTCGGAAATATCATGACGTATTTTTTCTGTTTTTTATATTTTTTTAAAGATTTTGTTAACAGTGTTTGCTGTTATCTAAATAAAATTATATAGATGATTATCTAGAGGAAACTTTGACGTAATCTTATCTTTATATAAGTAATAAAAATATGTATTATCTATATCTGCATCTTACATGAAAAAAAGTATTATCTTTACTAAATTATCTAGAATAATTTTCAAATATAATTATG